ACCCCTGTTTTGGAAATACCCTTGCTTTGTCGCTGCTCAAATAGATGCTGAGATGGCGTCAACGTCAACTCGCTCAAACAGATCCTCGGCTGACTCTGCTAGGTAGGCCCTGGGGGCTTTTTTATATTTTTTCCCCTTATTCTGAGGGTCTTCGGGGTCCTGGTTTGTCCGGATTTGAGGTTTCGGTTGTTCGCCTCTGTGGGCGGCAATGCTTTGACGAATCCTTGGGCAGCTGCCCCTACACCCTACACCCTACACCCTAAACCCTAAACCCTAAACCCTAAACCCTAAACCCTAAACCCTACAGGGGTGTAAGTGCCAGGTGTTCTCAGGAAGTTGTAGTCTGGCACGTGGTGACCTCTCAAGTTCCTACAGCTGCTGCCGATCGTCGCCGGCGTGTACAGACAGGTTAGGAGTTTAGGGTTTATGGGGTTAAAGGGTTTATGGGGTTCAAAGGGTTTATGGGGTTCAGAGGGTTTATAGGGGTTTATGGGGTTTATAGGTTTTTTGGGTTTATAGGGTTTATAGGGTTTATATAGGGTTTATAGGGTTTATAGTGTTTAGGGGTCTGCACACCCCCAAATCTCCAGAGTAGAGCATGATGGGACATGCAGGGTTCAAGCTTGGGATGGTCCCCCTTATACTAACAGCTCCTTAATGAATATGAGGATAGGGGGTACCATAATTATGGGGGGGGGGACTCTTAGTATAAGGGGGAACAGAATAGGGGGTACCTCAACCCCTATAAACCCCATGACGGACTCTCAGTATACAGGGGGAACACATCCCAGGTGTCCAAGCCTAAACCCAACACAAACCGACCCCATCGTGAAGGATAATCCAGGGCAAGCTGCCCAGCATCTCCACCTCGGTGTGGGCCTCCTTCACCATAGGCAGAGGGTTTAGGGTTTAGGGTTTAGGGTTTATAAGTTTAGGGTTTTGGGGTTTAGGGTTTGGTTTAGGGCCCAGAAGGGTGGTCACTTGCTTGTCTTAGCCTCTTCTCGGATTTTGGAGGTCCAGTTGGGTTGAGAGGTTCCCGTGTCTCCGCGCGCACACAGTTCCGAGATCTTCAAACTCCGGCTGCAGAGCGTGAAGGGATGCTTTTCGTCACCGCATAGACCTTAAGTCCCCGTAGTTAAAAGGGGACCTGCGTTGGCGCCAGCCTTTGAGCTGTATCTATGGAGCCTATAGCATGGCTACAGAGGAGATGCACTTCAGAACGAAGCAGCTTTGCAGGCTCAATTTCTGGAATTCGGAGAGGGCTTCTTGGATTCAGGAGCTCACAGGAAAGATCGGGCTTCTGGTAGGAGGTGGAGGTAAGTGCGCTGGAGTATGGCGAGAGTGTCAGCTGGGGGCAAACAAAAGACCAAGCCGGAACTCCCCCACAACAAAGAGCAGCAGCGACTCCGTCTCTTCTCGATGTTGATCATTCTTGCAATGCTGGTTGTTCCTTGATTCTTGTTGTAGTAAAAGTCCATTGTTGGTGTAAGCGTTGGTTGCGCCACGGGCGCAGGGCCTAGAGTACAGAAATTTCAAGCACTAGGAAAGGGTGGAGGCTGCGGAAGAGCTTATTCTTTCGCCGTTTTCGTATGGTAATGGCTCATATCGAAACATGGAAAACCCTGCAGATCAGAGAAGCAGCGGCAGGCGGCGTGGCGAAGTGGATTTGGACCGGAAGTGGCGTAAGCGTCTGGTTCAGCATCTTACGCCGCATCCAAGCCTCAGGACTGTTTGGTACATGTGCAATCAAGATCGAGCAACCTCATATAGTTAGTAGTATTAACGATACGAAAATGCTAACATGAAAGTCATCATAGTAATGAAACAATGTTCCGATATTGTAGCAATTTACCAAGACAGTGATTATAACAAGTCTTTGCCACATCCTTCGTGAAGTTGCATGTCTAACCCCGAAGTCTTAAGCCTTGGCATGGCCAAACAGAGATATGAGCGGCCCGACCTGCACACATGCACCCAGGAGCAACGAGATTGGCGGCCTTTGTTTTGGGGTTTAGGGTTTAGTTTTTTTTTTTTTTTTTTTTGGGGGGGGGGGGGGGCGCTCTGTGCAAAATATAAAGGCATTTAGGGTTTATGGGTTTTTGGGGGGGAGCTTATGTCAAAAGATACATCGAAGCCAGCACGGTCAGTGATCCATGCTATTCATCGTGACAGTCTTGGTCTCCTCATGCTTCGCGATGACATCTGCTCCTTGACGTACATTCGGCATGCCTGAATGTTGATGTTCAGGTGCTGGAACTACTGGCTTGCACCTGGGCGTCTCCATTGGCCTCCTGGCCACAGGATGCTCAGCTCCACTTAGAATTACCGGTCGGAGAGGAGAGAAGCATCACTCCACTGTTTTGCTTGAAAGATGGAGAAGTCGAGGGAGCATGAGACCCCTTCACAACCCCAAACCCTGAACCCTCAACCCGGTGTTTGGGAGCGTGGAGGGCGATCGCGTGAGACACATCCTCAGGGAACGGCCGCAAGGGCCCATGATGGTGACCACTTGGATCATCCGGGTATACTCATGTTATAGGGCGTGCTTTGGGATGTTCCCCCTTATACTAACAGCCCTTAATGGGGATTATAGTATCCCCCGATCTGTTAGGATAAGGGGAACATCCCAAGGTGTGTTGTCGATTATGTGTGAGGGTTAGTTAAGATGATCCTCAGATTCAGCTCGCGGGTGCCCCGATTCGTGCCTGCGGAGTGTGGATAAGGCTGTTGGGTGTGCGCAGTGCGGGTGGGCAAAAACAGAACCTACAAACCCTACAAGCTCATAAGCCCGCCCTACACCCTAAACCCTAAACTTTGAACCTAAACCTAAACCCTAAACCCTAAACCCTAAACCCTGCAAGCTCATTACTCAGGATGGAGCCAGGCCATTCCTGACGCAAAATGTGTCTTGGGACCCCTCTTCGCGGGCATGGAGTGCTCCCGATCGATTGGCTTTGTGTTTCTTGGTGGCCCAGTGGTGCCCTTTCCCCTTCTTTTGTTTAGGGCTTAGGGTTTAGGGTTTAGGGTTTGGGGTTTAGGGTTTAGGGTTTAGGGTCAAGGTTTCCTTGCCAAGGAGCCCACCCCCCAAAAGGCTGGCCCTTAGTATAACATGGCTTCCGGGCTACCGCTAAACCCCAAACCCTAAACCCCAAAAGGTTTTCCATGATGTGCTGCTCCTTTGACCTCATCAACGCGAAGAACAACTGCCGCTGAAAGCGGCACCGGACAACTCCGCGTATCGACATCTCGATATCCGTCGAAAAAAGAAAGGTCCAAGAGCTTTTGAGTAGGTGAATGAGTAATATAGGCAGGGGTCGGAATAACTACTCATAGTATTCCCTTATGGTCCCTATATACTTATACCATGATGGGTTAACCCCGTTTATGGTCCGTAGTTGGTTTGCACTGCTTAACATGGGCGGTGGGGCGTTGCTCGGAGAGCATTGCCTATCGAGCAGCAGACGGCAGCTGACGGATACCCGAGTCTGCAAGAGAGAGAGAGAGAGAGAGCGAGCGAGAGAGCGAGAGAGAGAGAGAGAGCAAGCCCTATTCCTTGGGGACCAAATGAACCCTAAAATTGGCGTCATATACCCTATACTACTATAATTCCGATTAAGGTGATATGAACCATAAACCCTTTCAGGGTTCATTTCGTTTTCAGGGTTACCCCTACAGGAGGGCTCGGGTGGACTATGGGCCTCACGAAAGCCTTCCCTGCCGCTGTCTCGGCCAAAACTCTAGCCGAACGGCTTTGTCTTGCAGGGCACTCGACCCACTCTCAGTGCAGCATGTGAAGAAGGCATATAGAACAACAGAAGACCAGGCAACCCTAAACCTTAAACCCTAAACCCTAAACCCTAAACCCTATACCCTATAAACCCTAAACCCTAAACCCTAAACCCTCCCTCGTTACGGATACACCTCGCCTTGATGGCCACGCTCTGCTTGGCGCGTCGGTGCAACGCCTGGAACTTATCATCTCTTTCTGCGGTGTCATACGGGAGTTCCACGGAAGTTTACGCTATTCGGGGTACCTTCTCAGGGTCCCTTTTAAAAGGGGATCCTAGTATTTGGGGGTCTATATTCCACTGGGATCCAACTACTTGGGGGTCTAGATTAGGGGTCCCTTATTTGCGTAAACCCCCCATACAGCAACAGTTAAATCAGCGACCATGCCGCATAGTGGACCCCGTTGCCACCGTACCATGTACATGTGTCATATGTCCCCCGCACCCCGAAACCTCTACGTAACCCAAAAGACAAGTTTCATTTGCATTGTACCCTGGAAATTTTGGAAACCCAGGATGGGCCATCAGGCCCTATCGAATCCCCATAATTAACCCTATACAAATTAGGGCCTTTTGAGGGGCTTCTTCCTCAAGAACCCAAAACCTACTTTTCGTAGGTTCGGATTCTAAAACTCCTTATAGGGTTCTTGCTTAACCTACCAAAAAATAGGTTTTGGGTTCTTCAGGTAGGGTATGATGTCCCATGCTGGACCCTAAACCCCCAGCGCGCAGGGCAGGTAAAGCTCGATGAGCGTCGGGAAGGATGGTTGCGTGGAGTGAGTTCTTGCTGAGTTTTCACCCAGACAGACGCCAGGTTGCCATGGCCTTGGTTTCACTCACACATGTCGATGGTAACAGCATCATGGCCAAACGATATGAGTCTTACTCAGAATCGTAAGAAAATACCCAAATAGGCAGGTTCGGATCAATGTGTGCCGCCTGGCGGCGGCACCGACAAATTCACATGGTCGCGAGAGTTGCCGTGTTAACCGCATGCTCTCACGTGCTTGAACGACTTAACTATGTCTCTTCAGTTCTTGTGTTTTAAGAGTCTGAAGTTGGCATGCTCTTCGCAACTCTAGGGCGCCTTACATGTCAGAAGGAAAGGTCAATTTCTGCAAGAAGAGTCTTCAACGCCCTGCACCCCTGCGGCTCAAGCATTTTGACCACAGGTTCCAGTTGTTCTAATTCCCGGCAGCTGATCTCGGTCCCATGCAGTGCTCCCGCCTCATCGTGCTGTTGGCTGTTGCCGCTGCCAGCAAGCACAAGCATTGCCGTGGCTGCGAAGTCAGTGAAGGAGGCGGAAAATGCACACGGCCCCGGCCTTGGGGGCCAGCATTCCTACAGTTCAAAAGCGAAGTTCAGCAAACTCTCGTCGCCTCTGCTGGGTCCTGCGCGCCTTTCGCGGAATGGCCAGATGTGGATGGCGGCATCACCTGTGGAAGCTGTCGGGCGCTCGTGAAGGCAGAGCCTTACGGAGGACGCTGCGATAGGTACTGCGAGAGCTTCGGGCATCGATGCACCGCAGCTGCTGAAGAGAGGGCTGAGAACTGTGAGGTTCTGGAGGAGAAACGATGTGATGAGTCCATCTCAGGAACCTCTGACATCCTTTGCACATGCGAGCGCGAAGGGACACCGACCACACCTGGCTGCTTTGGCGAGCTGCCAGGGCTCGCGCAGAACGAGGGTGGGAGCGTGGGGCAGGTCTCTACCTCATCCGCATCTGAGTGCCAAAACAGCTGCGAGCAGAATCCGGCTTGCAACAGTGTATCCTTCTGCAGAGAATGGGGCTGCTTCTTGAAGGATCGCAGCTTCACTGGCACTGAAGCGACGCAGCAGAAAGGGAGCTGCAGGACCTTCTTCAAGATGCCATGCAGTGTAACGACGACTCCAAAGCCTGCCAGCACAACCAGTACGCCGCCGCCCACGGAGCCCGGCTGCTTTGGTGAGCTGCCAGGGCTCGCGCAGAACGAGGGTGGGAGCGTGGGGCAGGTCTCTACCTCATCCGCATCGGAGTGCCAGAGTAGCTGCGAGCAGAATCCGGCTTGCAACAGTGTATCCTTCTGCAGAGAATGGGGCTGCTTCTTGAAGGATCGCAGCTTCACTGGCACTGAAGCGACCACGCAGAAAGGGAGCTGCAGGACCTTCTTCAAGATGCCATGCAGTGCAACGACCCCAATGCCCTCGAGCACCAGCCGCAGCGGCCAGTTCAAACTGCGTGTAGTCTCCTACAACCTCTACTGGTGGAATGCCTTCGGCCAAAACCCGTGGAAGGGGGAGCAGATCATCGACAACATCCGGGAGAGGTTGGCGCCCAGCGCCATCGGCTTGCAGGAGTGCGACTCCCCATCCAGGATTCAGGAGTCGACGGGCTTGGCACAGGCCTCGACGTTCGCGGGGGCTCAGGGTGTCATGATGGATCCCTCCCAGCTGCGCGTAGTGGCAGGCACCTCAGGATCACAGGATCTGCAGGCAACAGGCAAGTGGGGTCCCAGGCACGTCACATGGGTCCAGCTCGCCGACAGGGCCACTGGGAGAACATTTTGGCACTTCAACACCCACTGGTGTGTTCATAGTGGCAACGGCCGAACCTGCAACGCAGAGGTGCGATACACGGGGGCCAAGAACATGTTGACTGTCATCCGCGAAAAAGCCGGCAACTCCCCCGTAGTTGTGACCGGCGATTTCAATGCCAACATGAACGAGCAGGGCCCTCAGCACTTCTTGCAGAACGGCTTCAGGCTGGCTGTCGTTGAGTGGGTTGATGCCATTTTCTACTCGGAGCACTGGAACCTTGTTTCACAGGGTAGTGGTGATGCAGCCGGGAGTGACCATCGCCCAGTCTTTGCAGAGTTGGAGCTACTGTAAGCCCAGGGGCGGATGGCTTTCACTATAGCCATGTGCCATGGCATTTTTGTCGGCCCGTGCGCGCCAGCACGGCGAAGCCTAGATGTACAGTTGCAGTATGTTGCAATGTTGCAGCGCCAGAAATTCAACTGCACTTTTGCTTGGCAGCGCAGCATCCACTTGGTACTTGGTGGACGCATTCACTGCCGCCATGCCCCTAAAAGCTGGGCTGTCGGGCAGGGAGGCATCAGCATCTTATTGGCTTTGAAGAACACAGATGGGGATTTACGAAAATATGGGGCCCCAAAGTACAGACCCCCAAATAGTAGGATCCCCTAATTCTGAAGACCCCTCATAAGGTACCCCTATTTTGGACACCCCCATATCTGGGGGTAAATGCCTCGCTTTCTCGAGGGCCCAGCTCTACAGTTGTAGAGGCCCCAACTCAAAGTTGCCACGACAAGGCACCTCAGGTTGCAAGCCGAGCCGCGGGTCTTTTGGAGTCCGTAGCTTAGGGTCAAGCCTACCGCACAAACCCCCTAGACCCTTGGGGTTTAGGGTTTAGGGTTTAGGGTTTAGGGTTTAGGGTTTAGGGTTTAGGGTTTAGGGTTTAGAGTTTAGGGTTTAGGGTTTAGGGTTTAGGGGCTTTCGGGAATCTGTTCATCGACTTGGGATGCCCCTGGGAAGTGATAGCGCCAGAATGGCAGACCCGACATCTCTTGGTTTGCGTGTGGTTACCCTAAACCCTAAACCCTTAGCCCAAAACTCTAAACCCTAAACCCTTAACCCTAAACCCGTAGCCCTAATCCCTAAACCCTAAACCCTAAACCCTAAACCCTAAACCCTAAACCCTAAACCCTAAACCCTAAACCCTAAACCGCCGTGTGCAGCTTGCAACTTGGGGAGCCCGAGATGCATGCGCCACACGGCCACAGAAAAGACAGCAGAGCCATACGCCGGCCTGACTGTAGGTGGGAAAGGCCAACATTAAAGGGTTTAGGGTTTAGGGTTTAGGGTTTAGGGTTTAGGGTTTAGGGTTTAGGGTTTAGGGTATAACCAGACCCCTGGCAGAATCCAAAAACTAGAACCCCCAAATCGTACCCTATACTACTAGTGGGTTAATTCTGAGGAGCTTCTGAGGAACCCTGAAGTACCCTATACTACTAGTGGGTAATTCTTAGTTAATTCTGAGGAACCCTTATAGTACCCTAAACCCTAAACCCTAAACCCAAAAACCTAAACCCTAAACCCTAAACCCTAAACCCTATACCCTAAACCCTAATCTATTTTTTGGATTCTTTCGGGGTCTGGCTAGCTGCTATAGACCCGGATCCTGGTAGCCTTGTCCGGCTTACCTCCAGCTCCTAAATCGCGAAGCCTTTGCGGGTTTAGGGTTTAGGATTTAGGGTTTAGGGTTTAGGGTTTAGGGTTTAGGGTTTAGGGTTTAGGGTTTAGGGTTTAGTTTAGGGTTTAGGGCCCCCGTCCCCTTCCCCCTAGCCTCGGCCCGCTATCCCGGGGCCGCTCGAACCTTGCCTTTGGACCTAAACCCTGCAAACCGCAGAAGCCCTATGAACTCCATAAACCCGATACACCCCACATGCCCTAAACCCTAAACCCTAAACCCTAAACCCTAAACCCTACCATAGCCCTCTGAGCCCCCAGAAACCTACCACTGGGCACACATCATTCGACGTGAGCCAGCAGGCAAAATTCCACACGCATGTCGTAGTCGCCGTCACGCCAGGCGTGGTCCTAGCCTGTGCAGCTGTCTTTTTTGGGTTAGCTATAGCTTCAACATCAGAAATTTCGTGGTAAGACGCTACAATGTAAGGATCCCATCCAAGAGCCCTTAACCTTCACCCGGCCCTCAGCCGATTGCTTCCGTGCAGCTGGCGCAAGCCATGGTCTTAATCGAAGACTTCGATGAAGCCGGGCAGGGTCCTGCACACAATGTTTACAACACCTTGGGCCAGAGGAAGCTGCCAGTTCTGATTCTGACCGGCTTCCTGGGAGCAGGGAAGACGACCTTGCTGAACTATATTCTTCAAGAGCAGCGCGACAAGAAACTGGCCGTGATTGAGAACGAGGTCGGTGAAGTGAGCGTGGACGATGCCCTGCTGGGAGACAGGGTGCGGAACGTTGACCAGGACCCGCGTGACTCAAGACCCTAACCTTGGGGACGAAATGAACTTTTAAAATTGGGGTCATATACCCTATACTACTTTAGAATCCCTATTGAGGTATATGAACCATAAACCCTTCTAGGGTTCATTTCGTCCCCAAGGAAGAGCTCTAAGCCTGCAAACTCCAGATCCTAGAGCCTGGAGACCCCGAGGAGAACCGGCTCCTGGGAGCTTGTGCTAGGGTGTCAATCTATATCCCTTTTGGGAATTACTTTATTATTATTATTATTTATTTCTTTATTTTATTATTATTATTGTGTATATAAAGCATAAGAGGATATTAACATCTAACATATTATGTTTATTAAGGTTCTAAGGGGAGTATAGCAACAAGTTCTGCATGGGACTCGTAAGGGTTTCGTATGGCTTCCCCCGGCTTGCGCTGCGAAGGACGACATTGTTGTCCTGGACAATGGCTGCGTATGCTGCACCATTCGGGCCGACCTGGTCAGGGCACTGGCTGCCATTTCGGAGAGGCACCGAAGTGGCACAGCACTTGACGGAGCCTTGGGACGAAATGAACCCTAGAAGGGTTTATGGTTCATATATACCTCAATAGGGATTCTAAAGTAGTATAGGGTATATGACCCCAATTTTAAGGTTCATTTCGTCCCCAAGGAGTGGTCATTGAGTTGACGGGCGTGGCTGATCCGGCACCAGTCGTGCAGTGCTTTTTCATGGCGGAGGCGGTTTCCGAGGCCTTCTACGTCGACAACGTCGTGGTCTTGGTGGACTGCAAGCACGCCCTGCAGCAACTGGCTGAAAGCCAGAGAGACCCGGCGAACAGGGGCACAGCAGCATCCCAGGTCGCCTTTTCCAGCATCTAGGTCGGCTCTTCTTGGGACATGTTTTGTGTGTTTTTTCCCTTTTTTGGGGGGGTTTAAGAGGATCATGTATTCAGGAGTATATGCTTAGAGGGGTTTAAGGGCCATCCTCTATAGGCATGGTACTCTTGAACAAGACGGACTTGGTAGACGACTCGCACGTCAAGCGGCTGGAAGAGCTCATTCGAGAGATGAACCCGTCTTCCTGCATTCTCCGTTGCCAGCAGTCACGCGTGGACATGTCGAAGTTGTTCAACGTCGCCATGTTCAGTCTGGGACGAGTCCTGGCCGAGCAATATATGGATGAAGAAGAGTTTGCCAGATTCTACGAGCCAAAGATGGATCGAGCTGTGTCAAACGTGGGTATTCGCTGCCCTGGCGCCGCGAACTTATTTGCATTTCAGGCGTTGTTGGACAAGTACCTTGGGCAGGAGGAGACGGCCAAAGACTTTCTGCGGGTCAAAGGCGTGCTGGAGATTGCTGGAAGCAGCTCGAAATATGTCGTGCAGTGCGTGCACATGCTGAGGACGACGGGATTCTCGGACCCGTGGGAGCAAGGGCAGCCGAGGGAAAGCCGCATTATCTTCATCGGCCGTGGGATGCAGGCACGACGCCAGTCTTTAACCGACGACTTCATGAAGTGCCTGGTCGCTCCGCTACGGTTTTCCCTTGGCTCCGCGGTGTGTGTCCAGGTTCGGGAGGAGGCTGCTTGCTTGGAGGACCACGGCCACGAAGCTGCCCATTCTCACGACCACTCCCATGGCTGTGATGGGCACAGGGTTTCTAAGGAGCTGAATGAGTACACTTTTACAGGTTTTTGGGATACGATGATCCCCTGGAACTGTAGAACTGAAAGGGTGCTTTTTTTTTTGGGGGGGGGGGGGGGGGGGGCTTCTGAACTCAGCAACTAAGGTTTGGCGCCAGGGCGTGGTTTTGAAGCACTGGGATGAACACAGTGCATACAGAGTACGACTGCTGGATGGTCTCGAGGTGCTTGTGCCCGTGGACGATGCCGAGCTGATCCGGAGTGTCCAGTCCATTGAGCAGAGTCATGATGACTCTACTTTGTGGTCATGATGTTCCATACTATGACGGTTTTTGATGACGAGAGTTGTGTCTTGTTTTCGTGGACGATACTCTCCTCTTGTGCCAGTATAGTATTGCGATTCCTTACCTTTTTAGCTTTGTGTCTTCTTATGGAGATTTACGAGGAAGCTTCCCCGGACCTTGAGAAGACTCGGGGGGCTTGAGAGGGGTGCAGTTTCTTTGGGGAAACGGAGGGAGGACGCTCTTGTGGCTGTAGGGGTTTAGGGCTTGAGGGCTTTAGGGTTTAGGGAGCGTGGGGAGCAGGGAAGTGGGAAAACCCCGTAACCCGACACCGAATCCTAGAAGCCCGACCCTAAACCCTCATGTCAAAAACCCTAGATCCTAAACCCTTATACCCCAAACGGCCTTGAACCCCCTTCAACCCTATAAACCTGACAGCGCTATGCAGGTGTGCCTTCCATGGTGCGAAGGTTTCAGGTCCAAGGTTCAAAGGCGCAGGTGCTGTATCCCTGGAACCTAAAGGTTTAGGGTTTAGGGTTACAGGTTAAAGGGTTATAGGGCTTTGTCATCCGCGAACATTCCGACTCCCTCCATTTCCTCTCTCAGCAGTGGGACGCACGCGCGCTAAAGGCGGCATGCCCCTTGCAAAACGGCTGTGAAAGGGCCGCCCAAGGAGCCCAATACCCCTTAATTCATATTAAGGAATATGCCTTAGTTTACAAAGGGACCCTGAGTATGATTGAAGGTATATTCCTTATTTCAAGGGTGTTGGGCTCTTTGGGTCTGCTTCATGGCTGAACTATCAGGGTTTTGCAGGTCTAGGACCTTGAGGGTTTAGGGTTTAGGGTATCTAGTGGTTTTGGGAGTTTCGGCTTCATCCAGTGTGGTCTTCTCACGTCCTTATCCTCAACCGCTCAGCCCCTTAACACCAAACCTATACGGGAGTTTTCGCAAATAGGGGGCCCCTGATATAGACCCCCAAATAGGATCCCCTTAAAAGAAGGACCCCATTGAGGTGACCCCTGCTATCGTTAGGGTTTAGGGTTTAGGGTTTAGGGTTTAGGGTTTAGGGTTTAGGGTTTAGGGTTTAGGGTTTAGGGTTTAGGGTTTAGGGCAAACCCCCATCTATAGTCATCTTCGGAACCTGCTGAATCAGCATGGGTTGCTTTTCAAGCACAGGATCCTTCACAACTTACTTCGCCAATAGTGGAACTTTAAACTTTTTGGCTTTCCGTACTATTTGGTAGGAATAACAGAGTTCAACCTTTTTTTCTCCTTGGTTATTGGAGAAGTAAGACAAAGTCCTTATGCGGGGCGCGCCGTATTCTGAAGGAGACCTCTGTTCGCTGGCGTCCCTGCTCTCTGAAGGGAGCCAGGAGCCCTCCTAGCTAGCCATTCCTCGTTGTTTACATCTTGAACCTGAAGCACCCTATAAACCCTATAATAAACCCTATAATAAGCCCTATAATAAACCCTATAATAAACCCTATAATAAACCCTATAATAAACCCTATAAACCCTATAACAAACCCCTATAACCCCTACAACCCCTATACGCCTAAGAAGCCCAAACCCGGAATCATGGGGACCTTACCTCGGATCCCTCTGGCTGTCCCCTTGGGTTTGGGAGCCCTTTTAAAGGTCCTCTAAGGGAATACAGGGGCCAGATTAGGAGGAACTATGCTAAAGGAACCTCTTAGGGTACGTCCGCGTGGGTACGAGTCTTAATCGTTGACGAAATCCCTAAACCCTGAACTCTACAGCCCAAACCCTGGTCTTCCAGGCAGACGGCTTCGTTCCGGAGGATGTGCGCGAAAGCAACTGCCGGCTTCGTCGGAGCTGATTTTCTTGCAGGGTCCTTAAACAAAGCAGGGTTTAGGGTTTAAGGTTTAAGGTTTAGGGTTTACGGTTTAGGGTTTAGGGTTTAGGGCAATTAGAATTTAGCTTCTGGAATGCCTGGCGCCATGTGCTCAGCAAAGTTGTACGCAGGGCAAGAGGGCATGACGCATTGCCACTTCTCGGACAAGGCTTTTGGGTTGAGGGTTTAGGGTCACACTACGGCTTTGTTCTTCCTAGCTCGCCAAGGCATTCTCCATCAGGCTTTGGTCCTAGTAAACCCTAAACCCTAGCCCTAAACCCTCAACCCTCAACCCTCAACCCGGCCCTAAACCCTACACCCTAAACCCTAAACCCTAAACCCTAAACCCTAAACCCTAAACCCTAAACCCTAAGCCCTAAACCCTAAACCCTAAACCCTAAACCCAAACCCTAAACCCTAAGCCCTATTAGGTCTCCCATAGGGCTTGGTACGAGTTCACTATTCGGCAGTCCGAATGGGACGTCAACTTGCTACATCCGGGTAGAACACGCAAGATGCGTTTCGATCATAACCCTACACATGCAAAACTCTGAACCTTAAACCATCAACCTCAGCTGAGCAGGTGGCTCAAGCCACCTGCTACCAAAAAGCGACGATTGCATGAAGCGGACATACTTCACGCTTTTTAGAAGTTAAGCCAAGAAAGTCGCAGCCCTTCAGCATCTGCACCATCCAGGTGGCCTTTGGCAGCCTTGTGTACGCCTTCAACCCATAAACATCGAGGCCCTCTAGAAGTCGTAAACTGTCACAAGCCTCCCTATGCCCAGGCCTTGCTCCCTTTGTCCTAACTTCATGGACGCCGCGCGCAAGGCAATGCCGCAGTCTCGACCTGAGCTTTCTCTTCGCATCCTCCGCTTCTTTTTCGCGGCTATTTGCTTCGTAGCCCAGTGGTAGCCTTTACCCTTTCTTTGTTCTGGGTTCCCTTATGCAGTAAAGAACCAAAAACAAGTGTACCCTCATTAGAAAGATGGTTACTAGCTCCAGTGGCAGCAGACCCTTCCGTGCGCTGGTGACTGAACCGCTGCCCAGGCAATTCTTTGCTTTACAGGAATTCTTTCAGCTGTGAGTTTTGCACGCGCTGTAAACTAAGAAGGGGGTTTCCGAAAAGTAGGGGTACCCTTTTTGGGGGCCCCTTTAAAAGGAAAATACGGTATTACGGTTTTTCGGGGTATATAAGGGGTACCCTATTTCGGAAATCCCCAGATACTCTTCTTGTGCTAGAGTACACTGCAGCCGTACTGCTCTTGACAACCTCTTCTGTCGCGACTGCGACATTCCCCTCTCCATTGCCTATGAGCATGTCGATGCCTGGCGGATAGCTGCAACTTAATGTTTGCATTAATTATAGAGCTGCGTTATGATCTTTTGCGAAGATCCGGAATCTACAGCATAAAGATGTGTTGAGAAAGCCAGCGGTGGCGCAACTACAACAGCAAAACTGTGCGAATGAAGCTTTCTTGCAACTACTTCGCGTTTCCCTGTTTAGATGTTCAAGAGGTTTGCAAGGTTGGTCGTCCCCCGTCCCTCCCCACTACTTCATGCCACTCGAGTTGTTGCTCGTTGTTTGTTTTTTGATTCTGTGTGTTGCTCTTGCTGATACGAGTGCAAACGACCCCCTCTTCTTGAGCAACGAAGTGTTCTCATAGCTTTGCCTGCAGGCCACGTAGGCATGCTGGTAGAAAACGAGCATGTATTCAGTTTCGTAGTCTGAACACCATCGGTGGCACACGGGCGCTGGTCTCCCATCACGCTGCGAGGAAAGCACCTGCGTGGGCGTGTCAACCTTTCCTCAAGCCCATAACTGTAGGGCCTGGCAGTGATAGAGCTGCGAGCCATGGTGGACTATAGCAAATTCGATAAGATTGTGGTGGATGAGTCAGATTCAGACGATGCGGCAATCGGCACCCTCCAAGATGTGGCAGATGCAACCACGTTCAAGGCACGGATTATGCGCTCCGAAGCTTCAGCACGTCAACATGAAGACTTTCCGTATCCTCTGAAAGGTGGACAAGTGGTGCCTTTCGATATCCGGCACGAGGCTTGCGCACGTTACGGGTACTCACATGGTGATGTGGTGATCACCGAGTGCGGCGTCATTTCCACAGCCATAGGAGTTCACGACGCTCATCTGTGGTTTCATGTGGAAGGAGCAGCAGGGGCAGGTTTATGGCAGCACGAGACTCTGAGGAAGGTTGGCCACACATTGGTCAGGTTTGAGTCTGAGAGCACGAGACAGGCCCCGAGTTTGTCTGACGACTGGCTGAGTCTGGACTTTCAGTACACAGCGGGACTTACCGTGTCTGCAGCAGCAGTTGAGCGCTTCGACACTCGCGATCAGCTTTGCATGCAAGTTGGAGGCTTTCAGCATGGACAGGTTCTCCAGGTCCGAGGCATCAACAAGCCAATCGTCACCATCGGGGTGCGCCGCAGCCCAGATGGCCGCCTGGCCCTTTGGTTTCACGTGCACGGAGAACCAGGAGCTGGTATCTTAAGCTCCGCTGCCTTGGCCTCTGCTCGTGTCACAGGAACGCGGGTCGTCCGCGAGCATGTCGTGCCAATCATTGCAAGCCCTCAGCCGGCGCCTGTGGAAGTGCAAGCTCAAGATTCAAAACCGTCGCCGTCTCAGAAGGAGCTCGTGCAGGAGCAGAAGGCCCGAAAGGCGGCGGAGGCCGAAGTGAAGCAGCTGCGCAATGAAGTGAAGCAGCTACGAAGCTTGGCCCACGTTTTGTCTTTATTTGTGCTCATGTCGGAGACACGGAACGATGGACCCTACCTGCGTCATGGCTCCAGACAGTACACAACGCAGGAAGGAACCTGGACCAACTCCGACTTTCGAATGCAGAGAAGCGCAAGGACCACATAGGGCACCTGACCCAGACCCCTGCTGCCAATACATCCCGCGCCCGATTTAAATCAAGAGTAAGCGTTGGAATACACCAGCAGATGCTACAACTGTCGAAGAAGAACCCAAGATTCTAAGCCTAAACCCCTGTGCCTTAAAGCAAAAACTCTGACGGGTGCTTTGTCAACATCCTGTTCTGGATCATAGACTCCAAGAGTCCGGGGGCGCCCTGTCCCGCCTCTTGTGATTTTGCACCCTGCATCATGACCCTGTACAATTCACCTTACTATCTCCATAGTACTGCTATGCCCACTTACTTCCCCTTGTTCTCAGCAGCACAGACACTACCCAACATCGCCTCAGGACCGCTTGAAACGAGACAATATCGTGAGGGAGGCACGGCATTGATCAGTTTTTGCGTTTAAGGTCGGAGGGTCCAGTGGCCCCTCCCACTCCCCTCCCTCGTTTGCTTTAACTCGAGTAAGCTTGTGTTGAAGAACATCAGGCCATCAAGATCAGTTGTTTCAAGAAAACTTACGAAGTTGGTTCAATCCTGTCATGCACCATTGCGCTTGCAAATGGGCCCTGGCTGTGCCAAAGAAGCAGCTGGGAACATGAACAACCTGCACCTTGAGATGGCCAGCCAAACCGCGCCAAAAGCCAAGCCGTTCCAGTTGGAAAAGAAGAAACCCCGCACACAAGCCAAATCCTGAGCCAATCCTATAGCCAAGCCAAGTTCGTGCCGACAAAAATGCTTCGATCATCCCCACCCTACAGCTACCTTATGTGGGTTCTCTGCCGGTGGTCTGAGCTTTTCTGGGGGTGGGTACTCCAAGGACACACGGTGGGACTCTCTGCGGGCTCCTCTGGGTTGGGCACGGCAGGGGCCAGGCCCAGGAGACAGCTGGGACACCAGCGAGGAGGCGAGGGGCACTGCTGACAACAACTAACAACCCCACATTGAGGGTGGGGAGCAAAACCCTTCCAACGCCAGCCAAGCCAAATATTCTAAGAAAAGCAAAGTGCCTTCTCAATCGCGAAGTACCCAGCGCTACGCCCAGTGAGACCTTACAAACCAGAGAGGTCGAGTCTGAGATGATGCGCCATTACATCGAGCCCAAGTTGCAGGATTTGCGCTTGGAGCAGGAGCCCTGCATGATGGGCTCGCTTAGGCACGTTGTGGTTGAAGCTTGTCGCCTTTGGGGGGCTATTATTTGGGCGGGATGGTCCAGGGATGGCTTTTGGTGCGCATGAACGTCCGTGACCTTCCCGCTAGAATCCAGCAGTTCCAGGGTGCAGACAGGAGTCCGTCCAGCAGCAGAAGGCCAACATGACGGCGACTGGGACGGCGAAAAGACCCCACAAGTCTAGAACCAGATACTGGACGCTGAGACGGGACTCATGCGAACTATGCCAGCCATAAGACCTAAAGCCTACGTTTTGGTAGGTTGCCCAAGAATCCTATAAGGGGCCTCATAATTGGATGATTGAGGAAATCAGTTTTGGGTATGAGACTTGTATAAGTTCGAACCCTATCACTGGTGTATAGCTTTAGGGCTCTAGGGCTCTAGGGTTTAGGGCTTAGGGTTTATAGGCCCACTGTTCCTTTCCTAGGCTTGTCATCCGCATGCTGTTAGGTCCCAGGTGTCCTGCAGGTCCCTGGTCCTCATGTATGTATATATATATATATATATATGTCTATCTATGTCTATAAACAAAATATGTAGATATATACACATACATGTATATATATATATATATATATCTTTTTGAGGAGGATCAGGCAGAGGTCTTGTTCTGGCATTTGAGGCCTCATCGCGTGCGATGGAAGCTCAGAAGCACCAGCTACAGCAGAAGCTGGAGGCCAACTTGACAGACACGCGGCGGCTGCAACAAGAATTACGGGAAAGAGCATTAGAAGCTGAGCGTCTCCGCCAGGAGACGGCGCATCTTGAGAATCGGATTGAACAGGATGCTGCTGAAAAGGCGGCGCTGCTGCGACAGCTTGGTTCGCAGTCGTTGTCCGTAGACGAAGAGACATGGCAGTTTCAGAACGATGCTGGTGGGTGGACCTCTTATTCAGCCAAAGTCAGCTCTGAGCTCATGACGGCATTCACAAATGGTGCTGAGGTCTTTACCGTGATTTGCGAGGGGAGACATTATGAGATTGATTTCAAGCTCAAGACGCAAATGAACTTGAGCACATCAAGACGTCGCGCCATCCGCTGTGACCTCGGCCTGCCTGTCCACTGGCAGATGACCAATGAGGATGGCCTGAAGCTCTTGGAAGGTGACCCGGATGACGCACAGGGCTCCGACATCTCGTTTGCGCTCTCTATGGGGACCGCTATGACTGCCATGAGTGATGGCATGCGCCTGGCCATGCAAGTCTCCTACAAGAGATATGTCACGAGAGTTTCGGACGAAGCAATCTTGCTGAAGCTTGAACATGTCTTGAATCTTTCTCTCAAGCGACACGATGGCTCCGCTTGCGACTGCTTTCACGGAGACTCCACTTTCCGGTTGAAGGAGGCATACCAGGTGCGCAACTTGTACCTTTGGCGCCGATACCAACGCTTTGTCAAGAGCATTCGTGACAAGCAGAAGCAGTTTCGGATTAGGCCACAAGCAATCCATCCGTCACTTGGGGATTCGCTAGAAGACTTCGCGAAGCTTCTCCAAGTAAATGATGCCCAAAATGAAAGGCTACTTTTTCATGGAACGAAGAAATTCGGCGATGCCCAAGCTATTGCGACGGAGGGGTTCGACAATCGAGTTGCGCAAAATGGTGGGCTGTATGGCAAGGGAACATACTTTGCTGCACAGACGTGCAAGAGTGCGCAGTATGCTTTGAGGAGAGGCAAATATGAGAAAGCTTCTCACAAGAGACTAGGTACGATTCTTCTTGCGCGAGTCGCACTTGGTGATCCCTTCTATACTGAGGGCCCCTACCGCGAGTCTCGCCACTCAGCAGCATGAACAGACCAAACCGGACAAGAAGCTTCTGGTTTTAGGGTTGTTGGGTGCCCAGGTCCACCTACGAAGACATGCCGACGGCATGATCCCGGCTCTGGCTCAGATGATGATGAGAATATGCATGAGATTATTTGCGATTCTCTCATTGCCAAGCCGGGGATCCGTCGCGGAGATGGTGTTCAGAGTCATATGGAGTTTGTGACCTTTGCCCCGGAACAGGTGTACCCCGAGTACATACTCCGCTACATTGAGGACTGATGCAATTTGATGTCTTGCTAGGATACTTCAAGAAGTTTCTTCCAAACAGCCTATCTCGCGAAGGTGAGACTTCAGAAACACAGCCAGAGTACGTTGCGCAAGTGCCGTGGCTTTGTGGGTCAAGCAGTACAGACCAAACTGCTGCATTGCCTCCGCAAGCCTGGAAGAACAACTTGTTGACTTTCTCCGGCGCCGTGCGAAAAAGTTCTTGCATCAAAGGGCTGCAAGCACGGCCCTTGCAGTCATTTCGAAGGGAGATTCCTGAGCACTCTTGATTCGATGTTTGCTTCTTGTTCCTCATCTTGATCGTCCCTAAACCCTAAACCCTAAACCCTAAACCCTAAACCCTAAACCCTAAACCCGTGCAGGGTGCGGTCCGGAGTTGCGGAGCTTCGCTGGACATGCCAAGCGCGCACCTAGCGCCAAAGCCCTGGGTTCTGTGAGGCCGGGGTTCGGTTGAAAGCTCAACATTGGGATGTTCTCCCATTATACTAACAGTCCTTAATAGGGATTGTAGTACCCCCTATCAAGGACTGCTAGTATAAGCGGGGAAAGCCCCATTTACAAAGCTCAACATTGCATAAGGTCGGGGGTTGGGAGGGTTATAGGGTTTAGGATTTCCAGAGTGGAGTTTAGGGGTCTTAAACAACTATACCTGTACGACAACATGTTTTAGCAAGGGGCATTGCAGGCTCCAGTGCTATAATTTGCTGAGTTCGTTTACTGCGGGCGATCGTGGGAAGTAGCCGATGCTGCTTTGCTGATGTTACGATGCCTACTGTATTGCAGCCGCAAGTCTTCCAGTGGCGTGACAGCGTGAGCTTTCGGCTGGCCAGCGAGCGATGGAGTCCAACAGCCTCCACCCCCGGCACGGCCAACATCGGACCCACTCCCCTCGATCCACAGCCAGGGTTAACGCAAGCGACCCGACAGTGATCCATTACATGGAGATAATTGGGGGCAGGAGGGGGGGTAATAGAGGGTTACCCCGCATGCGGAACATGGCACCTGGGGCACGGAAGTCCGAGCTGTCCATCTGTCCATCTGGCTATCGGAGCGGCAGCTTCAAGGGCGCCAAGAACTTCTCGCGGCGCTGCAGGTGCGAGCAGCCTTGCTAAATCTGCCGAGCTGGGGGACGTCTACTTTCCTGAGCTCCCGGGGAAGTCAACGTTTGTGGCATGGGGCGGGGGGGGGGCGCTTCTCGACAGCGGGTCTTCCAAAAGCTTTTCTTGCCGACCCCTCTCTGACAAGCGGTACGATTTGGTGCAAGACGTCCTTGGTTGGCAACCCCTCCAGCCTGTGAGATGTTGTCGGCTTCAGCTCTGCGAGGGACCCGCTCCGTCCAGATATCAGCACTCAGCTTAATTTGGGCCATCTTAAGCACAAAGTCTGCACCAGGGTGCATGTAACAGCTTGAGTGACTTCGGGAAGTTATACAGGCGCGTGGTCTCTTCATCCGGGCATCTGTCTAAGTCTACATATAGAGAAGGACTCGAGTGTGGGTACCTATGCGGGCTGTAATTGTGTTGCCTCCTGAACTTAGGGCAAGAGACCACCAGCCTGCACAATTGTCCCAAGCCATGCCGTGCCTGGCGCCGCCCGCGCCGCCTGACACGGCACTGCGGCGACACGCGCGCTCACTGCAGGAGCAGCCATGGAAGTCTGAGGTGGGAAACCCTAAACCCTAAACCCTAAACCCTAAACCCTAAACCCTAAACCACTCTGAAAGCCCCAAAGCCCATCGAACCCATCGCAGTCGAGTGTTGTTGTCATTCAATAGCATATGTTAAGTAGGTTTTGGCCGTGTGCAGGTCGTGCCCTTGTTTCCCATGTACACGGTGCCCATGGCCGCGCTCCTGCAGATGACCGAGGTCAAGCCGCACGAGGCGTTGAAGTCCGACGGAGTACTTGCAATTTTCGATGCAAGCATGGGGCGGGCAGCACTCGTTTCACACCAGTGGGTAGGTCATCATCATCCAGATCCAGACTGCAAGCAGTTTCGTGTCTTGCAAGATGCGCTGAGAAACATCTTTGCGAAGCAGACTGCAATCTGTCCGGACGTGATGACAGAAGTACTCTTTGGCCGATCCAAGGGTATAGATGCCAAGGAATTCACTGGACATGACATGTACATTTGGTACGACTATTTCTCCTGCCCACAGCTCGAGCACCAGTTTGGGTGCTCGGGTCATCAGAGCCAGCTCTCGAGGGCCATTGACAGCATCCCGGCCTATGTGAGCAAGTGCGCCTTGCTTCTGGTGCTGTGCCCGGTCACCGAAACGCCCGACAGGTCCCAGGTGCGGGTTTACGAAAATCAGGGAGACCGAAAAAAAACCTTAAATTTGTGGGTTCCCTTTTAGAATAAGGGCCCGAAGAAGGTACCCCCTAGTGTCGGAAGACCCCCAGGTGTTCGGACCGATGAGCTGGAATAGCAGAGGCTGGTGTAGGCTCGAGAGAATGGCGCGGGAGTGTTCGGGAGACGGCTCCTTCATCATCATCAAGAGCGCCAGGCACGTGGAGTTGGCTTCTTCATCCTTTGCCTCGTCGCTTGGGGGACCAGAGGAACCTTAAAATAGGGAGTCAATATACACTAAATACTACTTCTTCTTGAGGTAAATATGAACCCTAAGCCCTTTTGTTGGGCTCATTTCGTCCCCCAGGTCCTGCGAAAACTCGCCAGGCGAAGGGGAGTTCACGGTCGAGTCAGATCGCTTTCGGATTGGCCCCGTGGTGAAGCAGATGCTGAGAGCAAGGTTGCATCGACATCTGCAGGAAGGCGACTTAGCCAGCTATCGCGTGGTGGCCAATGCACAGGCCATCTTTTTCAGAGGATTGCTTCAAGAGCCCATCGGTGACCTCGTCCCTACCAGTGAGCGAGAGGCAGACGGCAGTGACTGCAGATTCGGTGCAGTGGCGCGCTTCCTGTTTCAGAACGGCTTCACGCATGTCCGCGAGTATGACGAGGCGGGATGGTCTCCCTTATGCTACGCCGCTTTGAACGGAGACGCGGCGTTGGTCAAGTCTCTGCTCGAATCGAGGGCCAGTCCAAATGAGCAAACCAAAGCCGGTCAGCCCCTGCTCGCCTTGCAAAAGCACGTCTCAGCACTGGGCATCTGCGCCTACTTCAAGAACAATGATGCCATGAAGGTGCTGAACCCTCAACCCTATAAACCCTATAAACCCTACAATTAACCCTATAAACCCTATAAACCCTACAAACCCTAAACCTGCCATGAAGGTGCTGATAGCTGCCAGGGCCGAGGTCAACACCTCCGGCGCCACACCCCCTCCCATGGTCCTGGCCAGCTTTGGGAACAATGCCCAGGGCATCCAGCTGCTCTGTACCTTGGAGACCAAATTGAACCTTAAAATTGGGGTCATACACCCCTATATCTACTATAATTTCTTATATTTTGGTATAAACATGAACGCTAAACCCTTTTAGGGCTCAAATTTCGTTTCCAAGGTAACTCGCGCGTCAGCCCAAATGTTCGAAATGCCTTGGGCATCTCGGCGCTGCAGCACGCCTGTGCCACAGGCGGCCTTCATGCGGTGGACATGCTCCTGGCCTTGGCGAGTGACGCGCGTGACGCGCTTGACATGTCGGGATCCCTGCATGCCGCAGTGCTGCTTCAAGCAGGCTCGGATGAGCTCATTCTGAAGCTGATTTCAGCAGGGGCGGACGTGAATGAGCAGCTGCGCCCTCGCATGTTGAGCATGCTGGGAATCTTCTTCAACATCAAGGGCATGCAATTCAGATTCAAGCAGTCGACAAGACTACGCACCTTGGGCTATCACCACTATGGCGCGACTCCTTTGATGGTGGCCATACTCGCGGGGCATTTCGAATCAGCGGCGACCCTCATCCGTGCTGGATCCAAATTGGACGTGAAGAACTTCAGGGGTCAAACAGCAAAGGATCTCATGCGCGAGGCATCGGTGCCAAGTTACCTCCAACACGCTTTGGGCGGTCAAGTTGCGAGGCAACAGTTCTGTGACAAGCTACGACCCAATACCATGGCATCGAGTCATGCCCTCGGAGCCATAGGAAGCTCAAAGGAAGATGAGGGTTTGTACTTCAGCGTGTGAGGGGTGGAGTCCTCTGCTGTCAAGTACGGGCAGACATTGGCCCGTGTTCAATTCACTTGGTAGCCCAGTGGTACCGTTTTCCCCTTTTTTTGGTTCAAGGTTCCCTTATTTGAACTCACCAACCAAAAATGGGTGGCCTTATTTTGATATGGTTACTGGGGTACCAAGTGCACAATTTATCTCGGCACATGCCTGAGCCCGATAAGTGACCATCGCGTGGCTTGGCGCGGTGCTTTCGTCAGATATCCTCGTTGGCACCGGTGAAGCCAGAAGACAGCTGGGCGGTTTTTTCGAATAAACAGCTCATTCTCTAGTAACGAATCTAGAAGTTGAGCAGGCGCAGGAGATTTCGGGGAGGGGCTGCGATCGTTGGTGCTGCGAGTTTTCTTCGGCTCAGGCGCATGGTTCGACATTTATATTTGCGAGCATTCTTATTTAGTCCTTGCACTCCTTGGGGACGAAATGAAACCTAAAAGGGTTTATGGTTCATATACCTTAAGAAGAATTATAGTAAAAGGGTTTATGGTTCATATACCTTAATGAAAAATGATAGTAGTATAGGGTATATGACCCCCCAATTTTAAGGTTCCTTTGGTCCCCGAGGCTGCCCGCACGAGGCCCGTCTTCCATGACTGAGAATCAAGAGTCAGCGATTGCGATTGCAGGTCTTTGGAGAAACCCTCTCGTCCCAAGACCCTGAACTCATTAACCCTAAACCCTAAACCCTAAACCCTAAACCCTAAACTCTAAGCCATTGCAGCAGTCTGATTCTTCTTTCTGCAGCTGGCCTCTTTCGGGGCCACGCGCCTCGCAGGCGTGGCCCGAAAAAACCCCCATTTGGGTCAGACCGAGATGCAAAAAAGGGCTCGAGGCATCTGCTGCCCGGCTGTGGCACAGCAAGGGGTTCAGTCTGACGAAAGGGTTTAGGGTTTTAGGGTTTATGTTTAGGGTTTAGGGATTACGGTTTGAGAGAGGGAGAGGGAATCTGAGTACATTTGGGCTTGCAGGTGTCTGCATCGTGAGACCGACCGGCAGATTCCCTTGACAGACACAGCAGTGACATGGTATAGAACAAACATATCAAATAGCACTATAGTAGCACTATCAATAGAACTAATGGCACTACATGGTACAACTAGAAGATAAGGGTGAGAATATCCTAAGCCTGAAAGCGACCGATCCCCCAAGCTGGCTTGGCACTGCCTTGTCCGAGAAGTCCCGAGCTCAGTGGCCGCGCAACACACGGCTTTCTTGGAATCTGTGGCTTTTCTTGGGTGGTTTTTCTAACCGCCATGTAGATGACCTCTTGCAGGGTTTGAAGTATTGAGAGGCAGAAGATGTGACTGTGCATCTTTTCAGACACTGGTCGAGTCTTGGAATTGGTAAGCTTTGATTTAGGGCTTACCAGAATTTCAAAAGTTGCGATTTAGGAGCGTAAACCCAAGTATCTCCCAACATTACGAAACACGACAGGGCCGGTACCCTCCTCCAGGCTTCAGGCGCTTTGCGACATGGCACCAGCATGCCCTGCTCTTTGTGCACTGTGTTGAGGGGAGTCGCGCCGCTACATCACCCCCGTCCCTTCCTGTCGAACCCGAAAGGTTCTGCAGGCCCAAACCCAAGAGAGCTGCAAGCCTACGAACCCTCAACCATAAACCCTAAACCCTAAACCCTTACTAATCAACTTCAGGTTGTTGCGCGGCAGCCGCTGGGGGGGCCCATCTGCGAGCTTGGCGGGCAGTTGGGTCGAGTCTCTACTTGTCATCGTAGGCTACCTATATTGAAACAGGGTTTAGGGTTTAGGAGAGCCTTACAACACAAACATGTAGGCTGCAGGGTTTGGGGTTTCACTCTTTTCCTGATAGTCACGAATAGTTAGTACAAGGAGGAACATCCCGATGTAGGGTTCTTAAGGTAGTTGCGCCGACTATCTTGACCTCTTTTCTCGGAACCTAGCTCTTGATGTTGGGGCACTTTAGCAAGGGTTTAGGGATTAGGGTTTAGGGTTTAGGGTTTAGGGTTGAGGGTTTAGGGTTGAGGGTTTAGGGTTTAGGGTTTAGGGTTTAGGGTTTAGGGCTCTTGTCTTGGGACTGCTCTCCCAAAAGCCTCACCTCCAGCTCTTGAGCTGCCAAAGGTGAAGTTCCTGTGTCGTTTGGCCCTAAACCCTAAACCCTAAACCCTAAACCCTCAAGCCCCCTGTAACTTGAAATTATTAAGAAAAATCCAAAAACGAAACTCCTCGAAACTTCCCCGGACCTGAACCCTTAATAATTTCAATAAACCCTAAACCCGCATAGGGGGCGGCAAAAAACACCTCAACCCCGGGCCACAGAGGTAGGTTGAAGCGAAGGGCGGCACCATACCAAGGGGGAGGTGCCGATATCCCTAAACCCTAAACCCTCAACCCTAAACCCTGAACAGAATCCTCTCGAAGCCGAAAGATCCCTTACAGCCTTGGCGTCCCGAAAATCCTTGGATGCCTTAATACAAAGATCCCCCCGAAAGCCGAGACGCCAAACCCTGAAAAGCCCCGAAGCCTCTTCCTGATGAACCCTCGAAGGAGTTGTGATGAGATGCCCAATTCCCCGTAAGTCATGCCCTACTTGGGAATGGAGCTCTAGAAAGTAGTACCCTAAACCCTCAACCCCAAGTACGATAAGAAGCAGCCGGCTTGAAGAAGCGCCAAAAAAGCGGCGCCAGGGGAAGCACTGGCGCCGAAGAAGCACTGGAGGCCAGCAACAGAGGGAGCTGTGGGGGACTTCAGGGGGTTCAGGCTTTAGGGTTTCTAATGTTTGTAGGGTTGTAGGGTTTATGTTTATAAACATATAGGGTTTATAGGGTTTGTAGGGTTCCGAGGGTTTCAGGCGTTCAGATGCTCAGGGTTCGAGCTTTCCTTGAGCGCGGAGACAAAGACTCCCTTAATTCCCTCCTCTCCGCATCTTCACAAAGCTTTGCGGCCCTGTGAGAGCCCCAGGAAACTGCAGGATTCTTAGTGGCTCAGAAACCCAAGCAAAGAGGCGCGCCTGCCCCCCCCCCCCCCCCCCGAAAGCGTCTTAGGAGGCCATTAATTGGTTGCCAGGGGGTTTCTTTGGGGCAAAAGAATGGGCAGCGCGGCCTCATGCCTTGGCAAGGCTTCGGTCGAGGAGCTCCGGGCCTTGGAGGCGGAGCTGCCTTGGGAGACCAAGGCCCGGCTTCGGAGCGCCCTGGACTTGGCCCAGGCCGTGCCCGCGTGGCAGCAGGGGCCGCTGTCTGGGATGGTGTCGGCCGGTGAGAGCTGGCTCTTCTTCATGCAAGGTGATCCCTTTTGCCTGCTGGAGAATCCCAACAGAAGGCAGCGCGACGCGCTCCTTGCCGATCGGGAGTACATGTTTGAGCTCGTGCGGCAGACGCAGGCGTCGTTTCTCTGGCGGATGGCCGCCCAGGAGCTGCGAGAGGACCCATCCTTCGTATCCGAGTGCGAGCGCCTGGCAGGCACTGGACTCGTCTTCCGCTACTACAAGAAGGAGTATGTCTACAAGAGCATGAGGGAGCACTTCCCAACAGCCAGCGCCTCCGTACCGGGCGGCCTGGCCTACGCGCAGGTGATGGACAAAATCAAGATTGCTGGAGGCCACACTGCCACGGTGTGGTTTGACGAGCAGCCGGTCTTTGGTCACATCGCCGATGACGGAAGATGGGTCCATCCGAGTCAGGACTGTGGCAGAGACGATGTGCCGGTGCCCCCTCCGGAGCAGCAGGATGCTAAGTGGAAGTCCACTGTGGACTCCAGGAGTAGCAGCCACAAGCCTAACGTAGGTGAGCGTCATCCGTGTTGGTGCTGCCACTGGCTGCGGCTGGTTCGGAAGCGGCACGCGGAGGGGGACGTCATTTGCTGCACTACTTCGAACATTTATTTCTCCGACTGGGTTGAGAAATTTGGTGCGGGCTCATCGGAGCTGTCAGATGCAAAGGCAGACGAACTGGGCTTGCCTCGGGAGACTTTTCGGAATGGTCGACCTGAGGAATGGGGAGAGGGCCGCATCCTGCTCAGCGCTGGCCAGCGCACAGATCGTGAGGCTCCCATCCATCCTCGCACCAAGCTGCCCCTGGGCAGCGGCTGTCGTTGGGAGCGCAGTGTCCTGGACAGCTTGGAGTTCCCTGTCTACGCCTTCTTCATTCCGTGAGAGCTTCCGTGAGAGCTTCCGAAGCTCTGAGACCCTTAGATTGCGCACCTCTTTGGCTGGTGCCTGGAGGGGGTGTTTTTCGTCCAGGAGCCCAAAGGGACACGGTTTTCACCCCCTTTTTAGGCCAGCCCTAAGCCCTAAGCCCTAAGCCCTAAACCCTAAACCCTAAACCCTAGGGTAAGATGTCGTCGACTTCAGCTCACGAGCTTCGCTGGACTTGGAAAAGCTTGGTGTCTGATGGCTTGGGGTTGCAAGCTCAATTTGCGTAGCTAGCATGTGGCTGATGCAGCTCCAGCAGAGCCAGCCTACAAAAACAAGCACAGCAAACTTTGGCAGTTTTGAGAGTTGAGGGCTGAGGAGTTTCCTGCTGTTGTGTCTTGGATGCAGTTGGCCCTGAGTTGGCTGATCAGGAAACCCAAAACCCCCTAGCCTTCAAACCCCCCTCCCCAAACCCATAAAGACCCCTAAACCCTATACCCTATAAACCCTATAAACCCTATAAACGTATAGGGTTTATAAACCCTATTAACCCTATACCCTCAACCCCAAACCCTAAACCCTAGACCCTAAACCCTAAACCCTAAACCCTAAAGATGCAGGCTGGGACTGGCAAGGGGGAGCAGACGAAGCCCGAAGAGCCTCCTGACGGAGTCACTCGTCGGCCCGGCCGATTTGAGTGGGATTAGGGTTTAGGGTTTAGGAGTTAGGGTGGTATACCTATGTACTCCAGAAAGGTCCTACATCGGAGCCGGTTTAGGGTTTAGGGTTTAGGGTTTAGGGTTTAGGGTTTAGGGTTTAGGGTTTAGGGTTTAGGGTTTAGGGTTTAGGGTATGGGGTTTGAAGCTGCGAGTCCAGAACTCGGTATTCGGACCGGTGAGGCACCTCTGATGGCTCTGAACAGGGTATAGGGTTGAGGGTTCAGGGTTTAGGGTTCAGGGTTTAGGGCTAGGGTTCAAGATGTAGGATCTACGGCTTCTTCCTCGTGCCTGGCAAGCTGCCTGGGCTGGAGCCGGGAGGAGAAGGATCTCATGAAGCAGGGCCGAGCCACGGCATGTGTGGCCCACTCTCGCACTGGCAGGGCTTATAAGGTTTAGGGTTTCGGGTTTGGGGTTTAGGGCTTCGGGCTTAGGGTTTAGCGTTTAGGGATTAGGGTTTAGGGTTTAGGACTTAGGGTTGGAGTTTAACGCCCCAAGGCATGACCAGCCCCAAGGCATGACCAGCTCCAAGGCATGACCTGCATGGTACTCAGTCTTGGGCACGGCCTGCGTGGAACCCTTGTGTGCTGGGCCTTGCCATGTTCGAGCAATCTGGCTCGTTTCTTGGTTTTGCTGCTGGCCTCTTTCACGGCCACATCGTCCCGCAGACGGCCCAAAGAGCCCTCTTGGTATCCTGTCTCGTCTTCGAGCCCGGAGGATTGGAATCTTCTGCGGTTCAGGGAACCCCAAGAATCTGCAGAATCTTATACTCCAGGTTCTTGGTTGGGGCAAGACTACATCGACAGCATGGCCACAACAACATCCACGACCTCGACGAGCACGGGAGTGGATGTGCCTGAGAGGCACTCGTGCTCCACATGTTCATGCGCTATCACTAGCACACTTAAAGTCGCAGAAGGGCTGAGTCTGCCTGGCCTGCCCCCCTGCGTGCCAGGTCTACACGACGGAGGGCTGCGCTGAAGTAGGGTTTAGGGTTTACGAGTTAGGGTTTAGGGTCTAGGGTCTAGGGTTTAGGGTGCAAAAGTTTAGGGTTTAGGGTTTAGGGCCCAGAGTAGCGGTAGCTTGTGACCTTGCATGCAGCGCGGAAACAAGGACGGGAAGCCACCATGATTTGCACGCAGTCCTCATTGGAGCTTGAGCCAAGCATTCAGTGGAGTGTTAGTAAACTGCGCATGTGTTGAGGAGCTGGCTTGTGCTCTCTTGTGAGACTTGCAGAGCAAGGGTTCACGCAAGAAGTCGTCGCAAAGACATTGCGGGCCGCCAGCTGCTGGCCCATGTTCGCAGCTATTTGCCTAGAGTCCCGACGCCTCTCGACATCTTTGAATGATGGCCGCAATGGCAAGTCTCGCGTTGCTGCTTGTTATGTGGTGCGGTTGCCAGAGCGCAACCCAGCCACAGGGAGCCTGCGCTGGCAACAGCGGTCTTGGCCTGATTCAAAGGTGGGCGTTTCCCAAAATAGGGGTACCCGATTTAGAGTAGAATCCCTTAAAGGGACCCCCCCCCAAAAAAGGGTAACTCTTTTCGGAAACCCCCCAGGTTGCCAGCGATCAAGAAATTCGAGCTGGACCATGAGAGCTCCTTGGACACGAAAATGAACCTCAAAATTGGGGGTCATATACCCAAAACTACTACAATCCCTATTGAGGTATATGAACCCTAAACCCTAAACCCTTTTACCTTTTAGGGCCCATAATTCGTCCCGAGGCTCTGCCACCCAAGAGCCGGCTTTCTTGCCGGTGGATGGCGGGGTTGGTCGAGCTTGTCGTGGGGCAAGCACTGGCGACAACAAGCAAGAGTTTGGGTTGCAGAGTAAGGTAACCTTTTAAACCTTTTTTCTGGTGTAATATATATATATATATATATATTTATTTATTTATTTATTTATTTATTTAAAAAAAAATATATATATGCACATAGTCCCCTCAGAATCCCAAAGGTTAACCTTTAACCTCTAGTTCCCTTAGGCACTGGACAACTAAGGAGTACTTCCAGGTCTTGTCAGCCAGCGACATCGGAGCCTGCAAGGCGCTCTGCGAAGGCGCGGCCGGATGCGTTGGCATCGAGCACCCTCTCCGGCAAAGGTTCAGGGTTCAGGGTTCAGGGTTCAGGGTTCAGGGTGCAGGGTTCAGGGTTCAGGGTTCAGGGTTTAGGGTTTAGGGTTTAGGGTTTAGGGTTTAGGGTTTAGGGTTTAGGGTTCAGGGTTTAGGGTTTAGGGTTTAGGGTTTGTTTGAGGTGCCCTCAGTCTTCTCAGGGTGTTTGGTATGGGAGCCCCCTAACAAGCGACGGAGTCATCTTCAAGCTTTCTTTGTGGGTTTAGGGTTCCAGGGCTTTCGGGGCTTCTTTTTTGTCAGAAGCTCATGACATAAATGACCTTAAGAACCCACAACCTACATTTTTGTAGGTTACCTCTCAGAATCCGATCATGGATCTTATAATAAGAACCTTTAAAAGCAGTGGGTTTTTTTGGGGGTTCTTCAAGTACAGGTTTGGGACAGCTCAGGTACCACACGTCCGGTCGCTGCGAGGTTTGGACGAAGAAGGAAGGGATCCAAGCAAGCTTCTCGGCGCGGCTTCGGGGGGCTTTCTGTCAGGGCTTTATGGGGCTTAGGGCTTTAGGGCTTTAGGGCTTTAGGGTTTATAAGATTTAGAATTTAAGGTTGTAGGTTCAGGGATTTTGGGGCCGGGGTTGTTGGTGTCTGGGGGGGGGCGGCCTGATATTTTTATTTATTTTTTTTTTTTTTTGGGGGGGGGGGGGAGGGGGCTGTATATAAGGTGCACGCGTGGCGGGCAATTGTTGCCGATTTGCCGAGGCACTTCAGCCCCCCAAAAAATGAGAGTGACCACAACCTTTGTAGAAGTTCAAGGGTTGTGAGGTACAGGGATTTGGCACGGCAGGCAGGGAGAATTTGCAACAGTGTAGCTAAGCGCAGCCTCAAATGCTAAAGGCATCGAGCTCACCGGCTACACCTGTCTCCGGCATCTTGGCAGAACGCCCTGCGCCTTCCTCCAAAACTGAACCCTGCAATGCACCAACAGCAGCTCCGAAAGACCAAAGTAACACCCAAAGAGCCCAATACCCCGTAGTTAAGGACTATACCTCAAATCATATTATGCAAGGATCATTTTTTGAATTAAGGTATACTCCTGAATTCAATAAGGTGTATTAAGGGCCCTTTACGGGCACGTGAGATTCGATTTTCCTCCCAGGTACGGAACCGATGGCTTCCTGCCGGTGGACGGAGGCAGCGACCGGGTGTGCCGAGGTGGGGACATCCACGACAACAACCCGGCATCCTGGAGTTGTTCAGAAGTGTCCGCGGTTCTTGGGGTTTGGAGGGTGTAGGGTTTTGAGGGTTTTGAGAGTTTTGGATTCAGGGGGTTTATGGGGGTTTTAGGGTTTTGTGGATTTGGGGTTTAGCGTTTTGAGGGTTTTGAGGGTTTCAGGGTTTAGGGTTTAGGTCAGGGACTGCTGGACCTTACACTCCTATCTACTCGGCGGGGTGCCCCGGCACGGGGCAGACCCAAAGTTGCGCATCCCAGACACTCATCTCTTCGGTTTTTTCGAGCACATGAGACGGCCAGTTTCCGAGGCTGAAGCCCCCGGAAAGAAGTTTCCTCGGGTCGATTCCACCGCAGATACCCTAAACCCTAAACCCTAAACCCTAAACCCTAAACCCTAAACCCTAAACCCTAAACCCTAAACCCTAAACCCTAAACCCCACCTACTTCTGCATCCCAGGCACATTACAACATCTCCAGTGGGACCGAAGCGCAGTGCAAAGCCCTGTGCCTGGACAATCCAGCTTCTTTGATGGCAGAAGCGATCATGCTTTCTAAGCCGGCTCCCCCTCCAGTCCCTGCACCCTAAACCCTGAACCCTAAACCTTAAATTAAACCCTAAACCCTAAACCCTAAACCCTAAACCCTAAACCCTGAACCCTGAACCCTGAACCCTGAACCCTAAACCCTGAACCCTAAACCCTAAACCCTAAACCCAAAGCAGGAAGCCCTGCAATCTCAAGCCACGTGCCGGTCTTACTTATTTCCCATTTCCCCTGCTCGAAGCTTCATCGGGGTCAGCAACTCACCTGCCAAGATTCATCATCTCAACCAGGTCCTATGTGACACTTTTGGAAGAAGTAGGACTTCTGAAATTTTCTTCTGGAATGGAGAGCCATAGCCCATAACCCCAAACCCTAAGTCCTAAACCCTAAACCCTAAACCCTAAACCCTAAACCCTAAACCCTAAATAGAACATCTACAATAAGTGCCACGCGCCGCTCAAAGACCTTCCGTGGGCGACCCTGAGGCCCTTCCCCGGCTTTTTCAAAGAGCCCCTTAATACCTCTTAATTAAGGAAGATGCCTTACTTTAGAACAAGATCCTTAACATGATTTAAGGTCTATTCCGCAAAAATATGATTGAAGGTATATTCATTCATATGATATACCCCTTAATTGAGGGAATATACCTCTTGGTTGGTAGCGGGATCCTTAATCTGATTTCAGGTTGCATTCCTTAATATGATTTGAGGTCTATTCCTTAAGATGATTGAAGGTACATTCCTTCATATGATTTTAGTTCGATTCCTTAGTTAAGAGGGGGGGGTGGGGGCTCTTGGGGGCTCTTTTGGCTTTCCAAAGATTCTCAGGCCTGCGTTGGCATTGAGCACGCGGGCACCCGCTGCGAGGCGGCGTTGCATGTGCTCTCGAAGTCCGAGAGACGGGGCCCTACTCCAGGGGCCCAAATAATTAGAATAGGGTCTTGCGGGGTTTTTATGGTATATCATGACAAAGGGACAAAAAGGAAATACTATCAGCAATTATTCCGACCCTATATTACTCGGAAGGCCCAAACATCCAAAAGATCTTCTGAGAGCTTCGTGATCGGGACCCTCAGCATACACCGTCCCTGCTCCTACTGGATCAAAACGCTGAATCTTCGGAGTATCAGCTTTGCATTCCAGACACACCAAACACCCCGCAAAAAACCCTCCAGAACCTCCCAAGCCTTCACCTTCCGAAGCTTTGCTAAAATCCTCGGAAACACGCTGCAGGTGTGGTTCCGGCCTGAAGGTATCCAGGCCAGCCAGCCCGGTCCTGGCATCTCGGACTCTCCTCCGCTGTGTTGGTTTGAGGAGATCCTGGGGTGTTCTGGGGTGTTCTGTCGAAAGGCTTTCGGGGGGTTCTGCGGAAGTGGAAAGATGTATATGTATACAGATATATATATATAATATGTATATATATACACACACCGAATGGGGGCATGGGGTCTGCGGGATGGTAAGATCACCCTGGGGAGCGCCGAGGCTCCAAATGCTTGAAGCTCGAGTTCACCAAGGCTCCTGCGGGATGCGACAGGCTATAAGGTTGCAGGGCTTTAAGGGTTTAGGGTTTCGGGTTTAGGGTTTAGGGCTTAAGGGTTTAGTGTTTTCGAGTTTAGGGCTGAGGGTTTAGGGTTTCGGGTTTAGCGTCTAGGGTTTAGGGCTCAGGGCTTAGGGCTTGTATAGGGATTAGACTAGGAGTTTGGGGTTCGGTTTCGACCACGGATGCTAAAGCCCACATGATTATCGATCTCTGTACCAAGCCCAAGGCCTCAAAACCTTAAACCCTAAACCCCACGAAGCGATGTGGTTTCGCCCCAGCTGTAACAAGGCAGAACCTAGTAGCTGAGTGAGCACACTTCACAGTTTCTGGGATACCTTAATCCCCTGTAGAACTGAAAGTGTACACTTTTTTGGGGCTTATGAACTCAGCAACTAAGAAAAAAAGCAACACTGTGACTCTTTTTTCTCCTCAAGCTGACACTCCGTTGTGCTTGGCCAGACCTGTGGGAAATAACCCTAGACTTGGGATGTTCCCTTTTCTTCTAACAGTCCTTGATTGGGATTATAGTAGGGGCTACCAGAATCCTTATTAAGGAGCTGTTAGTATAAGGGGGAGCATCCCAACCCTGAACCCCAAGCCTCCATGTGGAGGTTTCCGACACTGAGGAGTCCCTGATGACTTGTTCATTAGCCCTTGCGAGAATCGACTTGTGATCGTGGCGCTTGCTCCTCAAAGCACACCTAGCAATCCTCAACCCTAAATGCTGTGGTCCGCTTTGAATTGCTCTGACAGCCCCTTTTGTTGGAAAACCGAGGATCTAGCACAGACGTCATGAACGTCCAACCCTACATGTTGCAAATGGGCCCGGGTTCGGAATCCAGATTTCAACTGCACACCTCACGCCTCTGGAAGAGTCCCTTCATAGGATCCATAGGGCCTTTTAGGAATTAGGGCCAATCCCCTTCGTAGGGTTTCATTCAATCCCACAGCTTCCGGCAGCACCGAACGTATCTTGCCACCTATGGACCCTGGCACCTTCAATCCCCCCACCACCCCAACACCCCCCAAGATTTGGAGGGGGACCCGTTTTCCGGTCGCAAGCAACCCTCCACCCTAAACCCCTAGAGTCCCTGAACAAATCTTTGGTGATATGCACAATGGTTGGGATGTTCTCCCTTATACTAACAGCTCCTTAGCAGGGATGATAGTGGGGAGGGGTACTATACTCCCGATTAAGGAGCTGTTAGTATCAGGTGGAACATCCCAAGGAATCATCAGAGCTAAACCCTAAACCCTAAACCCTAAACCCTAAACTGCGGTGCAGGTGGAGGCTTCGGACAACATGGCCTGCCGCGGCGCGAGCCGAAGCGACAACAACCCGCCCCTTGGGGCCCAAGCTTTCAAGTTTAGGGTTTAGGGTTTAGGGTTTAGGGTTTAGAGTTTAGAGTTTAGGGTTTAGGGTTTATGGTTTAGGGTTTACGGTTTAGGGGGTTAGGAGCCCACCTCTTCAACGTGCTTTGTACTGGCCTCTTGTAGATGCTGAGAGATCACGGGAGGCTTAGCCCAAGCCTACGCAACCAAAGCCCTCTGATCTGTGGCCCGCAACCCAGGAATCCTGAATCCCAAACCCTCTGATTCGCCCCTGAACCCTGAACCCTAAACCCTAAACCTTAAACCCTAAACCCTTCTGATCTTTGGCCCACAAGCCGAGGAACCACTATGTCTTGAAGAGCGCATCATCCCTTGGAGCTTGCAAGGAGCAGCCTGCACTCATAAAGAGACTCCTCGGAGAAAAATGACAGCCGGGGCTCCCTCTGGGTTTAGGGTCTCGGGTTTAGGGTTTAGGGTGTAGGGTTTGTAGGGTTTAGGGTTTAGGGTTTATAAGGTTTAGGGGGGGGAACTTTTGAAGTGTTCAGGGCGCACTTCTACGGTCTCTAAGTTAAGGTTGCCGGCTGGAAAGGGGTGTGGCAAGCCGAAGTGGACGATTTCCATCCTTATTCTTGGGGGCTTAGGGTTTTAGGTTCTAGGGGGTGAGCTACAAGCAGAAAATGCCCCCCCCCCCCCCCGCACCAAAGCCGGTGTCATTCCTGGAGGAGCTTTGCCGGACTTCCTCGGCCTGTGTGGGTGCCTTTGACTTGCCTCGGATGAGCAAGCGCTTCGTGTTTTTCTTTAACCGGATGCACCACTAGGCGGGTCTGTAGGGTGATTCAGTGTTTAGAGTTTGCGGGGTCTAGGGTTTAGGGAGGTGGGGTCGCAAGACAGATCCAGTCAGCGGTTGCAAGTTCCACGAACTTGCAAAGCAGAGTGATGCGCCGAGGACCGATCGCGATCGTGATCTCTTACAACCCTAGCCCTACCATATAATCCCCACGAAAGGCCCTACAAAAACTCCATTCAAACCCGATTAACATTCTTAAAATCCCTAAGCCCTAAGAAAAGCCCTAGAAAGATTTGGTACCTTGGACCCCATGAACCCTAAAATTGGGTTCAGAGACCCCTGAAGGCTACTGTAATATACTGTAATCCTCCTTTCAGGGTATACGGACCATCAACCCTTTCAAAGGCTCCTATAATTCCTCTCAAGGTATATGGGCCTCTAGGGGTTCATGGACCATCAACCCCTTTTAAAGGCTCCTATAATCCCTATCGTTGCAAGGTATATGGACCATAAACCCCCTTTAGGGTTCATGGACCAGGAACCCCTTCTAAAGGCTCCTAGTATCCCTATCTATGGTATATTGGCTATAAATAAACCCCTTTTTAGGGTTCATGGAGTCTTCAAGGTTCCTTGGGGACGAAAGGTACCCTAAAAGGCCTTAATAGGACTGTCATAGCATTAGGGTATATGACCCCAATTTTAGGGTTCATGGGCCATCAACCCTTTCAAAGGCTCCTAGTATCTCTATACCATCTTGACCATAAAATAAACCCCCTTTTTTGGGTTCATATACCTTGGTAGGAATGTAATAGCATAGGGTATAATGACCCCCAATTCTAGGGCTTAAATGGAGCCCCCTTCAAGGTATTGAGTACATAGGGTTCACCCCTTTTTAAAGGCTCCTATCCTCCCTATCTATGGTATATGGGCCAAAAACCCCTTTTAAGGGGTTCACGGAGTCCCCTTCAAGGTATTGAGTACATCGGCACGCGCTGCGAAGTCTGGACTCGCCCCGAGGGCATCGAAGCGGGCTTCGGCCTCACAGGGCCGCTTCGGCTCAGCGCGAAGGTGAAAGTTAGGGGAAAACACGGAGCTTAATGTAGGGGGCCTAAATAATTAGTTAGGGAAAATACTACTATTTTCTCAAGAACCCCCAAAAGAATAAAGTTGTAATATTTTCATTTTTTCGGGGTTCTTAATTAATTATGGAGCTTAATACAGGGGGCCTAAATAGTTAGAACAGGGTTTCGGGGGCTATTAGAGAAAACTTATATAGGGGCCATAAGGGAATACTGTTAGGAAGTATTCCGACCCCTATGTTAAGCTTAGGGTCTCAGGCAAACGGAACCCGCCGCGATTGCTTTAGGACCATACGAATCCCTTCCAAACCCATCACGCGAGCATCGTTTGCAAATGGGGGGGCTGCCTCCCCACCCCCCCCCCCCCCCCCCCCGCTCGGAATCCCCCCCTTTTTGTTGCAGCCGTTCAAGACCATATGAATCCCTTCCAAACCAATCATGCCAGCATCGTGCTTGCAAATGGGCCACCCACCCCCCCCTTGTTGAAGCCTTGCAAGCTTGCTTTAGGCTCCGGCCGGGAGTGGGGTGGGGGGCTTGGCTTTCTATTTTTTGGGGGTTCTTAAGCAAATAGTAGTGGTGGGGCTGTGGGGTCAAGGACCTTTGGGTTGGTGGTGGGGACTTATCGGCTTACAGCTTGATGACCTTGCACCTCTGCAAGGTGAAGGGAGACGATCACCCCGAAGATTTTCAAGAGAGGATTTAGGTTTGGGGTTTAGGGGTGTGGGGGTTTCGGGGTTTAGGGGTTTAGGGGTTTAGGGGTTTAGGGGTTTAGGGTTTAGGGGTTAGGGGTTTAGGGGTTTAAGGGTGTAGGGGTGTAGGGTTTAGGGTTTCCACGTTTCGGAGAGGGTGCGAGGAGGACCCGGTTTAAGGTTGAATCTTCTTTTGGGGCTTTGTCGCAACTAGGGTCGTTTGAGTAGTGAAATATCTCACTGTACGTTGCTGAAAGTCGTCGGTAGCCCTTGTTCTCGTCTATGCTGCGTGGGAGACACATCCTAGTCTTGTTGACGCGGAAGTCAAGCCCTATACACTCTGTACTCTGTTACGTGACAGGGCTAAGAGGAGGTATAGCTCCCGTGAGAGGAGGGATGAGCTTAGAGTATCCTTGGCATGTAGTCAGAGCTGGAGAGAGTATCACCTAATCTGAGATGGTGAGCTGAGTATCACCGGGGCCCAACTGGGCTTCCTAGTACTACTTCTTCCTACGTAGTCACTTCAGTCGTTTCCCGAAATCTGCGAGCTACGTTCAAGCTCAGCTCGACATAAATCCGGCTTTGGGCACAGACCAGTTCAGCTGGCAGGTTTTCAGAAAACAAGTCATCCGAAGGACATGTTGTTTTTTGAAGGATTCCTTGCCTTGCTGAGATAGACCAAGGTACACCTGCCTGAAGTACCACGGCGGCTTGAAGCCCCCTCCCAGCACAAAGCAGGAGAGAGATGCTCGATTCTTGATTCAGGCCGGGCGCGGGGAAGCCAAGGGGGCAGGAGCTCCCCCAGAAAGCACCCAAATGTTCTCCTCTTTGGGGTCTGCGTCCTGTCCAAACGGTTCTTAGAATGGCTGTCTTAGGACTTTTTGAAGGGAGTTCGCCGGGTCTCCCCAAAATTTCCAGGAAACCTCAACGCAAAAAAACGCGGCACATACAATGCCTGCAACTACACCGCTCCGAAATCCTCAGTCTCATAAACCTAAAACCCTAAACTTACCCCGCAAACCCTATTGAGCCCTATTAACTTATACTCTAATCCGTATACCCTAAACTTACCCTTTCCAACCCTCCTAAACCCTGCTAAGCACGATTAAACCCTACAAAACCCTTTTAAACCCGACTAATCCCTACTAAACCCGATTAAACCCTACTAAACCCTAAACTCTAACCACGGTTGAGTACCGCCCAACATGGCTCGAGGCCACCTTTGGCCCGACCCTGGCGAGCATCAACGGCTTCAACATCAGCTCCTTTGGCTTCCTTGGGGTTTAGGGTTTAGAGTTTCGGGTTAGGGTTTAGGGTTTAGGGTAGCATTGTATTTGGGGTCATAATGCGAATATCATCCCTGGAAGGTATCTGGACCACAAGCCCTTTTGGGGCCTATGTCGTCCCCAGGGTTCGCTGGAGGGGCTTGAACAAAGGTACGCGAAACATGCGGCTCCAGGTTTCGGATTTTTGGTTGTGGGTTTTAGGGCCGGACGCCCGAAAAAACAGAAAGTCCCTAAACCCTAAACCCTAAACCCTAAACCCTAAACCCCTAACCCTATAACCCTAAACCTCAGAACCGTGCGGTGCGGTAAGGCCCTCATTTGGGGTGCCATTCGGTTTGCATTTTGTCTGCGGGTGCGGGGGCTTCCAAGCAAGAGGCTTGTAGTTCGGCGCACAGGCTTTCGTTCGAGTTTTGCGATGCAACCCTACCTTAAGATTCCCAAGCCCACATTTTTGTAGTTTTTTTTTATGATATTATTAATCCCCTTACAGTATTCTGAGGTAACCTACAAGAAAGTAGGTTTTGGGCTCTTAAGGTAAACCCTAAACCCTTTGTTGTTGGACCTTGGTGCCACGGGATGTTTCGGAACCGTAATTTGAGTCGAGACCGAAACGGCGACTTGTTTTGAGTAGTTGGAGTCTTTCTAAGCTGAGGGTTACTGAGAATCTGCAGGACGTGCATCCCACGTGCGTTGTTGGGACACGCTTGCTGATACGGGTTTTGCAGTCGCTTCTGTTTGGGCTCTTGCCACCATTTCAGATCCGGTAGACAATGACACGGTTTGCCCCCCAAAATCCTAAACCCTAAACTCTAAACTCTAAACCCTAAACCCTAAACCCTAAACCCAACGACCCCCAAACCCAACAAACCCCGAACCCAACAAGCCCCAAACCCAACAAGCCCCAAACCCAACAAACCCCTCTTTGAGTGCCGAGGCTATCAGACGTGGATCGAGAGGCAGATGGCCCTGCCACCAAGCTACCACAGGGAGTATTACCGCGACCAGGCTTGATTGCACCCAAAAGTGGGATCAAAAGAGCAGAAAGGCAAGAGAAGGTCTCCTATGTAAAGATGACGGAAATAGAGCCTTTCTGTTGAACATGTAGCTGTTGACAAGAACTTTCCGTAAAAACAGGCATGGAACCTTCACAGCCCTCACACCCCCACCAGGGAGCAAAGACAACTGCGACCCTCTAAAGCCCCTAAACCTTCAACCCCTAGAAACCTCCAGAATTTCTGGTAGGGTTCGGGGAGGAGAACCCCTCGTTCCCTTAATATACATCTTTGAAAAGGTTCCACAAACCCAAGGGTACAACCTTATGGGGTTCAAGGCAGATAGCCCATGATGAACCCCTTTATGTCCCCCCAATCCCTGAAGCTGGATCATCATTTGCTTAAGACTCCCACAAAAACGAAAAGCATTCCCATCTTACCCTTAGTAGAAACTTGTCTCTTTTCTTTTTTTGGTTTTGGGGGTGCGAAGGGAGACGTTGAGAAGCCGAGGCAAGCGAGTCAACCCTCGGCCAGTTCTCAGTGCCTCTTCTATGGCATCCGGCAGCCCCCTTTCCAGGCTCCTAAACCCTAAACCCTAAACCCTAAACCCTAAACCCTAAACCCTAAACCCTAAACCCTAAACCCTAAACCCTAAACAGCAGGCTGTTGGGGGCTCTATGAACTCAGGGTTTGGTTTTGAGTGGCCAAGCGGTTTGCAGTGGGATGTTCACCCTTATACTACCAGTCCTTAATAGGGATTCTAGTACCCCACGCCCCTATTATAATCCTTATGAAGGACTGTTTGTAGAAGGGGGAATTCTAGCACACCACCCCCCCTATTATAATCCCTATGAAGGACTGTTTGTAGAAGGGGGAACATCCCAAATTTCCCACCATGATGGGATGTTCCTCCTTATACGAACAGTCCTTGCTGTACCCCCTATGATAATTAAGCACTGTTAGCATAAGGGGAAAATCCCAAATTTTTAGGGTTGTTTAGGGTGTTTATTGGGGTTCCTGGCAACCATCAGCAGTTTCGTCGACATCATGAGGAGCTGCCAGTTCCACCCACATGCCAAAGTAGCCCTTTCGGAGGTTCAGGTTACGTAAAACCCCAATGATCGCTGCACTTATAAGCCTCTTACGTCCCCTAAGTAGGTTATGTGTAGACTTATCATTGGGGTTAAAAGTACCCAGGAACCTCCAATCAAAAGCAAGACTGCGCCAGCAGACCGATCGCCTTTCTGTTTTGCTGCATTTGATTTGGGGTTTAGGGTTTAGGGTTCAGGGTTTGGGGTTTGGGGGTGTGTATGCTGTGGACACCGGCCGCCTAAACGGAACTCCGAAAATAGGGTGGCCCACGTGACTCCGAGTGCTCAGCCAGGGCTCTCGCCTGCCATCACTTTAGCTGCAGACACCAGAGCGAACCATAGAAGTCTATATTCGATTATCATATTCGGTTGAGTATGGTATAGTCTTATAGTACTACATTAGTAAAAGTTCTTATATCGTCTAGCCTTTCCCATCATGGCAACCATCAGGGGCTCAGCATCATGCCCATCGGGGGCTCAGCTTCATGCTTCCATGATCTTTTATGTTGTTCCCGCCACAAACTCCAGAATTCCCGAAACCCTAAACCCCGTCGTCCCCAAGACCACCTTGGTCCACAGGTTTTCCCATCAATTCCAGAAGACACCATAGAACCTTCAGCCCGTATCAGGCCCGAAAAGGATGAAAATGCTTCTGTTTCATGTCTCATGCTTAGTCGCTGAGTGAGCATTTTGGGATACTATAATCCCCTCTCGAACTGAAAGTGTACACTTTTATGGGGCTTCTGAACTCAGCAACTAAGAGAATGGGCCCTTGCAGGTGCAACCCAGGATCCAGATGGGTCAACCATGTCATCTTGAGGACCGACAAGTACCGAAAGATCAAAGTCCAAAACGACAAGGCGCTCTCCCTCGCTCTCTCTCTCTCTCTCTCTCCCTCGCTCTCTCCCCCCTCCCGCTCTCGCTCTCGCTCTCTGTCTCTCTCTCCCCCCGGCTCTCTCTCTCTCTCTCTCTGTCCCTTTCCGGCTCTCTTTCTCCTCTCTCTCTCTCTTTTTTTTTTTTTTTTTGGGGGGGGGGGGGTTAGTCCTCCTCGACCCGACCTCCTCTGTGGTATAGCAACAGCGTCCGTGCATGCTGCTGGGCACTCCGGGGATTCGTTGGACACGGCATTCCAGAGATACTGGTGGGAGGGGATACTGAGGCTGGGCGTATGTGTTGGGCGGAGTACAACGGGCGCGGAGACTAGCTGAGTCAAATGTCAACAACCACAAATCCTGACTTCATCAACAACATTACAAATACTTGAGTTTTGGTGATCTTGGTTTGATGAGTTTGACGCCCTTTTGGTTAGTTTTTCTGAGATCTACATCGACGACTTCTTCCGGAGCGACGTCGATCCAAATTATCTGGGTAATGGCTTGAGACAGCCGGACAACTGCAGCGACATCCCGCCAAAGGACTGGGTGAACAACGGCTACACCTGCGAAAACCGGAGGCGGACCAGGGCTAGTCAGGGTTCGGGGTGTTATTAAAAGGATGAATTAGTGGTTAAGGGTTTATGGGGTTTAAATCCAAGATACAGTTTCGGCCTAAGGCGAAGATTTAATCCCCACCCACTCACCTATTCGTCCTCAATAGGGGACAGGGGAATTGCTACCTTATATCCCTCTATGTAACCCCCTATATCATGTGTTAGCCAGCAAGGAGTACCTAACTCCTTGCATGCTGTTGAAGCACCAGCCGCCCCAGAAACCCACGAGAGCGCCAGGTATTGGGTGGACGACAATTGCATCAAGGCGGGTTTAGGGTACCCCGCTACAACCCCCTACGACCCCTACGACGCCCTACTGCCTCCCCTACTACCCCCCAACTACCCTACTTTTGGGGGGCTCTTTCCACGAGGGCTCACAGACGGATCACTGTTTTAGTGAATGTTTAGAGACGACGCACCTGGACCCGTTCGCAAGACATTTCAGTGGGCTTCTGCCCTGGGGTGAAGTGGTGACCGAACCTGAGGTGCTGGACACTAAGACAAGGACGTAGATCTAAGCTAACAGGGGGGTTTAGGATCTAGGGTCCATAATCTCTACTTGCGACACGAACAGGACATTCTCATTGAAGGAACTTCCGCCTCGTGCAGGACGAAGTCTGGGTGGAAGAGCAATACTGTCAGAAGAGCTGCTTCGAGGCCACAGGGACTTAGGGAACAAGCTGGGCTAAGAGGTTGGGATGTTTTCCCGGTATACTACCAGTCCTCAATAGGGATTCTCGTACCCCTATGATAACCACTTTTTAAGGATTGTTAGAAAAAGGCCTTTTCAGGATTGTTAGAAAAAGGGGGAACATCCCAAGGTATAGGGTGGAGGGTGTGTGTCCGGTTTCAGGTTTTCGGTGAAGACTAAACCCTAAACCCTAAACCCTAAACCCTAAACCCTAAACCCTAAACCCTAAACCGGGCACATGCAGAGGTCTCTCGTTTTTGGGGCTGCCCGGGGGCGGTGGAGGCACCTAGCTAGCTTACTGGGTCTTCGAGAGCAGATAGGCCCCTGCTTATTCGGGTTTTAGGGGATCATGTTTCGGAGCATTTTTCGGAGAAGGCCGTCCTAGAGAGGAGTTTGGGATGATCCCGGTTTCACGACCTGATGCTCCATAGCTCCTCCTGTCTCAGACCAGCGAACCTGAATCCCAGAAAACACCCGAGCATCCCTGACACCCCTAAACCCTAAACCCTAAACCCTAAACCCTAAACCCTCAACCCTCAACCCTCAACCCTCAACCCTCAACCCTCAACCCTCAACCCTCAACCCTCAACCCTCAACCCTCAACCCTATCCCTAAGCCTTCAGAAGCCCCAAGATCGCCCTTGCGCCTCGAGTTCAATCAACCTGACAGTCTCCCTCAGCCCCGAACCTTTAAGCCCCCCTAAGCCACACAAAGGATTACAGGGTTTAGGGTTTAGGGTTTAGGGTTTAGGGTTTAGGGTTTAGGGTTTAGGGTTTAGGGTTTAGGGTTTAGGGTTTAGGGTTTAGGGTTTAGGACACAAGTCTATAGTTCGCAAGCCCGAAGCTCTTGGCCCTCAAGCTCCCGCGCTGAAAGCGGACTTTGTTTCTAGACACCTCCACTACTGAGGAGGCCCTGGCTTACGAGAACATGGACTGCTCTCCAGGCGGGGTTTTGTGTGGGTTTCAGGGGGAAATTGTGGGATTCTAGGGTTTAGGGTTTAGGGTTTAGGGGGGGCTTAGAGGGTCTAGACGGGGGAGTCAGGGTGCTTTTTGACTCGTTTTGGTATTTGGGATTGGAAGTTCGGGGCTTCCTCGTGCGGTTTAGGGTTTTACGGGTTAGGGTTTTGGGTTTAGGGTTTAAGGTTTATGGCTTAGGGTTTGGGTTAGGGTTTAGGGGTCCCAGAGATCTGGTGCAGGCTGGGCTGGCCTCAACTACGAAGGCTACATCTGCTCCCTGCATCAAGGAGGGGAGGGGAAATCATGAAAAAGCCTCAACCCCAAACCCTAAACCCTAAACCCTAAACCCTAAACCCTAAACCCTAAACCCTAAACCCTAAACCCTAAACCCTAAACCCTAAACCCTAAACCCTAAACCCTAAACCCTAAACCCTAAACCCTAAACCCTAACTCAAGCTAAGGTTCCATCCATGCGGACGAGACTCGCGCCTGGGTGAAGCTGAACACTCGCGTGGCCTGCCCGCGCATTGAGCTGCGGGGTTTAGGGCTTCGGGTTTAGGGTTTAGGGTTTAGGCTTTAGGAGAGTGTGTCTGGTTCTCTAATTTCAGGATCTCTTTTGTTGGGGTCCCCCCATAATCTACGGTTCCCTTAGAAACAGGAACCCCCCCCCCCCCGCCCCAAAAAAGAAGGGGCCCAAATTGAGAGAACTACCCACATGGCGGTTTGAGAGCCCCAAACCTACTTTTTGGAGGTTATCTACGAATGCCATAAGGAGTTGTACAATAAGAACCTACAAACAAGTAGGCTTTGGGTTCTTAAGGTGGGGTTTAGGCAGTTCAGTAGGGTTGTGAGGGTTCAGGGCAGGGCGTGGATCGTGAAGGCTCGCCTGTAACAGGGCTTATAGTTTGGGATGTCCCCCTTATACTAACAGTCCTTGAAAGGATTATAGCACCCCCTTATGACAATCCCAATTAAGGACCTGTTAGCATAAGGGGGAACATCACAACTTATGGTACTGTTCAGATGGTGCTTCGAGGCGGACTGTTGGAATGGTGCTCTGTAAACCCTAAACCCTAAACCCTAAACCCCAGATCCCTTTTCTTCTAATCTTTCTTGGGATGTTTTCGGTCTGGGCCTCTTAGGCGCCTCACACCAAGGAGAGTTGTGAAGGCGAGTCCACCGAGACCTACATGCTGAATCCAGGCCTCTTGCGGATGCAGAAGCTGTATCCTCAACCTTAAATCCTAAACTGGGACCCTGAACCATAAGCCCTGAACCCTGTAATGCTTTGCGCGGCTGCTAAACCGTAAGCCCGAAACGCTCGTTGCCAGGTGATCGTTGTTTTTTGTTGTTCCTTCCCGGGGTTCGCAGATGGGCCACCAGAGAACCCAACGTGCTGCCGGTCCTTGCATAGCTGCGGCAGCTACTTCCACAAGTTTGACTCTGTGCAAGCAACGTCCCCATACATGCGAAGAAGCTGGAGCCTGACGCTATTACCAGTCTTGTGACGATTCGTATTGCTGCTGTAATGATCATACTGCTGCTACTGGAGAGAGAGAGAGGGGAGCTCTGTGAAAGGCGTGTGGAAGGCGAACCCAGACATCACCATGACCCAGACCCTGGCAGCTTCGGCTCTCTTTCTGGGAGAAATGATACAGACTTAATGCAAGAACTATAGTTACTATAGTCTTCTTGTTGTAATGACTTTATGAGGGGTCTAAGGGGAGTACAGATGCCTCCGGAAAGGCGTACAGCAACCGCAGTGAAGAAGCTGCAGATCCTACATCATGCGTGCATGACTATGAAGGTTTTCGTGAGGCGAACCACCTCGGTATATGACCCGCAAAGCCACTCCAAGGCGTTTGAAATCTTCAGGCCGGGCGTGTTGATCCTGAAGGCCAGGACGGTGGAAGTCTCTTCCAGCATGGGTTTTACGCTAGCCCCCTAACCCAAGGTGTTTTAGAAGACGTGTGTCGAATGTGCGGACCCCTTTCCCCAAGGCTGCCAGGCAAAGGGTTCCTTCTCAGAGCAAACCTTTGGAAGAGACGAATGTAGTCACAGGAGCGTTTGTGATCGTAAATGTAGGGCCTAAGCAACACCAGATGAGCATTGACAGCGCCTAACCTGATGCAGTTCGGGTACTCTTACCCTCAGTCTTAGCTGCTTGTATTATCGATGGCAAGTACAAGCACTGCACCCTAAACCCTCAACCCAGAGCCCTACACCCTGAACCCTAAACCCTAAACCCTAAACTCCTAAACCTGGGCCTGCGCCGAGTGCAAACTTGGTTCCCCTGAAGGAACCCCCCAGCGCGTGCAACTTGGGCACCATCGTGCAATCCAGCAAAGAGCGGCTTGCTTTCAAGGAGAAGAGATTTTCCCTTGGGGACTACATGAACCCAAAAAGGGTTCATGGTGATTCTATACCTTAGTAGCAGAGTTTCCGAGGGGCGTCCTTGTCCTGCTCTTTATAGTTTATAGGCTGGGAGCTGCGCCCAATTGACCACTTGGAGGGTTGATATATGAATAGTTTCAAGTTCGATGGTCCATAACCCTCTTTGCAGCGCGAGGGTTGCCGCGGCAAGCGTGCTCATACCTCTTGGGGTGTCCTTCGGGTCTTTCGAGTTAGGGTGTTTTTCGGATCGGAGGGGTGGGGCGTTTTGGACGGTTGTATGACCTTACCGATTTTGTCCAGGTCGAGCTCGGAAGTCCCGAAGCCAAACCCCAAACTACCAAATGCTGTACCGTGCATCTCCAAAAATCCAGAATCAGTACGCGTAGCTCTCCTTGGGGAACTTTATGGCATCTGTTCCGAGGAAGTCTTGCAAAGAAGGCAGTCTTCAGATGCAGTCTAGGCCCCAACCGAGTTCTTTTGTGTTCACCCGCCCCCGTTTTGTTGAGAAACGGAGGGTGAATGAGCGGCAAGGGTGCTCAAACCTGGCGCTCTTTTCGATGTTGGCAGCTGGCCTCTCTTCTTCTTGCATCTTGATCTTTGTACCTTCGCCCGACAATTGTATATTTATTTGTTCATATGTATAAAAATATGTACATATATATATATATGTATATATATATATATGAACGCCACCACCGCAAGCAAAGTTGACGACTCGTTCTTGGGGGGTGGCCTTGCTCGAGTGGTTGCCACATGCTTATATGCCTACCGAGGCCTGCAGTCAAGAGCACGGCCCCCGTAGTTGGCCGTAAACCCTAAACCTCCAATCCTAAACCCTAAACCCTAAAACCAGTGCAGCCTCTGTCGGGATGGAAAAAGCGGCCTTGCCCAAAAGCCTTTTTGGGCTGGACCTTGGGATGTTCCCCCTTGTCTAACAGCCCTTAGTAGATTCTAGTACTCCCTGTTATAATCCCGAGGAAGGACTGTTAGTATCTGGGGGAACATCCCAAGCTGAACTCAGGAAACCGAACCAGTTCTACATGTTGGAGGAACGCTTGGAGCTGCTGGAGAATACCCTCGAGAATCCTGCGGCCACTGGTGTCACAGGTGGTTTGGGGGTTTAGGGTTTAGGGTTTAGGGTTTAGGGTCAGGGTTTAGGGTTTAGGGTTTAGGGTTTAGGGTTTAGGGTTTAGGGTTTTGAGTTTAGGGTTTAGGGTTTAGGGGTCAGGGGTTAGGGGTTAGGCTAGTGGGCACCAGAATGGGTTGCTTTGCGTTCCGCTCTCCTCAGATCTTCTCTCGGTCCTTTTGCCGGGTCCTCTCCAAGCTGTTTCTCCCAAGTACGCTTGACTCCTTTGCCTTCATTGTCGTTAAGAAACCCTGATTGGTGTGCGGATGGCACTTGGCTTCTCCCAGCCAAAATGTGCTTGCTTGGAGGTGGCAAGTGCCCCACCGTGGCGCGGACCTTCCTCAACGAGCACAGCTGCCGGCTGCTGCCCGGATGCTTGCCTTTGGGGCAGGAGAAGCTCTCCGTGGCGCTGACTACCCAGAACCTTGAGAAGTTCTTCTCCGTGGGCGGGCGCTACGTCTTCCAGGCGACTCTGTTTCATGACCGGGCAGAAGAGACCCCCAGAGCATCCCAGAACGTTTCTCACAAAGCCTCTTGCTGGTTCTTAGTCGGGAATGATTACTGAGGGAATGACGTACCTTATATACTCCCTTAAAGGGAATATATATATATATAGGGCCCTCATTCCCTCATCCCCTACTAAGAACCATCGGGTTGTCCGAGGTGTCTGGCTTGAGGACGGCCATTTCGCCTTGCGGCGTTCCTTCTCGATGCTCGGGGTGGGTTTGAACACATCTTTCATGTGTTATTACCCTTAGTCCCCGAAACAAAAATCCTTGTAAAGCCATAAAAGCTATTTATGTTCACCCTTACTCCCCTGTATAATCCTTTTTGAAGCCATCAAACTTTAATGTTTCTAGGGCCCCCCCAAAACCTAGCCCAGGATGGAAGAAGTGCAGTGGGTGCACTGCCAGCACTTTGGCAGCCGAGGCGAGGGCTGAGTTTTTGTTCGGCCTTGCAGCAGATGTGTGAATTATCTTCTATGATCTTGTATTAGATTATCTTCTATAAGATCATATATGGTGTGTATATATACACACATATCTTGTTTGTTTTTCATTTGTGGTTGTATATGCATGTACTAAATTTGCAATGTTTACTATATTTTTCGTACGTCGGCCGCAGCACGCTCTTCCCTCAAGCTGACTCAAAAGAGAGGGGAAGAAATGGGGGGCGAGAGCCCCAAACCCCAAACCCTAAACCCTAAACCCCCTGAGAAGGAGATCGCTCAAGTGGCCGCGGCCATCGAGGAGGCGTCGGAGCAAGGCGACCTCCGCGACATCGACGTCTCTTGCTCCGGGGTCCCGGCCGAGTCTGTCATCCCAGTGGGCAGTGACTTGCATCCTGGGCTGCACAGAGTTGGGAAACCCTAAACCCTAAACCCTACACCCTAAACCCTAAACCCTAAACCCTAAACCTAAGCCAAAAAACCCTAGACCCTAAACCCCCCCCAAAAAAGACAAGTCATGAAAGTCCCAGAGATGGAGTCCTAGGAGTCCCAGAGATGGAGAGTCATAGGAGTCGCAGCGCCCAGGTTCCAGCACGTTCACAAGGATGAAGGCAGCGTCTACGACTTCACCGACTGGACCTTGCAGCATCCAGGTGTTGGAGTTTTACGAAACTAAGGGGTTTAGGGTTTAGGGTTTAGGGTTTAGGGTTTAGGGTTTAGGGTTTAGGGAGTTTACGAAACTAAGGGGACCCTTAAAATAGAGCCCCAAAGAGTAGGACTCCTTTATGATAAGGCGCCCTTAATATAGGTACCCAAATAGTTGGATTCCTTTTTAGAATAAGGACCACAAGAAGGTACCCCTCAATTTCGGAAACCCCCAGGTGGAGCAGCCAAGATCAAGCAGTTCACCGGCATGGGCCACGCAGCCGAAAAGGTTTAGGGTTTAGGGTTTAGGGCGAGTGGGGCTTCCCGATATAGAAGACTCCTGGAGGCTTTCCGAGGCTTGGCGGGGACTTCTGCCCCGGGGCTGTGGGTTTCGAGGCATCTGATATCATCGGACAGGCAAAAGTTCTCAGTGTCATGAATCTCTGACCCCAAAACCCGAAGGCTAAACCCTAAACCCCGAACCCCTAAACGTAAAAGGTGCTTTCCAGCCTGACTCAGGGCCCTGGGAACAAGTCGACGTAGACTCGCGGAGCACTGCTTGGAGCTGATACAAAGAGTGCACCGAACACCGGCATGCAGGTGAATGCCCCCCTAACGCTAAATTTCTCAACAGGACCTCCTATGCTAGAATAAAGAAAGATGCAAAAACAGAAAGACAGAAAGAAATTTCTTCATACAACAAATTCAGAGCATCAGGCTACGAGCTGGTCTACCCATCCTGGCACCCCATGGACCGCTGGGACAAGAGCTTCGCCACGCAAGTGATCCAGCCCAACTACGTGGGGAAGTTCGGCGTCCTTGAAGCATTCGGGGGAGCAGTTCTGCGCCATTCTCCAAGCTTGGGATGGGTTATTAGGCTATTAGGATTGAGGGCTCGTTGTTGTTTGGTCTTTTGTCGTAGGCTGAAATTTTCGGGGGCCTCTCGGCTGCATCTGGGGGCTAGGGTTCGGGGTTTGAGAGTTTAGGGTTTCTCAAGACCGGAGGCAAGAAGCGTCTAGGGTTTTTGGGGGTGCAGTGTCCCCCATCTGCCGGATTCCCTTTTCCTTGTTAAGGACCGCCCTCCCCAGTCTGACCCCTGAGGCTCCCATGTGCTCTATCACAACCTCCCGGCCACACTGCAAACCGAGGATGGCTTAGGGTTTGGGGTTTGGGTTTAGGGTTTGGGGTTTGGGAGGTGGAAGAACATTGTTCCCCGCCCACCTACACCTAGGTCTCTGAACTAGCGAGAGCCTCGCTTAAAGTGAACGAAGGCGTTATAAAACCTTTCATCTCAGGTCTCGGAGTCTCATGGGTTTGGGGCTTGACACATCATTAGCTCTGGTACGCGGTTCTAGAGGCTCAGGGTGCAACGTTGGACTCGTGGTGTGTATACGAAGTTATCTGAAGGTGGTGAAGATGCCCTCAATTGGCAGGCCAGGGAAGCTTGAGAAAGAAGATGGCGAAGACAGAGGTTTGGGCATTGCGAGTTAACCCGGGGATCGAATCCTGTCGACTTGGCGTAGCACCCCAAACCCCACACCATACGCCCTCTAATAGCCTTAAACCCTGAACTTTGTAATTGCCCTAAGGCCGATAATGCATAACCCTAAGCCCTAAACCCTAGACCCTAAACCCTAAACCTCCCCCTGCTGGAAGGACCTCGCCCAAGCTCTGGGCGCCGCCGCGGAGGCCACGGAGTACTCGGCTGTCTGCGGCTCTCCGCAGGAGGCGGGCAGGACTTGGGGGTTCAGGGTTTTGGTTTAGGGTTTAGGGGTTTAGGGGTTTTAGGGTTTAGAAAAAAGGGTTCCTTAATATGTCTATCTATCTATCTGTCTATCTATCTATCTATTTATACACACATATGTATATATATATATATATATATCGGGCCCTTATATGATTTTACCGGTCTATACTCCTCAAGGGGTGTTAAGGACTCTCTGGGATTTTGAGGAGCTGCCGATGTTAAAGGCGCAAGCTAACCGTCCGCAGGTGGCCAACGATCCGAGCTTGGGACATCTGCCGCATGGCGAAATTCCCCTTGTTCTTCGCAGGGCATGAGGGAGTTGGGGCCCTAAAAATACACTTTAAGGGAGTTTCTAGGGTGCCTCAGTCCCTCAATCCCAGAACCGCCAGAAATTCGAAGTCAGCGATCATGCATCTTGTTCAGGTGACTGGCTGGTCTCACAAGATTCTGACCAACAAACTTTCAAAATGGTACTAGTTCCTTCTCTATCGATATTTTTTCTTGTTAAACATCCAGACCCCTTTGTCGGGACAAATGTCGGGGGCCTGCCTTAATCAAAGTCATGTAGCACCCGGGTTCCATCGAGCTCGCGACTCGCTCCGAGGGCGTTTCCGGTGGTCTCCCCACAGATTGCTTACTTGCCTGTAGACCCAGCAGGCCTTTACTGTTTCCTGTGGGTGGGGTCTAGCCAGAGGCTCTCCTTCAAGCACGGCGGCACCGACGACGTGTACTTTGATCAGGAGCCTCAATTTTTTTCTGGGGGGGGGGGGGGGGGGAGGGGTTTAGGGTTGAGGGTTTTTGGGTTTAGGGCGTACTTCATGGCATCTCGGCCAGTTGGAGTTTTAGCAGTGGCCGAGTAGTTGCCGCCCTCAAGTCACCCCGGAATTGCGCGCAGAGGCCTGGATGCCAAAGGGCTGAGGGCATGTCAGGCCGGAGAGTCAGTCTTGGCCTCCAAAAGGTTTAGGGTTTAGGGTTTAGGGTTTAGGATTGTTGCTGAGAGGATTTCTAGGCTTTGCGGTTGTTAGGTTTTAGGGGTTTGTAGCGTTCATGGGAACTAAAAGGTCATAAAAGTTTATAGGGATATGTGGAGATTGGAGCGATTGCATTAGGGTTTATAGGTTTATACCCTAAACCCTAAATCCTAAACCCTAAACCCTAAACCCCATTAGGGTTTATAGGGTTTGAGGCCCTTGGCATCAGGAGTACCATTTCTGGTGGAACCGCGATCGGCGGGCCAAGTCCATGGTCACTTGGATGCTTCCACCCTCGGGTCCTTTAGGGTTTAGGGTTTAGGGTGTATTAGGTTGCAGCTGAGTCTCTTGTACAATGTACAAGGGGATCGCAAGATCTCTGAGCATCGACCGTGAGCCCTAGAACCCGACACCTTTTGATGGGATGCCAAAGTTCCTCGCCAGAAAATTTGTGCATCGCTGCTCGGAGCTGAGCATGGACTTCGAAGTAGAGGAACGCCCACCTTAATTTTCGTCCTCACATGGTCGGCTTCTTTCGTATATAGGGTAGCCCGAAGCTGGACCTTAACTGGAGAACTCGGCAGCTCACCTTGTAACCCCCAACCCCCACACCTGGCCGGGGCACAATCACTTGCCTTGTGCAAGTCCAAGGTATGGACAATGCAGGCGCTCTACGCGGAGGATCAGCTGCGCCAACGCATCTGGACAAAAGACTCAGCTGTCGGTTGCAAAAAGTCCATCTTGGATGGTTGGACTTGTTTGTGTTTGTCGCATTGTTGTCGGGCTTGTTTGGGAATCCCTGTTTTGGTTAGCTACAGTAAACACCGTAAGAATCCCCCTGGAAGATGCAGACAAGAATCTCGTGCCAAGCCTGCCGTGAACACAAAATGCTAGTCATCAACCTGCCTGGAAGAACGAGGGGTATCCGAGGGTGAGTCTCAAGGGGGTGTCTTTTGTAATTTGATATTTGGTACGGGCCGGTGGTTCAGACGCTAGATCGACACAACCGAGCACTTCAGGAATGGCCTGGGCGTTGTCGCAGATCTACGTGTGCTCTGTGTCAGGAGGTGGCTATGCTGAGAGGCAGGGTGGCACACTGTTGCTTACTTGGAGCTTCATGGATGCTTATGACCCCAAATATAAGTCTACTTAGAACCTACTTAGAGGACTTAGGGGGCTTGTAAGTGCAGTTATGATTGGGGTTATAAGTACCCAGAACCTCCAAGTAGGGACTAGGAAGGCACATCTTCTCGGGAGGGCAGGGCCACAGTGGGCCCATAAAGTACGTAGTCCTCGCGACATGTTGTTGGAGTGCTTCTTCCTCCCTTTTCGAGGGATCCCTTATACTTGGAGGTTCATGGTACTTACTAACCAATTATTGCTGTACTTATAAGCCTACTTATAATACCTCAAAGGGCCTTATAGGGGTTATCCCAATTATAAGTAGGGTTATAAGCCCACTTATAAGTGATTATTAGGTCCCATGAACCTCCAAGTATAGTGCCCTGCAGAAGCCCAACCCAAAGCTCTAAGCTCAGTAACCCCACAGGCCCAGGTAAACAACCCCAAACCAAGGGCGCCCTTATTGAAATCTATGGTTTCTGTGCTCCCAAGTGGCCCTAAACCCTCAATAGCAACCCCCTTAAACCCTTCTGGTTGCCAGGGCTGAGTCCTGGACGGCCTACTACGACATCTTCGTGCGCAACGCCTTCGGAAACCTGCGTGACATCCTGCGCCAGGCGGGGAAGCCGACGATTTGCGGCTCGGGGCGGCTGAAGACCAACAAAGTACTTGTGGTCAGTGGGCCCTATAGGCCCTATATCCTCCTACATTACCTCCGGCACCTAATTCCCAAAATCCCTACTAGGATCCAGCAGAAAGAGATTGCATGCATAGACGGACGAGCTAGTTTCGTATTGGCCCCTAGAAGCCCTGTGGACCAAGTAGGCGGCACGGACCTTCGAGAGTCAGCATGTCGAAGGATCGAACTCCAAAGCAAGACCTTGCAAAGGACGTGGCACGAAACTCACCGGGCTGAGGGTCTAAAAACACGCCCCAGGTCACCTACAACCCGATCATGGGCGGCTACCTGCCGCTCGGCTTTTGATCTCTCTCGCTGTCTTTCGCTCTCTGCCTCGCTTCACAAAAAAAGACCTTCTCCCCGAGGACATCATGGAAGCATCTATCTTCTTAAGAAATCATCAGGTTCACTGAGGGGGGGCTCGATATGACCGACATGTGTGAAGCAGGGAAGCGAGAACCTTGGGGCCACCTTATTTCTCCGGAAGAAAGAACACCCGACTTGGAGCCGCCAGCTGTGAGGGGTGAGCCTCAAAAGGCACCCCCCCCAAAAAGGCCCAGCCTCACGAAACAGGAGAGTGGGAAAGGAAGATATCGAGAGAGAGAGAGAGACAGTCTCCAAGAATATGCCACAAAACTCTAAACCATAAATATACCACAACAAACAACGCTATCATCTCCAAGAATATACCACGCAAGACTCTAAAGACCCCGACTCTTCTTCAGGACCTTTAAGGGCAACCGTGCCTTCGATGAGACGGGCCGATTCCCGGACGAGAACTACGCGCGGGAGATCATGCAACCGGGCTTCTTTGTGAGTTCTGGGGGGTTTAGGGTTTATAGGGGTTTGGGGTTGTGGGTTTAGGGTTTAGGGTGCCCGAAGTGCCCTGAGAGCCCTACTTGGAGGTTCATGGTGCTTATGAACCAATTATAAATGTACTTATGGCTATACGTATATCCATGTTAGGGTAAGTAAGGGGCTGTGGGTCATAAGTACAGTTGTACTCTAGCAATTGCTTAAGAATCCCCCAGAAAATGAAGAATAATCTCCTCATAAGGGCAGTATAGGGATTCTTTGTTTTTGTTTTTATTCTTTTGGGGTTCTTAAGCAAAAGGGTTGTACTCTGAGAGCCTTATAAGTTCAATCGCACAGTCCATGGAGCACATATGAGGGGTTTCCCATGCCCCCCCCCCTCCCCCCGCCCAAAAAAAAAATAGCGATATACTCTAATGACTTTAATCCTTGTTGAAGGAGCCCCTACAAGGGGCACCCCGAATCCTTGCCGGCCTTGTGCGAGTGCGAGAGCCGAAACCCTACACCCGAAACCCTAGGAAGCCCCCCCCCCCCCCCCCTAACCCTAAACCCTAAACCCTAAACCCTAAACCCCTAAACCCCTAAACCCCTAAACCCTAAACCCCTAAACCCTAAACCCTAAACCCTAAACCCCCCGAACATCTGGCCCAGGCAGCTCTTCTCCATCGGCCTCTGGAAGCTCAACACGGACGGGTCGCAGGTCTTGGACTCGAGCCCTCGGCTGGAAAGAGAGAAACCTCCAAGGGTTGGGTTCCAGTGGTATTTAGGGTTTAGGGTTTAGGGTATAGGGTTTAGGGTTGAGGGTTTAGGGTTTAGGGTTTAGGGTTTAGGGAGAGGCCTCCCAGGCCGAACGGGCCCCAATGCTATGAGGAGGGTTTGGGGACAGGGTATAGGGTTCAAGGTTGAGGGTTTACGGTTGTAGGGTCGAAGGGTTTAGGGTTTAGAGTTAGGATTTAGGGAAGAAAGTCTTAAGGAGTGGTCTTTATGTAGTCTTTCGCGCAGGGTGCCCTCGAGTCTTGACAGCCCGAATCCTGTGTTGGTGAGGCCTGAGCACAAAGACATCTATGTCTATAGGCAGAAGAACTAGTCCCAGGGTATAGGGTTTAGGGTTTAGGGTTTAGGGTTTAGGGTTAGGGTTTAGGGAGTCCTTGGCTTCAAGAGAAAGCGCCAGCTGTGTCATGGGCCAGGGCAAGCCGAGACTCAGCGCACTCAGGGTGGATGAGTTCGCCTGCTTTGAGATGCTACCCTAAACCCCAAACCCTGAAAACCCCTATAACCTTAATGCTTGTCATAGAGGCGAAGGCTGTAGGCTTCCGGTAAGGAGCGGCCAGCCCATTCCGACGTATGACAACGAGCACATCATGAACTTTGCCCGCGTCTTCACGGGCTTCGACGAGCAGCCAAACCGTGGCAACTACGAGTACCAGGACAACAGGACCCCGGAGCGCCAATTCTGTTTTCAACACTTTTCCTGTGGTGCGCTCTTTTATAAGAACAGCAGGATGTGCGTGGCCGCTGCAACATCGAAACCCCATAGTCCTGGGATGCCCTTATATATGGAGGGACAAAATACCCTATAGTTCCCAAACTCGAAATTGGGGTCTTTTGACGTTAAAAGGCCCTAAATTATATATGGAGACACAAAAATACCCCGAAAGTTCCCAGACTCGAAAAAGAGAGACTGGGAGGAACCGGATCGATCCCATGCGCATGAGGGCCAGCTGGCATGACAAGTATCCGAAGCCCGACCCTTGGCTTTCTTCTGGCTCTTAGGACTTTAACCTTTTTGGGTTGTTGAAGAATCTACCATAAGGAGCTTAAAGTTCAACTTAGGGCTCCAATCTTTGGGTTGTTGAAGAAACTACAATAAGGAGCCTTAACGTTAAGCTTCTAGGAGCTCAGAAGTCAGCCAAGGACCTCGATGGCAACTACCTGGGGGACGGCTACCCTCTCTGCTCCGACCTCGCCGACCAGGTCCGGGGGTTGCAACAGCCCCCCCGCCTTGGGTTCAAGCGCGTGGGCTTTTGAGGGGCCAATAGTTGTTTCTTTTTTATATTATTAATGTAGAGTTTATATAGGGTTTATGTAGCGTTTATATAGGGTTGATCTAGGGCTTCGAGGGGCTGGATGAAGCTTGAGTCCCTTTGAGAGGCCTTCCTGGCAAAGGGCGCCCGATTCACCTTCGTGGGCGCTGCTGTCCACTTGGACCCCGACTTGAAGCAAGGCGGGCATGTGGGCTGTAAAATGGGTTTAGGGTTTAGGGTTTAGGGTTCAAATGCCCTAAGAACTCCAAACCTGCATTTTGGTAGGTTCTTCGTATCAAGTCCCTGATGGGATTCTTGGGGTTGAGGGTTGTAAGTGGGTTGCAAAATGTTGTTCGTGTTTACAGGGTTCAGGGCTCATGGCTTGAGGGGTTTAAGATGATGGGGGCTTAGGGTCGAAAGGGTTTATTGAGGGTTTTGAGTTGCGAACGGGGTATCCAACCCTGAGAGCAAGTTGTTGACCTTAAAAGGAGGCAAGAAGCGTCAAGATCATGCGATACGAATCCGTTTGCTGAGTTCTCGGCCTGTGGGCCCTCCAATATTTTTTCAAACAGGTTGTCTTTTTGGTACTAAGACGTGAGACCTGAGGTCGGAGCCGCTCGCAGGCTGTGTCCCCGATACTGAAAGCCCCAGCCCTGAACGTGAAAGTAGCATCTTCGGTACCGGCTGGCAGGGTGCGGCCTTTCTGTGCCCAGAATGTTGGATCCAAAATCAGAGAACTTGCCTTTGAAAGAGCCTGTGAAAGGGGACCCCGGGTTCTCGTCGGGATTCCCTGCCCCTGGTTGCACCTCGAGAGGTGCCCTGGAGTTGGACAGCAGCTCCGGCCTCTACCAGGCCCTCTGCTTCCAGTCCGGCGGCAAGTGCAACTACAACCTCACTGTTGAGCTCGACCAGGCGATCCCTTGCACCGGCAGCTTTGCCAGAAAGCCGGTGCATAGCAGCAGTAGTGGTAGTGGTAGTGGTCGTGGTGGTGGTGGTGGTGGTGGTAGTAGTAGTAGTAGTAGGAGGAGAAGGAGGAGGAGTAGTGGTAGTAGACCCTCAGGAGCCACTCGAATAGCCCTCGGCCCCGATGAATTTCATAGCCTGTCTACTAGCCCTCTAATCCCAGAATCTTCTTAACTCAACTCTCCAAGACGCCATTGAAGCCAAGGCAAGGAGTGCACGACCTACGAGGCGGGCGGGCGGGGAGGAAGAATTGGGGGAAGAAGCCGAGCCGAGGGGTCCTTGTTTCTTAGGTCTCAGAGACAAAGGGGTGCCTACGAACCAGGATGGGCTCTTGGGCCCTATAATCCCCATAGTCAACCCCATAGCGGGCCTTTTTAGAAGGGGCTTCTCGGGTATCATAGCCCGACCGGCGAGGTGCAGCTCATCAATGTCTCGGGCGGGCTCTACGAGTACCTGGAGCCCACCTGCGTGAACATGTTCTTCTTCAACGGGAGGATCGTCGCGCAGAGGTTTTTGCTTTCACCTCTCCTACACTGCGGTTCGACCCTGTATGCACCCCAGATCCAACTTGCAAACAGTTTCAAGGCAAGCCCCCCCGCCCCCCTCCCGCCCCCACCCCACACACACACACCCTGAACCCCAACTCAAGACATTCAACCCTTCACCCTCAACCCCCAAGCGCCTGTGTCTTTCCGCCATGGGGAGCCCGATAACCGTAGTGATGGAACCAGCTCGTGCAGCAAACCGGTTGAGCTGGTCCTTGTCGGGCTGAGTTGAGTGGTGACTTGTCTGCCTTGTTGGTTATATGGTGTTTTGGGTTGAAGACTTGCTCGGCCGAGACGACAACCCCCCAAGACATGTATCGCCAGTTCCCTGCAGAGTGTCCGAGAGGTCAGCTAAGCGGGTGGCCAAAAAAAAACCCTGAACACACATCCCGAACCCGCCCCAACAAAGAAAAAACCTAAGGTGCGAAACAAAAGCCCTCTCAACCCCTCCAAACGCCCAAAGCGCCGATGACGAGAACCCCATTCCCCTCAACCCTGAACATCCCTAACATCCCTCAGGATTCCCAAAAAAGAACCCCGACAACCCTAAACATCCCCATGAACAACCATAAAGCCTAAACCCCGAAACCTCCCTAAACCCTAAGGTCGGACCCATGCGCCCTTAGCTTACCCCGTGTTTCAAGGGATTTGTACGGGCCCTTTATGTGCATAGTATATAACAGACCCCAAATTCAGGGCACATACCCCGGATCCCCTACAAACATAGCCCTAAACCCGAAGGGGCCGTGGGGGCGAGGATCACCCGAGACTCCGGACGGCGGTGGGGCTGGTCGCAGACTTGCCGGGACCCCGAGGCCGCAACGCACCTGGGGGGGACTCTTTGGGGTTTGTAGGGGTTCATGCGGGGGTTTATAGGGTTTGTAGGGTTTCTAGGGTTTATAGGGTTGGTATAGGGTTTCTAGGGTTTCTAGGGGTTGCAGGGTTTTGCATGGTTTTGCAGGGTAGGGTGTATAGGGTTTCTCGGGTTTTATAGGGTTTTACAAGGTTTCATGGGGTTGATTGGGTTTAGGGCACTCTTTGAAGGTTGAGGAACTTGGGTATGTTTTTGGGCCTCGGGGGTTTGTCAGCTCTTGGACTTTTAGTTTCTGGCTCCTCCAGGCTTTCGTCGGCGGCATCGCCTGCTGCGACGGCTGCAAGAACGCAACGGACACTCCATCCGCAAAAAGTGGGGGGGGGGGGGGGATGAGGGTTTTTCGGGCCCCTTGGGAAGAGCATTGACGAGTTTGTCCCGGATCCCTAACAAACCCTATAAACCCTCTTGTCTCGTGTCCCTTCAAGGGAACTATTCCTGCCGGGGAGGGAGGCATCCTTGAGAAAAACCAGCAGTAGAGCAAAGACCTGCCTCCATAGAGGAAATCTACTGAGCCCCTACATGTAGGGACCCCAAAGAAGTATGCAGGAGTCCATAACAGGGAGACTTATTCTTGTCATGGATATATGTATCCATCGAGATGACATAGATGGTATATCGTTGTATACGCCCTGGCCTAAGGATTCCTACATGAGAAGGAGGGACTACACCTGCGAGAACGCGGAGACGACCTATCCCGCAATGTTCACGGACAGGTGGGACTTTGGGGGTTCTTGGACCATAAGGAGGGGGGGGCGAGGGCTGTCGAGCTCGATGTGTTACCAGATGGGGGTTTACTAACAACAAGGGACCCCCGAAAATAGTCCCCCAAACTGTAGGGTTCCTTTTCATCAGGACCCCAATAAGGTACCCCAAACTAAACCCTAAACCCTAATCTCGGAAGCCCCCTACGTGGGCTCGCCATGGCCTTGTCAGGTGCAACAACAGCGACTGGTGGACAAGCAGCTGGGCTTGCTCCAGAGACCCCAATATCCCTTAATTAAGGAAATATACCTTAAACTATAGTAGGGATCCCTAATATGATTTAAGGTATACCTTAAACTATAGTAGGGATCCCTAATATGATTTAAGGTATATACATTGAACTATAGTAGGGATCCCTAATATGATTTAAGGTATATACCTTAAATTATAGTAGGGATCCCTCATATGATTTAAGGTAGAATCCTTATTTCAGGGATATTGGAGCAGCTGACCCCAGACAAGCAATCAGGGGAGGAGCCGCACCCTTCACGGTCTTGAAACAGCTCCAGAAGAATGGACTGTAGTAAGAAAAATGCAAAATAATGTTCATAGTACTAAGAATAGTATAACACAATAAACAGCTCAGCTAATGTTTTTCTTCAACTTGATAGGTTTCTTGGCTCTCCGAGGCAAGAAGTACTGTCAGCTTGCCTGCTGGGAGAAGGGAGTTGGCTACGGAGGCGACTCGTCATGTGATCTTCAAATGGGGGGGGCGGAGTTCCATGAGATGGCGGACGACAGGCTTCAGACCCGCCCAAACCCCTACAAGCCCTGTAAAGCCCTAGAACAGGAATCCGGGTCTCTTCTTTGGCTTCCCCTTTGGTTCCCCCCGTTTGTTACATGGTTGTGTTACTGTTTGTGGGTCATGTAGTAGTAGAGACATGGGCTCTTCTGAAGGACTGACTCTTTGACTCGTTGATTCCTCCTCCACGTCTTGCTGTCTGAGAACATTTCAGGGGGGGAGGGGGGGGGGGGGGGTCTCTGAATTTCGTGGAGCTGAGATGACGACTGCAGCTACGGCCCCTGGCATGCGGAGCGCGTTTGCAACTATGACCAAGAGCGCGTGCGGCTGTCAACCGCAGAGAAGGTGTGCGCTGCAAAGGGCATGAAGCTCTGCGACCAGAAGTTGGAGGGCTACGGCTGCCTCTACGACAGCATGCAGGTGTGGACCAAGGACCGCCACATGGGCTCGCAGCACCATGAAAGACAGTCTCGAAGGCTCGAAGCAGTCGGTCCCATGCTCGAGTATAAGGTAAGTGGGGCTGGTCTAAAACGGGCTGGCAACTGCCACCAGCACTGCAGCTAGAATGAGTGCTCTGGATTTGCTCCTGCTTCTGACTTCTGATTGCTTGTTTCTCTCGTCTTCTGTTCCTTTTTTGTCTTACTGTTTCCTTCGCCACATCCTTCCCCAGAATGTGAAGCTTCTCCTCATTCTCCTCCTCCTTTCTTGCCGCTGATACTATGGTTCTCCTTTGCTAGTGTTCCTGCTCTTGACCATGTTCTTGCTATGAGTAGTCAGCTTCTTATTGTGACCGCTCTTGCTCCGCTGTTTCTACGAATTCTGTTTCATTCAGCTCTGGTTCTGGAACTCTTCTTCCATTGGGTAAAGTTCCTGTTGTTGTTCGTGGTATTTCTTGTTCTTATCCTCACTCGACATTTTTCCTGTGTGTCTGCAGATTCCCATGGTTTAATCATATTGCGTTTGCTGCTGTTATTGTTTCTTTTCCTGTTTGTGCATGCGGTCACAATGCTGCTCGTCTTATGGCCAATGGTTCTTGCTTTGCTATGGTTTGCTTTTGTGTCTCTTCCTGTTCTAGTTCGTATCCGTATTGTGATTCGTCCTTCTTAGCTTCGTTCTAACTCTGATACCCTAAACCCTAAACCCTAAACCCTAAACCCTAAACCCTAAACCCTAAGCGATACGGACGAGAAGTAGCAATGGCAGTGCTGTCGATGCCCAGGAGACCTGCACCCACGAGGTCATCGTCTTTGATGATGGCAACGTTGCCTCCAACTACACCAGCAAGACCAGGAACAAGGGCTGAGGGGCGCATGTTTTTGAGGATGTGGCTGTAGTTTTGAGGAGTCATGAGAGTAGGGCCGAGGGCTGTTGAATTGAGCGTGTATGACTCAATGCTCAAGATCCAAGATTTGAGGCCCTTTTCTTGAAGAGCAGTCATCTTCCGCGTGCGTCGAGTCTAACCAAGCTGGTTGCTCTCTAGACCCTTAGTAGGAATATACTAGTTGGTACCATAATCCCGACTAAGGACTCTGGGTATAAGGGGGAACATCCCAACAGCTCTTGGACAACCAGGAACAACAGATTCCATGCCCAGTGGAAGAATGGATTCCCACAGATGCAGAATGGTCAATGCCCATCGGGCTGCACACCTTTCGGCAGCGCCTGCTCCTGCAGCATGTCGGTTGCTAGGTAGGCCCTTGGGACATTTTTCTATTTACCCTTATTTTGGGGGTTAATGGGGATCATATTTTAAGGATTATTTGTTCCTCTTACTTGGGTTTAAGGGGATCATATGTTCAGGAGTATGTTTCAGAGGTTTTTTGGGGCCATCCCAGGTTGAAGTCAGGGCGGTCTTCACTTCGACTCCCACAGCCTCGCAGCTTCAAGCGCTGAAGCTCGGCGCCCATCCCCCTGCCACAGCTTGCACCAGCAGCTGCAGCGGGCCGGTGAAGGCATACCAGCAAAACGGCGTCTTCGACGCAGAGACGGTCTTTGAGCACAAGGGCGCATTCTACAGCAACAAGGACATCCGGTTCTCCGAAGGTTTTTCAGACATCTTTTGACATACAGATAGTCTTACCGCGCCCGAAGGCTGCTGAGACGTCAGAAGCAAGCGACCAATCACGTACGCCCATGTAAGCACGCAAGAATGTAGGGCTTTTGTTTAAGTTTAAAAAACCTTTTTGGGGTTTAGGGCTTTTTAAGGTTAAAAAAAAAACTTTTAGGGTTTAGGGTTCGTTTTTAACGTTAATAAAAAGCCCTGAATGGAAGAAAGCTTCGGCGAGTAACTGCCATGCTTCTTTCTCCCTTCAGCTGAGAGGAGAGCGTCGTGGTTTTGCCTGGCGGCTTCGAGTTCCGAAACCCACCCGCCTTCATGCCCCTCAAGGGCAACTTCATACATGGGTATTAGGGTTTAGGGTTTAGGGTGGTTTTAGTGAGCTTCTAGTGCTTAGGGCAAACTACAACAGGGTGTGAAATGTAGCGATGTTTGCCTTTCATTTCACCAGTGGGTCGGTAAAAAAGCTTGTGGCCGCTGATCCCTCGAAAGGATTCCTTTTTCAAAGGGATTTTGGCTCCAGCATCTAGCGTATGTCTTGTGCGAATGAGGCTTCCATTGCTAGCAAATGTGGGCGAGCATCTAGACTTACAGGGACACCGAAAAAAGCAACGAAGGCCCAACGTCTACATGAAAGAGCATATCCTGGCAAAGCACGCGCTGGCTGAAGTGGAGGCCCTCCTCGACCACCTTTTCAACCATCCCAACGTGGCGCCCTTCATCAGCTCCTTGGGGACTACATGAACCCTAAATTTTGGGGTCATATATACCCTATACTACTGTAATTCTTATTATAGGGTAACATGAACCCTAAGCCCTTTTAGGGTTCATGTCGTCCCCAAGGCTACCGACTCATCCAGCGCTTCGGAAACTCCAATCCATCCAGCGCCTATGTGCACAGCGTCGCGGACGCCTTCAGGAAGGGAAGCTACGGCGGCAAGACGTACTCGGGCAAGTACCTCGGGGACGAAATGAGCCCTAAAAAGGTTTGTTTTTGGTTCATATTACCTTAATAAGAATTATAGTTGTATATTACCATTATAGTATTACATCATTTTAATAAGAAATCTAGTAGTAATAGGGTAGATGACCCCATGATTTTCAGGTTCCCTTGGTCCCCTTGAAAGGTATGGAGACCTGGCTGCGACGGCGGCGGCCATTCTCCTGCATCCGGAAGCCCGCAGCCCCACGCTGCCCGCGGATCCTTGGGGTCCAAAATGAACCTTAATATTGGGGTCATGTACCGTACTACTACTACTACTACTACTACTACTACTACTACTACTACTACTACTACTACTACTACTACTACTACTACTACTACTACTACTACTACTACTACTACTACTACTACTACTACTGCTACCTTAATATTGGGGTCATGTACCGTACTACGACTATAACTCTTTTTGAGGTGTATACATTGGGGTCCAAATTTAAAATGAACCTTTACCTTGGGGTCATATACCCTACTACTACTACTGCTACTACTGCTACTACTGCTACTACTGCTGCTGCTGCTCCTACTACTACTACTACTACTACTACTACTACTACTACTACTACCACTACTGCTACTACTACTACTACAATAATTCTTATCAAGGTAATACCTACTATACTTCTTATTGAGGTATCTCTACTACTATAATTCTTATTATAAGGTAATGTGAACCATAAACCCTTTTAGGGCTCACAATTGGTCCCCAAGGATGGGTCCTTGAGGGAGCCCTACCTCAAGCTGATCCATGTCTCTGGGTCGTTGTTGAAAAGTATTTTTCCTTTTGTTGGAATACTTAAAAGCCCAACAAGGAACAAACAATGACATCATTTTTTGAATAGTGCTTAAACCCAATGAGGAACAAAAATGGTCATTGTTGAAATAGTACCCCCCGCCCCCCCCCCCGCCCCAAAAGAAAAAACATGGTGCAGGTCTTGCGGGCTTTGGAGTACAAGGACACGGATGCCAGCATGCCGGTGCTCAAGGACCTCCAGGATTCCATCGGACAGCATCCCTACAAGCATCCCTCGGTCTTCAGCTACTACCTGCCACTCGGAGTCATTGTTGAACATTACGCGTTTTAAGAATACCTGAAAACCCAATAAGGGACAACATTGATCATTTTCGAATGGTACTTGTATAAGTACTGAGAAACCCAACAAGGAACAAAAAATGATCATTATTAGAGTAGTAACCCCCCCCCCCCCCCCCCCCCACAAAATGGTGCAGGCCGGATCACAAGCCGGACAGCTTCCCCGAAGGCAAGGTGGCGCCGGAGTTCCAGATCTTCACGCCTCCCATGATCATCAACTTCCTGAACGGCTGCTTGGTGGACCTTCATGGAGCTCAAACGGCGTGATAGATGCTTCTTTCTTGTTTTTTTATGTCTATTTGGGGGGGGGGGGGGGGGGGGGGGGCGGCTTTGAGAACGGAGGAAACCCCTGCCTCCGGGTTCCAGATGAGGAGGCGCCCTAAACCCCATAAATCCTAGAAACCCTACAAGCCCTATAAAACCCTGTAACACCCTATAACACCCTATAAAACCCTATAAAGCCCCATAGACCCCAAAAACATCAGCCTAAGGCATCTCCTCCCTCGTGGACCACGGCCTCGGGGACTGCGACCGAGGCTTTGGAGAGCGCGGCCTCGCCTGCTCACAGGCATCCTCGGGTCTCTCTCACTTCTCTCTCTCTCTCTCTCTCTCTCTATCTCTCTTCTTTTGGGTTTAGGGTTCAGGGTTTAGGGTTTTGCTGTTGTGTGGGTTATGAAGAGGGTTTAGGATTTTTGCTGGGGGCCAATGTGTGGGTTATGAATAGGTTCTCTCTCTATCGCTCTCTCTCTCTGTTCCTTGAAGCTCTGCGATAAAGTGAGGGTCCTGGACTTGACAGTTCTCCCGAGCTCATAGAAAATTTGAGGATCCTCCAAGCGCAAGAGAGAGGCCCCCTGATTTTGAGAGCAGTGCTCGGGTTTCTGCTCACAGGGCCAGCTCACGCTTGGGCAGCGGGACTGCTTGCAGCCCACTGTGGATCAGCTGGACTCTGGGTCCTGGAGTAACATAGGGGCCTTAATGATTAGAATAGGGTTTTGAGGGCCACTATAGTACAATTACAATTATTCCGACACCATATTATGTGCTTCTTGTGGTTTTTGACGGCTGATAGACTTATATGGGTCCTACGCAGTGCGGAATGGTTCTTTCCTTTTTGTTTGTGTTGAGGGCCTTAGGAAAAGGGTCCCTGTTTTCTTGGGTATACACCAACTAAAGACCTGTCGTGTGCCTCTGCTTCCCGAGCGCGCAACTCACGTGAGGATCTGCTGCTGACCGGAGGCCGCCTCCACAACCAGCAGTTCATCCGGGCTGCCTATGAAGAGGCCAATGGGGAGGACCGCTACAAAGTCGCCACCAAGGCCGCGCCTCGCCTGAAGTGAGCCGCACGTCGGGTTCCGCTGCATTCCCCTTGTGATGTGGTGCTGTTAGTTGTTAGGGCCCTCTATCCCCCCCCCCCCCAAAAAAAAAACAAAACGAGCAGGGCAAGAAACAGAAGCCCAGCAAAAGAAGCTGCTCTCTCAAACAAAGGTGCTCTTGAGCCCAGAGTTCAACACCATCGGGACGCCGATGCCCAAGGGCCCTCGGCCCCCGACGCAGCCGAAGCCGGAGGAGGAGCCCGGCGAGTACAAGGCCGCAGCCGCCGGGTGGCAATATATGGCGAGTCTCACGAGAGGGCTCTTTGTGACGTGTTGTTCAGGGGAAGCTTCTGAGGAAATTCTAGGAGAATGGAGGAGTCTCTCTTGTTGTCAACATGCTTGAGGTCGTTCGGTTCAGACGGCTGTCTGGTACACTGTGCGAGGTTGTTTGGCAGCGCCGAAAAGATGTTACGCGGGCTCTTTAGTTCTTTTGAGCTGGATTTGTTACTTGGTTCTGCAGGGAATGGTTGGGAGCCTGGTAAACCACGTCAGTTGCGTCGTTTGCCTTAGTCGGGCAATCTTTCAGGGGGTTTCTACGTCTCTACCATGCTTGGCAGGGAAAAATCGAACCTCTGTGACGCAGCAGGCTGCATTGTGCCCAAGATTCGTCTATAGATTTTCACAACAAGGGAGGCGATGAGGATCCGAGGCCAACTCAAAGTTGCATGATGCCCTAGGTCATGGTCTTCCTGAATGGCGGCGCGGACAGCTCCTTGAAGGGCACGCAAGTCCCTTTTAAGGGGGGGGGGGTCTTCGTTCAGGATACCCTATGCCCTAAACCCTAAACCCTAAACCCTACACCCGAAACCCTAAACCCTAAACCCGAAACCCTAAACCCTAAACCCTAAACCCTAAACCCTAAACCCTAAACCCTAAACCCTAAACCCTAAACCCTAAACCCTAAACCCTAAACCCACCCCTTGGGTCGAATCCCATGTGCTGCTTCCGTGCCAGCACGAAGCCTTCCGCCCCACAGAAACCAAGGAACCCGATGGCTGAGACATGCAGGAACCTGAAAGATCCTGAAACCTCATGGGCCTGAAGGGTTAGGTTTTAGGGTTAGGGTTTAGGGTTTAGGGTTTAGGGTTTAGGGTTTAGGGTTTAGGGTTCAGGGTTCAGGGTTTAGGGTTTAGGGTTGAGGGGTGAGGCGGTTTGTGCGACCCTGTTCATGTCTGCTTTGCGACAAGACCCCTACCCCCTTTCAAGAACAAGTCTGGAGAACTCTGCTCCAAAGAAACGCTCCCCCACAAGGTACTCAAACATTAGTGTTGCAGCCTCTCTAATGGCAGACCCTTGTGGACGACTTTAGCGGCTGCGTGAAGCATCTCCTCCTCGCCGCAACATACGAACTTGCTTCAAGCCTTTCGGAAAGCTCCGGTTCCAAGTCCAAGACAGACAGGCACTCATCATGCGCGTTGTTGCTTTTTGTTCCTGCCCCCCCTCTGCCTTCAGCCCTGGGAAAACGGAAGGTTACAACATGCTGGTGCCACTGGACTGCCCCCTCTACGACGAGTACAGGCAGGTTCGCGGCAACATCGCCCTGGAGACCGACGAGCTGCACGCCATCAACACGAGTGGCCAGGACAGGGCTTTGCCAGGATGGGGGATTATTGCCCCCTTTTTAGGGTTTAGGGTTTAGGGTTTAGCGCCCTTTAGAGGGTTGATGGTGGGGGATGATCACAATTTTCGGCGAATTCAGGTTGAGTCCAGCCTTCGGGTGAAGAAGAAATCTTGAGCTTCAGTAGGTGCAGAGCACATGAGGGAGATCTGCTGACGATGCCTTTTAAATCGTAAACCCTAAACCCCAAACCCGGATTGCTGCTGAGCGGTTCGTGCAGCCATGCGGGTGCCAAAAAAACCCTAAACCCTAAACCCTAAACCCTGAACCCTAAACCCTAAACCCTAAACCCTAAACCCTGAACCCTAAACCCTAAACCCGATGCCAGGACTGCTCGAAGTTTGGCATCCACCACGAGCTGAACATCTTCAAGGAGCTCTACGACAACAAGGCCCGCGAGGGAAATTCCCGCAGACTTCGACCGGTGAGTTTTGTAGGGTTTAGGGTTTAGGGTTCAGGGTTCAGGGTTTAGGGTTTAGGTAGGGCATTCTCTCCTGGGAATTGGATGTTCCTATGCAGGCCCGATCGCAAGGAACTGACCCTGCTGTCAATGATCTCCAGTTGTGTAGTTTCGAGGTCACCTTTCTTCTTAGCACCAAGTCAACCATGGCACCCCTATAGACAGGACTCAAACATCACGGCCCAACATTTCGCAAAATACCCCTAACCACTGCAAAAAACCCTAACAGCCCTTTAAAAAAACCAAAAAAGCCCTGACAACCCTAAGCACCCTAAAAGCCCCACATTCTTTGGCCCCTAAAGACCCTACTAACCCCTAACAGCCCTAAAAACCCTTGAACAAAAACCGAATAAAAGCCCAAAAAGCAAGCCTAAACACCCTCAAAGCCCCACATGCTTTGGCCCCCACCCAAACCCTAAACCCGAAAACCCTAAACCCTAAAACCCCAAACCCTAAACCCCTAAACCCTATAATCAAAACCCTCTAAACCCCCTCTGCCTCAGGAGCTGGCTTTCGCAGCCAACGTCGGCTCATTGGTCGAGAGCCTGGACAAGGCCTGAGTGCACCGAGGGTTTCAAGGGTTTCAAGGGTTTTCGGGTTTTAGGATTTAAGCTTCAGGGTTTAGGGTGTAGGGTTTAGGGTTTAGGCTTTAGGTTAGGGTCTCTTTTCACAAGGGTATAGAAGAGAATCCTCGCCAAGGAGTCCCCTTTAAGCAGGGTGATCTTCAACTGGGCACATACGTCATTCCTAAGCCCTGAATATTTTTTCAGAGGGTTTTAAGGGGGCCATCCTAAGACGTTCTTCCTGAGTTTCCGGCTCGAGGCCGCCTTTTCCAACGGCTTTGGAGAGCGCTGCATCGGCCTGTTCCAGATCCTGACAGAGAACATGCTTTCTTTTTTTCCCTACCAGGTGAGTTTGGGGTTTTTGGCAACTTATGTTGTTGAAAGGGTTCTGTAAGGGAGATATAGAGTACCGAAATACGAAACTCTCAACTAAGAACTCTTATTCGTCGGAAAATGGTTTAGCTTGCAGGCTGAGAGGCGCGAGCCACTGTTAACACAATTCTTCAGACGCACGAAGCTTCGAACAAGCTCACCTATTAGGCTTAGATTTTTTCGTGAGGTGCAATCACTTCAATTTAATGCTGGTTTGATGATGCGAGACTCACAACTCAACAAGAAGCTGTACTGTACAGCTCTTTATTCACATGGCCAAACGAGGGCCCGAAAATGTTCGCAGCGTAAGGAACACCACCACAAGGTTGTTCATAGGTCACCAAAACCTCTGATCTCACAACTCCCACGGCGTCTGCTCATTGAGTCTATGAGGCCTACACCCCAAAAACCTTTGTTTCTTCAGGTTCTCGCACAGCGACCAGCAGCGTGCGGCGCAGACCTTGACCTGCCAGTCCCCTACAGCTGCCTCCAAGGGAGCAGGCGACGCAGGTTAAGGGGCTCAAGGTTGTGTACGCAGGGTTAGCCTTCGTGTGAGCCTCACAGGAAGGCTTGTTAAGAGTGTCCGAACATCCCACAAGTACCCCTCAGGGAAGACCCTGCTGTTTTCTTTTGCTTGCGCCCACCGTTTCCCATCACTCAGATGTGTATCTGCAAGTTGCCCGCTCCGTGACGAGACCCCATGGATGTCGACTGCAGGTGGTCGGCTGGCTGATGCCTTGGCTTCGGGCTCAAAGACGCTCGGCTTCAGAGGGCCCCCCCCCGCCCCCCTCTCTTTTTGCTTTTGAAGTGGTCAGGGTGATCTCCGTTCGCTTCTTGGCATGCTTCGAGTCTCTCATGACCCTAAACCCGAAACCCTAAACCCTATGTTCATGGGGACCTAACTTTCGCTCTTTGGAAGGACAGGGGACCGAGTGAGCCTGGCTTGTCCGAGTGTGAGCGAGGAACGAACCGTAACGAACCCCAATTTCCAAGCTTCTTGGACCCAGAACCTTGGCGGAGGATCCCCAAAGAGTAGAACCCCCATACAGTGCCCTATATCCCACTCCTGGGTCATTCTTAGCGCAACGGAGATCTACGTGGGGATCTACTTCTTGGATCCTTTTTGGGGTCCTTGTCAGAGTTGACGAAAATAAGGGACACCCAAATACAGACCCCCACATAGTAGGATTTCCCTTGTAATAAGGACCCAAATAACGCACCCCTAAGTTCGGAAAGCCCCAAACCCTAAACCCTCAACCCTATCCCTAAGCCCTATACCCCGCTAAACCCAAAGCCCCCTCGTAAGGAAGCTGAAGACCATGTCCTTCTCACTGGTCGGAAGCCAGCCGTGGCCCCAGGGCCTGGAGACTTGGCAGGTTTAGGGTTTAGGGTTTAGGGTTTAAGGTTTAAGGTTTAGGGGTCGAATAGTTACCTCTCGTATTCCCTTATGGTCCCTTTATCACTATACTATCATTCCCCCCAAAATTCCCATTCTAATCATTAAGGCCCTTATATTACCCTCTTCTGCCCCTTTCTGTTGTGGTTCTGGCCTCTTCTGAAGCAGCAAGCACCAACAAGGGCATCCTGACAAGATGACCCTGAGGCCCTAAATTCTACTAAGCCCCAATAAGCCCTACGAAAATAAGGGCCCCAAAATATAGACCCCCAAATAGTAGGATTCCCTTATAGTTAGGAACTCCAATAAGATGTTGCCCCCTATACTAACAGTCCCGAATGTATATAGGGGGGTACCATAATCCCTATACAGGACTCTTAGCATAAGGGAGAGCATGCCAACCCTGCGTACCCTAAACCCTAAACCCTAAACCCTAAACCCTAAACCCTAAACCCTAAACCCTAAACCCTAAACCCTTGAAAATGGTTGGCTGGGGACTGGCCAAGGAGACCAACGCAGAGATCATCAACGACGGCGAGCCGATCGGCCTGAGGAGCAAGAAGCAGCTGCAGGTGCTCTTTCTGATTGCATGTTTTTTGGGTGTGCTTTTTTTGTTCTTTAGAGGTTTGCTTTTGTGTTTTTGTTTGTTTTTTGTGTTTTTGTTTAACCACAGGTCTTCTGAGGGTTTGTTCGTTTTTTCGGGTTTTCAGGTCATGCTGGCCAGTTTTGGGAGCTTGGAAGCTCACTCTTCTCGCTGAAAAGGGAGATTACGGGACCCTCCACAATTGAAACAAAGGCGGCTGCGCCCAGCTTCAGAGGACTTCTTTTACTTGGCGTCCCCACGAGGGATTTCAGTCACTGTTGTTCAGAAACCTGGGGAATCATCTATGGGCATCTTACTGAAAAATCTTCGGCTGCACTTAACCGCAGCCGGAAGCCTCTACAGTTCCCTCATGCTTGCGAGGTGGTCATCGACAACATCACAAGCATCAAGCATGGCAACATGTATTGCGAGGAGACTGTTGGGGCCATCGATGGCTGAGATTTTCAGCGTAGATCTTAGGCCGTGGAGCCCGTCACGGTGGGAAGGCAAGGAGATAGAGCGCAAATGCTCGTGTACGTGTTTATGTAGATGCCGGAGATGCTATAGACTTCAGACTATAAGCACCCATACTTTGGCCTCATTTTGGGGAGCCCCTTCTTTTCGGTACCAGTGCCATGAGCCCGTGGGCCTGACTTAGGGTACTTCCGACGGCATTCGTGTAGCTTCAAGGTGGGGAAGTCACACCCTTCGTGCAGGAAAGCAGTAGTAAACCGGAAGCACAAGGGGAAGGTGCAAAGGATGAATGAGTTTTGCTTCCGGTTTCTTTCGGAAACAAGGCCCGAAACAGAACTTTCCCGCAGGAGTACAGCCAGAAGCTCACTGCTGCCCTGGACTTCAATGAGCAGCTCACGAGTAGCCTGCGAAATGCCGAGCTCGCCACGAGCTTCTCGACTGACAACCGGGGCCTCACCAGACAGCTCCGAGAGGCGGGGGAACTTCTTCATGTTAATGGGCTGTATTAGGGCTTTAGGGTTGAGGGTTGAGGGTTTGGGAATTATCCCTGAGGGTCCATGTGCCCTGTGTGGTATATTCTTGGGCCTCAGAAGGGGTTCCTAGATAATGTAGTAGCTTTAGGGGCCAAGTATACAAGATACAGTTACATGAGTTACATGGACCTTTTACAGGGAGTTGCACGGTACGATGCAGCAATGGATGCATCAGATGTCGTGGGTCTGGAGTTAAACTCGCAGCACATACATGCGGGGAGAACCGATTGCCGATTGCTTGCTTGAAATCATACGCAACGGTTTCTGATCGCGAGTCTGACGCGAAGACCTCCTTCTAAGACATTTGTTGCTCGACTCACAATGACCCAGATAAGCCCAAAGCCCAGAAACAGAATGAGGACTCTCCCCAAAATGCCAACCCTAAACCCCCCAAAGCCCCTAAAACGCCAAACTTCAAGTCCTCAAGCAGCTCGGGATTTTCGGGGTTCTGTAAGACGCGGAAAACTCTGGGGCTTCGAAGGTCGACTGGGTCTGTCCTTGCTGGGGGATCCTCTTGTCAGATTTAGGGTTTGGGGTTTAGAGTTTAGGGCTGTCAATGTCAATGGCTCAAAGGTCTTCCGGGGGGGGTGGGAAGGGGGCTACTGCACAGTACATGTTTGAACATGCACCGCAAAGTCCACAACTGAACGGGATTGACGAGCCCATCTACATACCCCTTCTTGGAACACTGTGGATTGACATGTGTTCAGAATCTGCGACTCTTACCGTCCCTGGGAGGTGGCTCGCCTCATTGCCTCGCGCGCGGAACGCAAGGTTGAGAGGGACCTCTTCTTCGTGCAGTTCCTGTGCTCTCACTGGGGAGTTTGTGGAAGTAAGGGGCTCCCTTGAGACTTTAAGTCAGGGAAGTCCCCGCACAAAAGAGTCCAAAAGGGAGCCCACCAAGAATCCTGATGAGAATCGGGACCTCTTCTGCGGCCCCATACAGTACATTTAGAATGTCAGAGCATTGGTGCTTCATGCATATATATTTTTATATATGTGCTGATGTGTATCTATACGGAATTTTATGCGCAAACATGCATGCATACGTCGCAATGAATGCATGAGTCCTTCTTTACGTTACCGAGCACCAACTAGCAAACATGTTGGCCTGCGTGTTGCAGATAAGTTGTCAAGCTGACATGCCCACATAGCTGCGTGTGTGCAGGGGTCGGCAGTCATGGCATGTGTGTGTTGTGCAGTGTACTGTGCTGGAAGGAAAGGGTGTGAAATGTACCGAGACGCGCTATTTTGCCATACTGTACTGTGTTCGTGCTGGCAACCATGTGGTGTAGTGTAGGGTCATCTGCTTGGTGTAGCGCAGTGAAGTGTAGTGCAACACGCAATGTGATGCAATACGATGCAAATCCGAACAGGAGCACTTACATTTGTTGGCTATGTTTCTTTCTGCAGAATCAAGTGAAGGATTGTGCAGATACAGTCCTGCGCAGATCAATTTGTGTGAAAATGTTTGCATATTCCCCCTGAGTGTATTTCAAGAATGAACAGATTGGAATGGCATTTGTCTTGGGATTCTAAGTCGCTCACAGCGAGTGAGGAGGCAAACATCAAGCGATGACACAGGTCAACACCCAGGCACCTCTCAGAAATGCCCTGGGGGACAAAAGAGGGTTCGCCTCAGGCAAGGAGAGTCAGACCGAAGTGTGCATAGCGCCGCACTCTTTGAAAATAATATTTTATATTGTAAAGACCTTGAGTACCTAAAGCCAAGTACCTGCCTGCGAAACCCAGGATCGGGGGCTTCGACAACCACCAGAGTGTGGAGAGGAACTTAGCCAACCGGTTTGACGAGGTGGAGGGAGGGCCCTTTTTGGTGTCCTTTAGGGCCTTTAGGGTTTAGGGTAACAGTCCTGAATAGGGTTTAGGGTTTAGGGTTTAGGGCTTGGCTTCATCCGCAAGAGGGCATGCAGACCTTCTCGCGAAGAGGCAGCTTGCCCAGTGTATGCTATCTCTGGCTTTGGCGGTTGCAGTTCGACGGCCTTCTGCTGGATGTATATGTGGCTAGGGAAGACCGGAATCTAAGCCCAAATAGTAGGATTCCCTTATCGTGAGGAACCCCAGGTACCCCCCAATGTCGGAAACCCCCGAATATCAATTGGCCATTTGTTGCGCATCCCCCTTTGTTGTACGTGTTCTCAAGACTCATGGCTCCAAAGTCAGGTGGACCATGGCTTCAAAAGGTTTGTGGCCGCAGCCTGGCTGCAGCTTGAGCGAGGGTTAGGGTTAAGGGTTAAGGCTTCAGTTAGGGCCCCAAAATGATGTCACCAGATTCACGCTGCTAGATCCCCCCCCCCACCCCAATAAGGAGAATCAACTGGGATGCCCCAGACGACCCCATGTGGTTGTGATTTCTGGTCAGTTTGCGCGTCTTGGCTACGCTCTTAACACGGAACAAAGGGCAAGCACAAGGACCTTAAACCCTAAACCCTAAGAGGAACCTTTGCTTGATGAGTCTCTTGGGCGCAAGGAGATGAAGGCGCAGAACATGTTCGACAAGGTCGTCATGGCGACGCACTCGGACTTCGCACGTCCCTTGCCAGCGGTGGGACCTTCAACTCCCCCCCCCCCCCCCATTTTTCCCCTACCACTTCCCCAAACCGAAGAAATCTCCAGTCTACTTAGGTGTTGTAGGGCAGAAGAATGAGCGCTTCTGTTCTCCTGAGATGCCTTTCTTTGGCTAGAGAACCCCCATACATACCTTTCTCAGTAGGGAATGATGAGGGAACTGGGGCCCTTATATACCCTTTAAGGGATTACAAGGACCCGAACTCCCTCATTCCCTACGAGGAAGCAGCCAGATGACCCCTGTTTCTGTTCAGCTGAGAGGTACCCTAAACCTTAAACCCTAAACCCTAAACCCTAAACCTCAGCTGAGAGGTACCCTGACCCCGAACTCCGGTGCCGGGTCGGACCATGCCTGGGGAGGGAACTACGTCATCGTGGGCGGCGGCATCCAGGGTGGCAAGGTGGGAGAGATCCCTTTTTGGGGGGGTTTAGGGTTTGGGGTTTGGGGTTTGGGGTTTGGGGTTTGGGGTTTAGGGTTTGGTCTGCTTGGCTGTTAGGGTTTTTTGTTGATGGTGGTGTCGGCCTTTGCTCGTGCACCAGCACTCGTGTTGCCGCTGCTTATACTGAAGTAATATGGGTATTTCCCAAAATAGGGGGTACCCCTTTTACACCCCAAATAGAATCCCTTTAAAGGGACCCAGAAAAGGCACCCCCTGTTTTCGGAACCCCTATCACAATGCGACCATTGCAATGATTGCACTTCTTCTGCTCCTCGTATCACTCTTTTATCTGCTCGCTGTTGTTTGTCATTCTTGTTCTCCGAATTTGTTACGGGGTAGGCCTTTCCCTTTCTTGCGATCGCTGGTCCAGGCTGGAAGATTTCTTTTATCAGAATTCCCCTACCTCTTTAAGGACTCTGTAAACCCAAACCCTATAAACCCTATAAACCCTACAAACCCTACAAACCCTATAAACCCTATAAACCCTATAAACCCTATAAACCCTATAAACCCTATAAACCCTATAAACCCTATAAACCCTAAAAACCCTAAACCCTGAACCGAGTTTTCCATCTTGGGCTGGCTGCCAGGTGTTCAACGACTTCCCCGCCTCCCTCCTTCCGGGGGGCGCGCAGGATGCCGGGCGCGGGCGCCTGATCCCCAAGTACCCTTTCGAGAACATGATGCTGCCCATCGCGCAGTGGATGGGCTTCTCTCTCTGCACCTCCCAGGGTCGCCTTCTGTTTTTTGTTGCTCCGAAGTTACTCCTCAAACCTAAAATATTACAAAAAGCCACATAAGGAACCTCAAGAGTACCCAAAGAAGAAAGAGTACCCAAGAGAGCAACCCATCTTTGGCCTTCCTCTGGCCTCAGGCTTGGAAGCAGATCAAGAAAGCGAGGCCATGTCCGGGGGGGCATCTGGTTCTGTAATGTTCTCTCGCCTTGGGTTCCGGGTTCATAAAGTTTGGGGTTCAGGTTTTAGGGTTCAGGGTTTAGGGTAGAGGGTTTAGGGTTTAGGGTTGCTGGGACAAGGACCCCCCCTGGCTCTTGTGAGAAGACACAGGTGTTTCCCAACCTGAAGAACTTCAACAGCTCGCACTTCATCAGCCAGTCGGCGCTCTTCGTTTGACTTCTGAGATGCAGAGCCATAAATCTCGGACCCAGAGTAGGCCCTTTATTCTCCTTGTTTTTAGGTTTAGGTTTCCTTAGAAGCCTCTTGAACCCAATAGGGTATACCTGCCCTTTGCTATTCCTAGGTCGCTCTGGAGTCTAGCAAGTATGTCGAATTCAGTAGCCTTTTTTCGGAGACGTTCCCACGTGTGTCCAAGCTATGTAGTAAGCTGCCACCCGTGCGCTCCGAAAGAATTTGCTGCTTGGCACTGGTGCGGGGCAAGAGAGTCCCCGCATCGGCGCCACGCAGAGGCTTTTACAGAGCAAATCTTGAGAAGCCGTGGGAGCAGGTTGCCATCAACTTGGATATGTGCCAAGATCCAGGGGCCGCCCTTTCCCCCCAAAAAAAATCCACAGCAGGAATCTTCATTCTTCACCGGGGTCCTCCCAAAAGAAAAGTGGCCGCTCCAGTGGGGCCCCTAATTACTTCTGGCACATACCCACTTATCTAGCCATGGATGGCATCCGGTGCCTCTTAAGTGCACTTGCGGCTGACACCGACAAGCTGCCTGAGGCTGCCCGCTGTGCCTTCGCCACCTGAGCGACACTCCCTTTCTGCGACTGTGTTTGGAAAAGTACTCAGACTCTCGGTTTAGGGTGTAGGGTTTATAGGGTTTATAGGGTTTAGGGTTTATAGGGTTTAGGGCTACACGATTCTACATGCCACTTGTCGGTCCTGCACCTGTCACGGCAGGCAAGAAACGTCGCGTGAAAGATTCAAGAAGGTGGGTATTGTCAACATGAACACGTCTACAAGGTGTTCATGGGCATTGGCGTGAAAACCTGGTTCCCATACAGCAGCTTTAGGGCCCAATTATGTGCTCAAAAGGTACATGGACCCTTCGGGCAAGCGGCCCCTAACTGGAGCAGGCGGTTAGGAGAACAGGGATGCTGGCCATCCTTCGCACCCGATGGAGTCTTGTCGTTTGCGTCCTCGTGGCACCACGCGGTTCGGCGGTAGATGCGTGCCAGAGCTCCGCATGTGAGGCTGCGTGTTTGTAACAGGTTTTTAGGTTTTTACCTAGGCAAGCCCTAAAGGGACATTCTAAATTTCCCCTTATTGGGCTTAAGTGGATCAGATTCGTGAATATTTTTCAGAGGCTTCTAAGGGCCATCCGAGTTAGTTGCCGCCGACTTTGAACCCATACTTGATCACATGCTTCTGCATGGTCTGTAGCCACCTGGCCAAGTAGGATGTGTGAATTCCTGATGAGGCGAACTTTGAGTTTAGTGAGATCTGCGAGAGGGCAGGGGAGGAACCGGCCGAACCGGCTTAGAAGCCCAAACGCTCAAACTTCAAACTCTTGAACTCCGGACCCTATGCCCTAAACCCTAAACCCTACACCCTCAACCCCTGACCACTCACATCGCAGGGTTGGACGGAAGATGCTGGCCTGGGGATGCTCCAGCATTCGGTACGAGCAGGCCGCGTTGCGAGACAAGTGCACGCAGCGCTACCCAGCTTGCCGAAGGACGCAGGTTGTTTTTGTGGCTGTTGGTAGATGTTCGGGGGGGTTTCCGAAGGGGAAGTCAGTGCAATTGCTGTGCAGAGCCAGCTGCGGAGAAGCCCACGCAGGAGTATGGGCAGTGTGACGTGGTGGCGCCGCCCTCCTGGGGCGACGTGGCTTATCTGGAAGGCCGGAAGACGGTGTCTTGCAAATGCAGACTGCGAGCTTCACCTGCGTCAACTGGGACAAGGTGCTTCAGTTTTGGCTTCCCATTGGTGAAGACAACCGGGGCTGGCCATCCCTTTTCTTCCTTGTGCCGGTGCTCCTTGTGGGTGGATATGCGCAGGTCACCAGCGCCCAAGCTGGTAAGCTTGGAGGGTTTGAAGAGCTGGGAGGGCTTGCGCCTCGCCAGGTCAACTTCTGGTGCAGAGACCTCCCCCCACACCGATCGGTCTACTTGGCCATGGCTGGTGCCCTTCTTTGGCTGGGGACGATGCTGGACCACCCGGCCTTTGGCGTTGAAGAGACGGAGGGCATTCGGCCCTATGCCCTTCCATGGCTGGCCATCTTCAGCCCATCAGCTTGCTGCATCTTGGCCATGGGTACTTCGAGCCCGAACACGAGGCAGAGGTCCCTTTTGCACCAGGCAGCCCTCGTTCTCCTGTTGCCTGCTCTGCTGGCTTTCATCTCTCGTGAGCGGGAGCACACCATGGGATATCACCATGGGCACCGCTTTCTAATCGTCTCCTGGACCTTCCTCGGAATCTTCCTTGCGCTTCTCGCCTTGGCATTTGCCCCGGAGCCGCGCGTCTCCTCGTGGCTGCGGAAGTTTGCGATGCTTGTGTGCTGTGTGTCCTACATCAACGGAGGCATCTCCAAGATCCTGAACAACCGACCCTTTCTGGCATACTTGGATGCTTGCTAGCCCAGTGGTACCCTTTGCCCTTTTTTTTTTGGGTTCTGGGTTCCCTTACAAAGTAGCCACCCCAAAAAAGGGTGCCCTTTATTTTGATATGGTTACTGGGCTACTAAGGATGGCAAGGTGCTCCAGAAAGCCACTTTCTGCTTCTCCATGGTGGCAAACATCTACAAGGGCGTGGGGTATCCTTGGCTTGCCAGGCAGGTCGCCTTACATCTCCCCTTCTCGCAGCTTCTCTGCGCGGCTCGGCCCCGGAAGCTACCCCCCAAAAAAGGAACCGACGTCTTCACTTTCCATGATCCTCATCTACAGTCTTATACTCTTACCGTTGCCTCATAGCATCCTGGTAGCCATTCCAAAAACAACACCAGTGAAGCCCGAACTCCTGTCATTGAAGCTCCCCCCAAAAGCCCAAACCCTAAACCCTAAACCCTAAGCCCTGAACCCTGAACCCTAAACCCCGCCCCCCAGGCTTTTGCCTTGCTGTTTGAGCTGCCGCTCTCCATTTCCGCACTCATGGGGCCCGGCTGCTTCGGTGAACTCGGCCCAGTACCTTGAGGACTACTTATGAATCCTAGGGTTTAGGGTTTAGGGTTTAGGGCTTAGGGTTTAGGGTTTAGGGTTTAGGGTTTAGGGTTTAGGGGTCCATGTACCTTAAGAGGGATAATGGTAGCATAGGGTAGTGGACCCCAATTTTTGGGGTTTATTTGGTCCTCAAGGTACGGATTCTCTGGCGCCTTGGCGCGCCCTGAGCAGCTTCGAGCTGAGTTTGCCGGAGGTTGGGGGAGCTTTGTAGTGGTTTAGGTTTAGGGTTTAGGGTTTAGGGTTTAGGGTTTAGGGTTTAGGGTTTAGGGTTTAGGGTTGTGAGAGGCTGCCCCAAGGGAATCCAGCGCCTCGGGGCCCAGATGGAAGTGGGTGCTGCGATAAGTCCAGCGGTTCTGCTCCCTTTTTTGGCTTTTCATATGGCTTAGGTACTAGGGTTGTTGTGTCTTGACCCTTTTCAGCCTACATTGTTCGAACTACGAGTTATCAGCTTAAAACACATCCCGAGGTGCCTGGCCGCTTGCTCATTCCACTTCGGTGTGAGCTCTTTGTGGGGAAGCCTCCCAGCCAGCATGTATAACTACGAGGCCTGGGTGATCTTGGTGTTCTTCGGGTGATCTTGAGAACCGCTTTTTTTCGCGTTGAACGGCTGCCGGGTCACTTCTAGATCGGTGCGGTTGGCCGCAGGAAGCCGGCACTGTCTACAAGCCCCAAAGAGCCTTGGTACCCTGAACCCTGCGCAAAGCCGACATACTTCAAGCCCAGCAAAACCCCTCAAAAGATAACATGAGGCTCGTTGCGGACGTGTTCGGCAAGTGGTTTTGCTGGTCAGCTTCGACCGAGAAGCCATCGGACGTTAAGGCCACTCAGCCAGGTACTCCCGCATGCTCGCAGGTGGGCACATCGTGAGTGCCTTCCGGGCTTCGGGGGTCCAGAGGTGTAGGGTTTGGGTTTTGGGGTGGTATTGGGGGGTTTGGTGGGGTTTTGGGGAATTACTGTAGAGTTTGGAGTTTAGGGTTTTTTGCTTATAGTAGGCCTGCCTGCAGGACGCACTGACAGCGCTGTCGCTGCTCTGCTCATGTGCCCTCTTCGCTTGGATCGCCGTCGCCCTGGTCCGCCACTTCGACGACCCCAAGTGGCCGATCACTTCGGTGAACATGTTCCTGCGGGGCGTTTAAGGGTTAGGGCTAAGGGTTTACAATGGTTTACAAGGGTTTACAAGGGTTTACAAGGGTTTACAAGGGCTTACAAGGGTGTACGAGGGTGTACCAGGGTGTACAAGGGTTTAGGGTTTTTACATGCTGCAACCTTTTTTTGGCAAAGCAAAGGCATCTGAGGTAGGAGTAGTGCCAGGGCACGGTGACATGCACGCGCAGCGCAGGTTCTCCATGCTCTGCGGCAACATGGACTGCGACGAGAGCTTTCGAGCCAGCACCTACAATGTGCCCAGGTGGTGCGCAGTTGCCTTGAGTCTGGCAGGCACATCCATCGTCCTTGCAAGGCCACCAAAGAAGGCGAAGAACTCGTCTGACGCCGAGATGCCTCGATGACCTTTTGATCGAGTACAGCTCTGGAGAGTTGCAGGTTTCTCAGCGGTTCTTCTTTATGTTTCTCCGGCTCCTTGCAGCCCAGCGGGGCCGAAGCGTCGGTTGTGAAATCCCCACATCCTAACCTTAAACCCTAAACCCTGAACCCTGAACCCTATAACCCTAAACCCTAAACCCCCCCCACCCAACCCTCAACGAAGTCCCACTGGAGTTCGGAGGAGTCCTCAAAGAGGACAGTCCCTCTTCTGCAAGGTGACTTTCGGGCCCTACTGCCCGCCACGTATAGAGAAAAGGCTATGAGACGCAGCTTTGTTATGTTACACGGAGTTTTTTTTTTTTTTTGGGGGGGGGGGGGGGGGGCAGATCTCTGGGCTGCTGGGCTGCCTGTATTGATGTCTTGCCGTCTCGCCCTTGCCCTGCCACATCGATTACACTCTTGCCTCGACTAGGCTGAGTCAAATAGTACCCATTATGGTTCCTTTATACTCCAAGCCAGAAGTCAAGGCTTCCAAAGGCCTCAGCAGTATACCCGAACTGCTCAAGCCCGGTGGCATAGCGCGTCCTTTATACTTGTACTAGAATAGCCCCCAAAACCCTGCTCTAATTGCCACAGTCGCATGGAAGCAAGCTGAGGGCACCAGGGTTCAAGATGTTGGCTTAGACAAGCATCTTGGCGGGGATCCAGATTTCAAGATGGGGTCTCGTCCGCTTCTATACTGTTTTTGGCTGTCACGGTCTCGTCCGCTTCTATACTGTTTTTGGCTGTCACGGTCTCGTCCGCTTCTATACTGTTTTTGGCTGTCACGGTCTCGTCCGCTTCTACTGTTTTGGCTGCGGTCTCGACTCACAGCCAGCTTCGCCAGCTCGGGAACGGCAGCCATCGCATCCCACGCAAGGCAAACTCTCTAGCTCAACCATCTCCTGAGCTATGACCAAGTTGTTCCAGCAAGCATCTTGCCATTAATTACGAATATATGCAGCCTCTACACGAATGCTTTTGGAACCATGGCACACGCCAAAAGCCAAACTTAGGACTAAAGCTACGAAGGTATAGTATACCCATTTTCTAGCAAAAGACAGTGGCACAGACACCGTTTTCTACGACAAGAAGTTGAGCTCTCGCAGTCACCCTGTGCGGATCTCACGTGTCTGCGCAATGGAGAGAAGTGTGCCGCTGCAGGCGACGTGGAAGGGCCGTCATGTGGCGAGGCAGTGGGAGGGCTGCCAATGCCATTGCAACGTTAACTTTTGCCAGTGGCTGCTTTGATAACTCCAAATGTCAGTACAACACATAAACGAGTGTCTCTTTGAAGCTTCAAGCTCTGATGCACACAGGGTGGTGTCATTACAGCTTCAATAAACCCAGTTAACTGCACAAGCGTCTGGACCTCTTGACCACCGTCTACAGGGCTTGTTTGGGCAGGCTCTGTCATCAACAAAAAAGCGGTCCATCAAGCACGCCCGCCTGAATATCGGGTGGAATCTGTTCATATCTTGGCTAAGGCTGGCATGTGTGGGTTTAGGGTTTATAGGGTTTATAGGGTTTATAGGGTTTATAGGATTTTGAGGGTTTGTAGGGTTTATAGTGTTTATAGGGTTTATAGGGTTTATAGGGTTTATAGGGTTTATAGGGTTTATAGGGTTTATGAACAGATTGTTTTTGAGCAGCTCTCTGCACGCATTGCAAGCAGGTTCTGGGGGTCATCGAGCATCAAAGCCATGTAAATTGCATGCGAGTCGAAATCAAATTGCAAAGGCAGCAGGAACGGACGCAGGCCCTTTTTGAGATTTTTGGATGGATAAGTGACATGGCTGTCAGGCGGGCAGCGCTTCTCGACAGGCAGAATCTTGCAACCAGGCTGCTAGCGCGACTCATTTAGGCATGGCCCTCGCAATTGCAAAGCCTCTTCACCGCCAGGACTGCGGTGATGGGAGCACGGAGCCAACCAAGGACAAGCAGCCTCATGATCTTCTGGCCAGGCGTTTAGAGATGTTCAGGGCTTCGCGACATCGGCTCCTTGTTGTGATTTCGAAGATGTCCTCAAGTATCACAAAACCTGCAGCATGCGGCGGCTGACGCGGATTCTGTGATGGACCTTCTTCAGCTTCGGCTACGGAAGCTCCGGGCTAGCCTTGGAGACGATGCGTCTACTGCCGGCTGCATGTACGAGCTGGCGCGGAGGCTGCAAGGCCGTGCCAGGTATGAAGAAGCCGAAGAGCTGAGCAGAGAATGCCTGCGAATTCGCCCCGGCCTCAACTTCCCACAGCATCGTGACATCGCGACATACTTGGAGGTTCATGGGTACCTAGAATCCCAACTATGAGTCTACTTGTAACCTACTCAGAGGACTTGGGGGGCTTATAAGTACAGTTATAAGTGGGGTTAGAAGTACCCATGAACCTCCAAGTAGTGGGCGATCAGAGGGTCCGGTAGCTGAGCCTGCAGCTTCCGCATCTCGAGCTTCAGCTTCAACAGCTCGTGAAGAATTTGTACGTAAGTTTTGCCACGGCGCGATTGTTGGAAACTGCTTGTGGCTGGGTTTGTGCCATGGTGTCGATGTTGCACCATGCCAAGGCCGGGCCAAGCTGGGCGAAGAGCATCCGAACACATTGGTTTCCGTCAGCAACTCCTGAAGGCTCGTGGCGAGCTGGCAGAAGCCGAGCCTCTCTACCGAGAGGCTCTGGAGAAAAGCCCGGGAGCTCAGCTTCTGTCGTCGGAATTGAACACATCTAGTCCTTTTCAGAATTGTGAGATTTTGTTTCTTTTCCTGCTGCGATCTCATGGAGGGCCCGGTGCAGTATGTGTTGTCAACCCAAGGGTTTGCCACGTAATGCCTGAACAAGAGGTCGCATGATACCGAAGGTGTCATGCCACGATGGTCGTTTGTTCTCCGAGCGGGCGGCACTTGTAGCAGATATAATGACGGAAGACATGGCCTCTTGTGTTGTCTTTGAGTAACATCCAGATGACCCCAGCTTGAAAATCACCGCTACCTTAAGCAGGGGGGTAAGGGGGGGTTAATGATTGCAAAAATCCTGCAATCATATCCTCTTTGGAATTTGATATGACTGCGAGCGGGCGAAGCCGTTGCCGAAAACAGTCCCTGGAATTGGCTATGATCGCGAGCGGGCGAAGCCGTTACCGTAAACAGTCCCCTGTAAATTTTGCTTTGACTGCGAGCGGGCGAAGCCGTTACCGAAAACAGTCCCTGGAACTTGCCATGACTGCGAGCAGGCGAAGCCGTTACCGAAAACAGTCCCTGGAATTTGCTATGACTGCGAGCGGGCGAAGCCGTTGCCGAAAACAATCCTGGAATTTGCTACGACTGCGAGCGGGCGACGGCGAAGCCGTTACCGAAAACAGTCCCGGGAATTTGCCATGTCTGCGAGCGGCGAAGCCGTTACCGTAAACAGTCCCTGGAATTGGCTATGACTGCGAGCGGGCGAAGCCGTTACCGAAAACAGTCCCTGGAATTTGCTGTGACTGCGAGCGGGCGAAGCCGTTGCCGAAAACAGTCCCTGGAATTGGCTATGATCGCGAGCGGGCGAAGCCGTTACCGTAAACAGTCCCCTGTAAATTTTGCTCTCACTGCGAGCGGGCGAAGCCGTTACCGAAAACAGTCCCTGGAACTTGCCATGACTGCGAGCAGGCGAAGCCGTTACCGTAAACAGTCTCTGGAATTGGCTATGACTGCAAGCGGGCGAAGCTGTTGCCGAAAACAGACCCCTGGAATTTGCTATGACTGCGAGCGGGCGAAGCCGTTACCGAAAACAGTCCCTTGGAATTTGCTATGACTGCGAGCGGGCGAAGCCGTTACCGAAAACAGTCCCTGAAATTTGCTGTGACTGCGAGCGGGCGAAGCCGTTACCGAAAACAGTCCCTGGAACTTGCTATGACACTGCGAGCGGGCGAAGCCGTTACCGAAAACAGTCCCTGGAATTGGCTATGACGGCGAGCGGGGGGAGCCGTTACCGAAAACAGTCCCTGGAATTTGCTATGACTGCCAGCGGGCGAAGCCGTTACCGAAAACGTAGTCCCCGCGCGAAGCCGTTACCGAAAACAGTCCCTGGAATTTGCTATGACTGCAAGCGGGCGAAGCCGTTACCGAAAACAGTCCCTGAAATTTGCTATGACTGCGAGCGGGCGAAGCCGTTACCGAAAACAGTCCCTGGAATTTGCTATGACTGCGAGCGGGCGAAGCCGTTACCGAAAACAGTCCCTGGAATTTGCTATGACTGCGAGCGAGCGAAGCCGTTACCGAAAACATTCGCTGGAATTTGCTATGATTGCGAGAGGGCGAAGCCGTTACCGAAAACAGCCCCTGGAATTTGCTATGACTGCGAGCGGGCGAAGCCGTTACCGGAAAAAATCCTGGAATTTGCTATGACTGCGAGCGGGCGAAGCAACTACCGGAAAAAGTCCCTGGAATTTGCTATGACTGCGAGCGGGCGGAGCCGTTACCGAAAACAGTCCCTGGAATTCGCTATGACAGCGAGCGGGCGAAGCCGTTCGGAATTTGCTATGGCTGTGAGCGGGCGAAGCCGTTACCAAAAACAGTCCCTGGATTTTGTTATGACTGCGAGCGGGCGAAGCTGTTACCGAAAACAGTCCCCGGGAATTTTGCTATGACTGCGAGCGGGCGAAGCCGTTACCGAAAACAGTCCCCTGGAATTTGCTATAGCGGGCGAAGCCGTTACCGAAAACAGTCCCTTGAATTTGCTATGACTGGGAGCGGGCGAAGCCGTTACCGAAAACAGTCCCTGGAATTTGCTGTGACTGCGAGCGGGCGAAGCCGTTACCGAAAACAGTCCCCTGGAATTTGCCATGACTGCGAGCGGGCGAAGCCGTTACCGAAAACAGCCCTTGGAATTTGCTATGACTGCAAGCGGGAAGCAACTACCGGAAAAAGTCCCTGGAATTTTGCTATGACTGCGAGCGGGCGAAGCCGTTACCAAAAACAGTCCCTGGAATTTGCTGCGGCTGCGAGCGGGCGAAGCCGTTACCGAAAACAGTCCCTGGAATTTGCTATGACTGCGAGCGGGCGAAGCCGTTACCGCAAGCAGTGCCTGGAACTTGCTATCTGCAAGCGGGCGAAGCCGTTACCGAAAACAGTCCCTGGATTTTGCTATGACTGCGAGCGGGCGAAGCTGTTTCCGAAAACAGTCCCTTGGAATTTGCTATGACTGCGAGCGGGCGAAGCCGCTACTGGTATGACTGCGAGCGGGCGAAGCCGCTACCGAAAACAGTGCCTGGAATTTGCTATGACTGCGAGCGGGCGAAGCCGTTAGAATTTGCTACGACTGCGAGCGGGCGAAGCCGTTACCGAAAACAGTCCCTTGGAACTTGCTATGACTGCGAGCGGGCGAAGCCGTTACCGAAAACAGTCCCTGGAGTTTGCTATGACTGCGAGCGGGAGCTTGTGACTGCGAGCGGGCGAAGCCGTTACCGAAAACAGTCCGCTGGAATTTGCAAAGGGGGGGTATGAGCAACCATACTCTCAAGGCAGGAAATGATTGCATGGGGGGGGGGGGGGGTTAAGGGGATAATGATTGCAAGAGGGGGGGAGGGGTTAGAGTTTACAGTGAGGGGTGATGCTTGACACTCTTCAGGGCAGAATGAAGATGCAGCTACTTCTCTTTCTGAGACAAGTACCACACTCCTTTTTTTTCTGAGGCCGAGCCAATCTGGGCAGAGAGCATCCGAACACGTTGGGTTTTATCAACAACTTGGCTGCGCTCCTCGAAGCCCGCGGCCAACTGGCAGCAGCTGAGCCTCTTTACCGAGAAGTTTTGGAAGCACGCCCGGGAGCTCAGCTTCTGTCGAGTTAATTTCACCAGCCCCGTGAAGGAGTGAGAATTCTGGGCCGATGAAGGTTATTCTTGCAATTCAGCAAAGTAAGCAAAGTAACCAAATTAATGCAAGGCCCTGTTAAGCAGGAAGTCTGATTTGTGTTGAAAAGTGGACGCAGCGCTTGTTTTTTGAACCTCCGGCGGTGGATTTGACCGCTGCAGAGTCAGCATTGCGCGGTTGAAGGTTATAGCAAGTAATTCGCTGTGACTGTACGGTGTTCATGACATGGATGGGCCATCCCCGGTTTGATGGGATTTGATTGGCAGCGATGGTCTATACCCCCCTGTTGCCCAGAGCACCCGGACACGTTGAATTCCATCCACAACCTGGCCGGGCTCCTTGAAGCCCACGGCCAGCTGGCAGAAGCCAAGCCCCTCTACAGAGAGGCTCTGGAGAGAAGCTTGGAGCTCAGCTTTCAGGCAGTTGAGCAGTTGAGTGTTGAGCAGTTGAGCGTTGGAACTGTTTTGTTCCAATTTGCGAATGTTGTGCTACACTGTGCTCATGGACTCAGTCTCATGGAGGGACCAGTAGAGTTTTGTTGAACAGAGAGACGCGCGCTGCGGGCGTGGGTTTTGTTAGGGTTTTCAGCCCCATGCCCTTTCTGAGAACAGAATCATATTGGGTTATGAAGTTATGTAGCACACTGGAACCCCTTCTCAATATATGTAAGATCACTCTCTTTCGAAAAGGCCCATTGCAGCCCAGTTTGCCACGGAAGGGGGCGCGTGATACTGCATGTGTCAGCACCACACGGATTGGTGGGTAGCATATGTTCGTCTCTATATATATATATACAGATATACATATGTTGTGAATTTATTCATGTATTTGGGCGACACTGGCTGAGTTTGTACCGTGGGTCGGTTTTGCCGCTGTAGCCTAAGCCCCAAACCCCAGATTCTGAGGCCAGCCCTAAGCCCTACCCGAAGCCCTAGAAGCCCTAAGCCCTGGAGAAAAGCCCTTGGAAGCTGAGCTTCGGACGACCGGGTCGAGTTCACAATGAACCCTGAACTCTATAAGCCCTAAACTCTAAACCCTAAGCCCGATAAGCCCTATAAACCCTAGAAGCCCTATAAGCCCTACAAGCCCCATATGCCTATAAGCCCTAGAAACCCTAAAAGCCCTATGCCCTAAGCCCTACCCGAATGGATTGAGTGAGTGAGGGAGTGAGTGAGGGAAAAGCCGGGGGTGCATCCAAGCTGGGCGGCTCGGGTGGGATCTGAGCACTTAGGCAAGATTGGCCACTTCTCAAAAACTGAAGCTCGTGATCCCGTGATCCACTCACCGAGGAGCGCTGGCTCAGAGCATGTTTCAGATTGCTTGAGTCATGACGCCTGGGCAGTTTCGAAGGTCTGCGTGGGAAGCTGTGAATGACGAACGACCCCAAACCCATCTTCAGGAGCGCGGGAAGGAGGAGGAGTCGGAAGAACTTCTGCGTTTGAACCAACGTGCCTGAGGCCTGGAAGAGGACATAGCCGGATGATGGTCGATGTTCCCCCTTATACTAACAGTACCCTAAACCCTAAACCCTAGTCCAAGTAGGGACTGCCGCTTCAGGGGGAACATCCCAAGTCAGGCGTATGGGGAAAGGAGCTGCTCTGATCAAAGCGGGTTGGGCAAAGTACCACCCCTGTGAGTTCTGGGTTCTGCAGCCGGCTGCGCGTGCCCCTGTTCACACGCCCAGATGACTATCAAGAAACACCCGATTGTTCACGTGATGCCTCTAGTACTTTTGATGTGTGACCTTTTTCCGTGAACAGCGACGCCACAGAAGTTGGCAACGGGACCAACCAGCACGTCATGCTTTGAGGCAACAAAGGAATCGCATATGTGAAATCGCCACGAGTGTGGATGTTAGATCAGGCCAAGTTGGATGCCAAACCAGCCAGGGATTGGCTAACACATGTGAGAGGTTGTCTCAGGGGTGCCTCTCCTTTTTGGAATTTGCTTGCGTCGGAACAATGGCGGTTGACCGTTTCGCAAGAATCGGGGAATCTGCGTTCGCAAGTGTGCTATGTATGTGTTTTCGCGGGTGACGCTCTGCCGTAGACTCGCCGTAGACATTTCATATATGCTCTTGTTTACGCTTTTGGAAGCGTGGCTAGTAGTGATCCATGTGTGGTCTTATACCTCCTCCGTGGACGAGACTAAATTCACTAGTTCTTGATCCGCAGTAGATAGTTCGGCAAGTTTCAGTGAGGTTCGACTTCCCTGTGATTCGTGCATGCAGGGTGCTAAGATGGGCCAGGAGCTCGCAGAGAAGACGGGACTCAACAAGTAGATTCAAAGATGCATTCCTCCTCCTTCGCATTGAAGGATGCACTCCTCATCTTTCAGAGCAGGGGTGTCGGCAGTGAAAGATGCTCTCCTCATCGTTCAGGTGCTTGAACTTGAGGACGTGGGCTCTTGAGCTGCTATTCTATCAAAGCCAACTTCGAGAGGGCCGAGCAGGTCCTGCCCACCCCACCACTGTTGCCAGTTGCACCTCGTAGTGCTTTTGGTGGGGGCTTGTGAGGGCCTGTGAGGTCTTGTAGGGCCCCTAGCCCTACCTCGGCCCGGAAGGTGAAACGGGGACTGGTTTGCAGCTTTTTTTGAAAACAGCTCTCGACAGACTTGTCTCTGCTGCTTTTGACCACATAGCTCGCGCCAGACTTGTCTCTGCTGCTTTTGGCTGTTTTTAACCAAATAGCTCGCACCAAACTTGTCTCTGCTGCTTTTTGACCAAACAGCTTGTTAGACATCTTTCACCGTCACCCCCCTCCAACCCCCCAGCCCCGTGAAAGATCAGGAATGCATCTTTCGCTCAATCCTGGCTGTGTCTGAAGCTCACTCCGGTCCGGAGCTGGCAAACAACGGCTGCATCTCTCATCATCTTTCATTTACACCTCGCCCCGGCCCTATCCGGCCCTGAAAGATGGCTCGAGTGCACAGGCGCCCTCGTAGACCACACCGCTCTCCACAAGGCCCCGGCCGCCTCCCTCACTTGGCCACGACTTGCTGGGGAAAGCGCGCGCTCCGCCCAAGGCCGAGGGCTACTGGGGAAGGGGGTGGGGAAAGAAGCGGCGGAAAGAAGAGGCAAAAGGGGAGGAAGCGGGAAAGCTGTTCTAAGTCACTGTTGTGCCTTTGTGATTGTAACAGTCACCTCTTTATGCTCGCCCAGCTCCACGCTCAACTGCAGGCGGAGCTTGTCGAGGTGCCGATGATGGAGGCCGGGGGCTGCGCGGCTGCGAGCCTTGCACGTAGCTTTTGTTTGTTGGAGGAGGGCATGCGCTGGAAGCGGCTGAGCCCCGATTTTGGGCCTCCGCCAAGACGGGGACACACGATGACCTACGAGCCGACCTCCCAGAGCTTGGTGGTCTTTGGGGGCCCGATCCTGAGCTGCCCTACGCTTTCTCGCGTGCTTGCGTCCTGTCGTGTGAATCCGGAGCGCTCCAGCCCATGCAAAGGATTTAGCAGAGACAAAAACCTGTCTGACACGTGGATCTTCGATCTGCAGGCCTGGGGTCCAGATGCAGTCAGCCCAAATCGCGCCGTGCCGGGATTTTGTGGCACTGCTGCGAAGCAAGAAGATCTACTTGGTACTTTGCAGTTTCGAATTTCCCCGAAGGGACCTGGGACGTCTCTTGGACACTTTACGGCTTCACGGGAATTGTTTTCGCAAACAGCCACGGGGCTCCTAAAGAAGTGCATCACATGTTCATCATGCTCTTCAACCCGAAATATGCAGACAGGGCATGGGTGCCAGTGGCTGTTCTGGGCTTCGGCAGCCTTGAAACACTGGAAAACATGTCCTCAGTTGTGGCGGCTGTGGCATTGCGCCATAGTTCTGTTTCGGGAGCCGAGCTGGTCACCTCCTCTCTTAAGGTGCGGCCTGTTTCTGTAGTTTTCTGTAGGTTCTGTAGTTTTCTGTAGGTTTGTATGTCATCATTTGCTTCAGGGCACACTTGCATGTCATGTCCGATGTTTTGAAAAAGCCAAAGCGCAGATGTGTGCCAACTTGGCACGGCCTGGGGGCGCTTTCCCAGTCTATCCCCTGGCTACGTACAGTGTGAGTGTGGTAGTGAGGGTTAGCAGGAGAAGGGGAGCTGGTGACACGTGAGTGTTGTGATGGATTGAGGGAGCTTGATGATGCTGGTACGACTCTGCTTTTCCACCCCAACCTCTAGAACTCCAAAACATCACCCTTCTCCCCCTGGGTCCATGCCCTTCTGGTTTGTGCGTGTCCTCCTTGGCTGATGCTCGGAGCTTGCGCAGGGGCCACGCGCAACCCATTGCAGATGGGCACCCGAGTCCCCCAGTCGGCAGGCTTACTCCCTTGTTGCCCACGAGCCCAACTTGCACAGATGCCGGATATTCTTCGAAGCGGTTTTTGGCGGGCTCGTGTGGCGAGCTGTTTTCAATGGATGTGAGGGATGCAAAATGCGGCGGTGCAGTTGCCGAGATCGTGTGCCCTGCGGTTTCCTGTGGGCAGGCGCAGCGCTGGGAGGAGGTGGCGCTGGAGGAGGCAGAGCGGCCCGCGCCCAGACGTTCTCACTCGGCGGTGTGCGACCCAAAGTCGCACAGCATCGTGGTCTTCGGTGGTGCGGCGCTGAGCTGCGCCTGGAACCCTGCAATGTGCCGATGCAGGCGGACTTACACATACTTATGCCCAGTATCTCAAACAATCCCAAAGCTAACAGAATCAAGATGAGATCGAGGGTCAAAACGATGTCCTGCATGGCTTAACTTGAGAAGTCATTGCTGACGAAAACGGTGAGGTTTTCTTTGTGCTTCTTACTTCTACAGCCCCAGCATTTTTGACAAGTACTTGCCATTGGGGAGCCTTGCAGTTCTCTGTTAGAAAGCTTTCTGTCTGGCATGATGCACTTCCCCACCAATCTGCAAGCGTTTGCCTCCGTAAAGTTACACAGATTCCATGTCCGGGTTAAGGTTGGATCGGCGATGAAAGTGCAGGCCTCCTGGCTCTTTCGCTTCATCTCAGTGTTCTGTGCCTTTTGCAACTCAAGGCGACGGCGGCGCCGGTGAAAAGACAGACGAGACCTGGATCTTCGAAGTCAAGGCCTCCTGTGCAGCCTTCGTCTGCGGAACGTCGCTGCTGTGCCGCCTGCTTGCCAACTCCCATGGGCCTGCTTCTGTGAAAGAATCTGGCTGTGAGTCTAGCAACTGCGTGTCACAGCCTCCCAGCTATCAGTCGGCGTTCTGTAAGGGGACTGTCTTAGTCCCATAGATGTCCCTCGGAAGATCACGGCCTGCCGTGTTTCACTGCTTAAGCATCGAGTGCCAGATGTTCTGCTGCTCGCTCGCCGCCTGGAGGTAGATTTCCCCCAACAGAGCACCGGAGTTGGAAAGAGCAGCGGTTTGCGTACTGTGGGCACCTTTGCTCCAAGATGGAAGTGAGCTGGAACCGAATCTGCAGATTCGCTTCGGCCTTGAAGAGCAGCCTGCCGCGAAAACCGATTCTTCGCCCCTCGTCTGACTCAGGGTTTGTTCGGCGCACTGTCGCACGCCGAGATGGTTTCGGAAGATTGCCAGCCCTCTCACAACCGCAGCTACGGTACCAGTACCACACGGCTTTCCTTGAGCCCTTCGTTGGTCTGCTGACCACTTAGTAGCCCGAGACCCTGCGCACCATGCAGGCAGCTTCTTTTGTGGAGCCTTCGTCGGGGTGAACGAGCCCGGAAGTCCCTCAACAGCCCTTGTGCTCGAGAGAGCCGTCCAAAGTGCCAGGACTCAGAAGCTTCGGGTTCCAGCCCAATGCACGGTGACGAAAACCGACGGTTCGATCCACAAAAGTGTTTTCGAATCGCCGCCTTGAGCATGTTGGTGGAGTTTCGACATGTTGCTGTACTCATCTCGATCAATTTCAAATATATAAGATAGATAAATAGATATGAGCACCTAGCATGCCATTCAACAAGTGCCGCGCGTCGAATGCCAAACACTGCACTCGTTGTGCTTTGCTCCAGCCTCCCCACAAAGCTCCAGTGTGCTGAAGAGGGAGCCCTCCGGCCCAGATCGTGATGGCAGGCCAAGCAATGGGAGGAGCTGAAGCCTGAGGGGGCGCGACCGCCGGCCAGACAGGGTCATTCGGCGATCTGGGCCCGGAAGTCCCATGCCATGGTGGTCTATGGCGGTCCTGCACTGAGCTGTATAGACGTAGATCTCGACATGTTCTGCCCTGATGATCAAGAATACACTGCGCCTGGGAGCCAAGGTGCTGGTTCCAACCGCGGCTTGGGAGCATTGTCGACGGACATGCCGCCGCCTGGTGGGCAAGCCGGCATGGTGTGATGCAGCCTTCCTGAGGCGAGGTTTTCGGCGACCTGTGGGCCTTCGACCTCCAGGCTTGAAGCCATGTTGCTTGCGTCGTTATGGAGCCATATTCGGGTGACTGCAAGCATGGGTGGCCTGCATCTCCCAAGACTGACCGTCCCTGCTCGCCAGCATAGATTTCCGTCGAAAGCTTTAGATGGGCCGGGAGACGGAGAGGGAGAGAGAGGGAGACAGAGAGACAGAGAGAGAGAGAGAGAGAGAGAGGGAGAGAGAGAGAGAGAGGGATAGACATAAAAAATAAACATGAACAGAATCGAGTCTGTCTTACATCTGCGTCCGGCAAGGCCCAGCGCTGGGAGGAGTTCGTCCCAGACGGGGCGCGGCCCCCAGCCAGAACTGGTCACTCCGCGGCCGTCGACCCGAAGTCCTGGTCCATGGTCATCTTCGGGGGCCCTCGCCCCAGCTTCTGCGTGAGCTGCACTGCTACAGAAGCTGTCGTGTCACGCTCTCCTCTCAGTTATCTCTTCCGATCGTGGTTGCTCATGCGGGGCTCCCACTGGTCATACCTTGTCGAGCCTGCACAGGTTCTACATCAGAAAGTGTTAGTCCAGGGGGATCGGACTTGATCTCGGACGTGTGGACCTTCGACCTGGAGGTGCTCTGCCATTCCCTGTTCGTTTCTTTATGAAGAATGCAGAATGCGCCTATGTCTCATATGTAGGAGGATTCCTCGTAGGATTTGGGAGGTGTACTAGTCAGTGAGGCACTCAGCGTAGCTGCAGATTGGCATCGGAAGCGAACTTGATTCTGGCTGGGAGGCCAAGCGTTGGGAGGAGCTGAAGCCTGAAGGTGCGCGACCGCCGGCAAGATGCTGGTCTTCGGCGACCTTCGACCCGAAGTCTCGGTCCATGCTGATCTTCGGGGGCCTGGCTCTGAGCTGATGGCCTGCACTCCCGCATGCAGCAGTGCTAACATACGGGTTGCACAAGCTGAGGCCGTGCTCAGTCAGGCGCTTGTGCAGACCTCAGCTAAGCACAGTGATTCGGAGCTTTGAGATGGGAGTAGGGGTATTACAAACCAGCAACGCCTCAACGCAACAGCAAACACAATTCTTGCGCACTGTGTGCGGGAAGGCGGGGCATGAACTGTTGCGCTCTTAGCTCTGAACAAATGAAACAGGAACATTGTCAGGCATCACACGTCTTGTCGTGGTCGGGATGAAGACGTTGATCGGAAGTAAGTGCGCGCATCGCTCCGGGATGTTCGGCACCAACGGGTTGACGCTTGCCGCGTTCTTGATGGCTCAATGCCTGGCAGGTCTTCTTGTGGAACCAGGGGTTGGTGCAACCAGCGTTGATCTATTCAGTGGTTCTGTCTACTCGTTTTTGTGAGAGCATATTTGAGAGTTCCGCTTGTTCTCGGACTTGCTCAGGTTTGGACGATTTGTGGGTCTTCGACATCAAGGCCTCGGAGTGCCAGTGACTCCAACTTCAATAAGAACTCGCCCACTGAAGTCCGGATGTGAGGCCAAGAGTGCAGCCATTGCAGTCCCGTTTTGAACATCCGCATCTCATCCCTGAAGCGTCATCAGAGCAGAGTTATGTCGATGACACTATGTTCAGAGTTTAGGAGAAAGGCGGTTCCTCGTCCTTACAGTGTCGATGCCGACCCTTGCTCTCGGACAGGCCCAGCAATGGCAGCAGCTGTGGCCTTCCGGCGGGCAGCCCGCGGCCAGGGACGTCTCTGCTACCGCCTACGATGCGAAGTCCCGGTCTCTGGTGACTTTCGGAGGCCCGGTGCGTGTGCCTATGCCGGGAGCAGGGAGGTGTGCGCCGGCTTCATTTCTGAAATCCTGAGGCAGGGACAACGGATACACTCGTGCGGAGCTGGGATTTGCCTATGGAAAGGTCGGGGGGCTCTCGGGGCTTCCCTGCTCGCTAAGAACTGGACGACCTGTGGCTCTTCGGCGCCAAGGATATTGAGTGCAGAAAGCGTGAGCAGGGCTGCACAGCCCAAACACTCCAAAACACGCTGGTGGAGAAAGCAGTGTGTTGGGAGAACGAAGCACCTGAGTACACTTACACTAGACGGCTTGCTAAGCACTACGTCTGAGCCAGCATAAACAATGCAAGGCATTGAAGCGCTGAATTCTGTCATACGACTCCTTTTCCACGGCGAGGCGATGTCGCGATGGCGAAAGATTGACAGGAACATTGTTGTGGTAATGAAGTTCGCGAGTTGGGCCACTATGCGTAGACACGACAGGCCGGCGTGCAATCGACGTAGTGCCCCCCGGACAGCCCACCCTCATGACAGAACGCTTGCCTGATAAAGGCAACGGTGGGAATGAACTACTCAATTCTGCAACGCGTCCCACCCGCAAGGATACAGGCTGCCGGAAAGTCATGGGCAAAGCCTGCCCCCTCTCACGAGGCGATATCGTTTCTTAGACCGAAAACTGCGCAACCACAACCGTAATGCAATGGTGCAGAACAGGCACTCAGTTTACGTGTCCTGGTTTGCACTCCTTGATCAGCTTGCTGGGGCTGGGTGCTGATGGGGCCACGTGGCGAGTTTCGAGACATCTTCTTGAGTGATTCCTTTTGGTGGGGTAGAGTGGAGCTGCTGCCGCTCTCCTCGGTTCCTCCACCTCAGCCCTTTGCCCTTAATGGGGTAGGGTATTTTTTTTGTGTTTTTTTCTGTTTTTTTTTTTTTTTTGTGTTGTTTTTCTGGTTTTTTTGTTTTTTCTGTTTTTTAAGCAAGGAAGAAAGACAGAAAGAGAGAAAGAAAGAAAGAAAGAAAGAAAGGAAGAAAGGAAAGCAAGACAGAAAGAAAGAAAGGAAGAAAGGAAGAAAGAAAGGAAAGAAAGAAAGAAATAAAGGAAAGCAAGGCAGAAAGAAAGAAAGAACTAAAGAAAGAAAGGCCGAAAGAAAGGAAAGCAAGACAGAAATAAAGAAAGAGAGAGAGAAAGAAAGAAAGAAAGAAAGAAAGAAAGAGATAAATAAAGAAAGAAGGAAAGCAAGACAGAAAGAAAGAAAGAGAGAAAGAAAGAAAGAGATAAAGAAAGAAAGAAAGAAAGAAAGAAAGAGAGAAAGAAAGAAAGAAAGAAATAAAGAAATAAAGAAAGAAAGAAAGAAAGAAAGAGAGAAAGAAAGAAAGAAAGAAAGAAAGAAAGAAAGAAAGAAAGAAATAAAGAAATACCCCCCCCCCCCGCTTTGTTTAAGCCGTGCAAGCTTGCCTCAAAGCATATGCCATATGCACACTTTTGCGGACACCCATCATGCGAGAATCGTGTTTGCAAATGGGGGGGGCTGCGCCCCCCCCAACCCCCCCGCTGTCTCAAGCCGTGCAAGCTTGCCTCAAAGCATATGCCATATGCACACATTTTCGGAGACCCATCATGCGAGAATCGTGTTTGCAAATGGGGGGGGGCTGCGCCCCCCGCTTCCCGCAACACACCCTACACCCTAAACCCTAAGCCGGACTGAAGGGGCAATGATACGAGGAGCAACCTTGACCCCACAAACCGTAGAGCCTAATAAGACCCAAACCGTCCACCATAAGCCGCAAATCCTGATAGAATGTTTGCGGCCTACATGCGCAGTAAGCCCTAAACCGAAGCAAAGTTTCAGATTGAAGCATCCGAGGTTCCTCTTGAACCAGCCCCGGACGTTAACTAGCTTTTGAGTCCTGTCGGGGCCAACGATGGCCGCCCCGACGCTCCAAGCGCGAGTTGCAAAAGGACGAAGGGTTGGACGTAATGTGTTGTTGTAGCACGTTGAGATT